ACAAGCCTGGGGGGCTGTTGTCATTAGGGTATCAACTTATCACAGCCCTGGGAAGGTTCTGTGATTAGAAACAGGGCCTATTACAAGCCTGGGAACACTTTTTCATTAGAATATCGACTTATTACAACCCTGGGGGCCTTCTGTCATTAGAAACAGGGCTTATCACAACCCTGGGGAGGTGCTGTCATTAGAAACGGGGCTAATTACAACCCTGGGGATGCTCTGTCATTAGAATATCAACTTATTACAGCCCTGGGAGGCTTCTTTCATCATAGACGAGGCTTATTACAGCCCTGGGGACACTTTGTTATTAAGATTCCGACTTATTACAGCTCTGGAGACCTTCTGTCATTAGAAACAAGGATTATTACAGTCCTGGGAGGGTGCTGTCATTAGAATATCGACTTATTACAAGGCTGCAGAAGTTCTGTCATTAGACTTATGGCTTATTACAATGCCCTGGTGGGGATATAGTACAATGACCACCTGGTGGGGGTTAACAAAACCAGTTCTGCAGGCTCCTGGGCAATTGTATTACAATTGGGGTAACCACAGGTGTGCAAGGGTAGGGTTCAGGGTAGGTACTAGTCAACCCTCAAATGCCCTTGATGCCCTTGGTGGCTCAGAGCTGCCATTGTGAATAGGAGCCTTTGTATTACATAATACACTAGCCAGAAGGCCGTCCGAGCAGGGGCCATCCCAAAGACTCCTCCCGTCCTTCTCCCCCATACACACACAGTCCGAGCTACACATCACTACATGGCCGGGGGATCTTCCCTCAAAAAAAGGGTGCCCGCGCTCTAAAGCGCCAGGCATCAGCACTGTCAGAGAAGGCTCGAAAGAAGACACGTACCACAACTTCCTCCAGCGGCAGTGGCAAAGAGGAGACCCGCTCTCGAGGGTCGTCGCCCGACATTGTCTCCATTCATGGCTCTGGAAAGCGATGCTGCTGGTATGAGTGAGAAAGAGACCCAGCGCCCCTCGACTATCAGGAAGGCAGCGCGTGCTGCGGCTTCTGCGGTCAAAGGGGGCAGCCTCCGCGCGGTCAAGGCTACCGGCAAGAAAGCCGCTAGGAAGCTGAAGAAGCGCGCATCGTTCAACTCTGGCACATCAGAAGGCGACCAAGAGGGCTCGGACGATGAAGACGTACCCACTGTAGACAACACTGATGAGGAGCCCGAAGACGAGACACCCCTGAGCAGGCTCTTGGCGAGTCGTATCTGCTGCCTGCCGTATCGGGATTCAGAATGAACAACTTCCTGTCGCACTTAGAGCGGATGAAACAGAAGTTGTCAGCGCCGGTGTACGCATTCCACAAGCCGGACATCAAGATTCTCACCAACGAGAAAGCACAAATGGTGCACGAGAGTTCACTTGTGCGAAGCCGGGATGTACGCAGAAGAGGATCAAACGTAACACTCAAACTCACGACAAGACTTCCACGAAGAACCTCATTCGGCATGCAAAGTCGTGTTTGGAAAGACCTGGCGTGGGGGAAGGCTGCAACTGAGGCAGGATCTGCGGAGAAAGCACGCCCCGGTCTCGAAGCGTTCGGTCGCACCGGGAAGCTGACTACTGCGTTCAAGCGGGCTGGAAAAGGCAAGGTCACATATTCAATCGTACAGCATACATCAATGGAAACCAGGGTACGTACTCATACGAATCGGTTGATGCTCGAGTGTTGTTGATTAAGGCTGTTTGCGGCTCGATCCACGGATGATCCGGATCCGAACCCACGGATCAGGTGACTTCCGGGGGCTTGATCCAGATCCGCATGGATCAGAGCCGCTGGAAGAGCCGGAGCCGCGCGATCTGGAGCCGCAATCCGTGGATCGAGCCGCCAAATGAGCCGCACTCTGTGGCTCCGTGCGGCTCAGTCGCTTCTGCGGATCCTTCTCACTCAAGAGTATTATATCAGGCCACCAAAATGCACACATGGGTATTAAGAGCAAGCAAAGGGGTATTTTATTGAGATATTACTACTCTACACACATTCAGCACACATGTTTTTGGCTAAAGATGCGCCGGAGACGTGGGAGACGTGGGCGACATGAGCGATGGTGACATGGGCTGCAGACGAGTTGGGGGACGCGGGGGCGAGAAGCGGTGGAGACGTGGGTAGCACGGAAGAGGTGCGCGAGACAGACGGCGCGGTGACGCGGGCGAGGGCGATGCGTGCGAGGGCGACGCGGGTGAGACGCAGATGTTGTGGACGAGGCGGCATTACGCAGGCGGCGCGGGAGAGGTGGGAGAGGTGAGCGATGGAGCAAGTGTGCATCAAGACGGATGCGGGGTGACGGGACAACTCGGGCGACGTCTGTGGCGTGGGCGGGGGGCGTGGGCGATGTGGGCGACACCGACGCGAACACGGGCAGCGTGGATGACGTGGGCAAGGGCGAGGTGATGAGGTAGTGGGTGACGTGGGCGAGGTGGCGGGCGGCGCGAGAGATGCAGGAGACACGGGTGAGGTGAGCAAGGCGAACGCGAGGACGCGGAGGGCGCGAGGGGGAAACGTGGAAGGCGGAGGGCGCGGAGCTGGAGGGTGAATGACGCCAGCGAGGAGGACGTGCAGGCTGGAGGGCGCGGGAGCGGAGGGCGGATAGCGAGACGGGCGAGGGCGCGTGTACGGCGGGCAACGCGGGGGCGACGCGGGCGGAGGGCAGTGACGCGGCGAAGGTGGTGGAGGGTGACGCGAGCGGAAGGCGACGCAGAGGTGGGCGTGGACGAATTGCGGGACGAGGGCTGCAGGCGAGGGTGACGCGGGCGACGCGCATAACGCTGGTGAGATGTCGCCGAGGACGACGCGGAGGTGGTGGTGGGCGAGGTGGGCGACGCAGAGAGGGCGACGCGGGGACACGGGTGTCACGCGGGGGCAGGCGAGAGCGACACGAGCGACACAGAGCGCGCGACGCGGAGCGGACAACGCGGGGGGCGAGGGAGAGATGGGACGGGCGAGGGCGAGAGGTGGGTCGTGGCGAGACGGGCGACCTGGGCGACCCGGGCGACACAGATGGGGCTGGGGATGTGATCGACGAGGGGAAGGTGGGCAACGGCAAGACCAGCGAGCGCGACTGCGACTCGGTGGGACGATGCGGACGACGCGGGTGCAGGCGAGGCAGAGTGGGCGAGGGAGAGGGTCGTCCGGGGAGTGGGACGGCAGGGGTGAGATTGGGGGAGGCTACGCGGGGAGCAGCGGGGGCAGTGGAGGACTCACCATGGGGGATCGGGGCCGCTCGAGCTCACCGCGACCCCAGAGAACGGCCAAGCGCGCGCGCGCGCGATGACGCCGTGTGGGCGGAGGATCGGGCGGCGCGAGGCAGACGTGGGCGACGCGGGTGAGATGCGTGACGTGGGCGAGACGGGAGGTGCGCGAGACCCGTGGCGCTGAAGACGACTCGGAGGTACCTGGAGGTTGGTGGTGGGCGACGCGAGGCGAATACGAGGAGGAGGGCAGCGCAGGCGGAGGAGACAGAGGGAGAAGCGCGGGACGAGGCGGAGGCAGAGGACGAGGGCAAGCCGGATGAGCGCGAGACGGGCAAGGACGCGGGAAAACTCACCAGAGGAGATCAGGGCCACGGAAGCTCACCGCGACCCCACGGCACAACTCCTGGGCTTGAGGACGGCCGCGCGCGCTCGCGAGATGACGCCGCGCGGACGGAGGGTGGAAGGCAAGCGGAGGAGGAGTGATGAAAGACTGGAGAGGGAGGACGGCGAGCAAGTGACGTGCGAGACCCGCGTTCGAATCCGAACACTGCCCAATCGGGACGGATTCCCGCGTGCAGACGCCGGATGCAGGCGCCAAAAGCTCTTGAAATGAAAGAAAATAGTATTGTATCAATATCTCTGTCAGTTCTGCACCAAATCACACACATGTTGTATCTTTAGAAAGCCGCTTTGAATGGCTTTCGAATGACATATATTACATGGTATATTTATTGAGAATCTGCGGATAATCCGTGGATCGAGCCGCAGATCCGCCAATTTTCAGCCCCCTTGATCCGGAGCCGCTGGGAGCCGGAGCCGGAAAGAGCTGGAGCCGCCCGGCTCATGATCCCCGGCTCACGGCTCCGGATCATCGCGGGTTTACCCGCGAAGTGAGCCGGAGCTGCAAACAGCCTTATTGTTGATGCGTAGCGTAGGATTGAGATCGTGCGCTGGTGTGCCAGAGAACAAGCGGCCGTTCCGTAATTGTCAGTGACCGAGCGTCCCAATGCTTGATGAAGACGGGCCGCCCGGAGTACAAAGATCCCATCGCCGTCGACCGTGTCACGCGATGTCCGTCGTGTGTTCGCGAAGTGCCGGCAGCGCATCGGGCAGACGCTGCAGGTTTGTGATTACTGTTGCTCGCGAGTCGCGCGCCAGGTACCCTACTGAAGCGAGATGAGTATGCATGATAGGAGTACGAAGGGCGCAAACTAAATTTCACCTTCGGACGTCACCTAACCACAGACCGTTCATCGCGTTCGCCGTTCACTTGCACCACCGCGGGGCTCCCTTGAGCATGATATTGGATGGTATCGAGGTCGCGGAAGTCTCACTCCGGACTCGTCATGGCAGCCGTGTTTGAGGCCATGTTGAAGGACTTTGGTATCGTGGATAAAGTCAGCAGTGATCCTCCATAAATGCGTACTCGTGTGTGCTTACCAGTCGTTCGTAGATCCTTGGGAGTAACAAGGTGACAGCGCGGCAGCCCAACGACACCACGGTCGACGAGTTGTACAAAAGACTTGACAACTTTGGTGGTTCCTGTAATCGTGCCCGGTGCTTCGACCACGTCGTGAAACCTATGCGCACAAGCAGTACTCCGTCCTTTCCAAGGAAAAGGAAGGTGAAAAGGACGTGACGGAGACGCCTGAAGAGGCCCTGGCGCGTCTCCTTGCAGAGATCGACTGGAGTGGGATGGGATCGGACACAGAAGACGATGACAGCGACCAAGCAGGATGACGAACCTGAACTCAGAACGACTCTGATGGTCCTCTTCGATGTCAATGAAGATATGACGGACAACGAGCGCGAGGATTTTGAGGCCGGTGTATAGCCCCGATAAAGGAGGTTTTTAACGAAGGTGCGGCACGCTGCCAAGATGCGATATGACAACACACCTGACGAGTCTGTCAACCACAGATCCGCACCCTGTCCTTTGCTATCATCAACTCCCCCCACAAATCAACCTCCCCTGCGTGGAAGCGCACGCTTCACGAACTCCGTTTGAAGGAGCGCACGATCCCGCGGGGACGTTCGAACTCGTTGGAGTTCGACGTTCTAACATGCTGGACTTTGTGGTTGAGTACAAGACTGCCGTTCACCGGATAACTACGGACCTTGATTCTCGGCTTGAAGAAGTACAACCTGGAACGACGAGGAGCGGGAGATGGTCGAGCAGCTGCGAGACGTTTCTGAAGGTACGTGGCAAGTTACGCAATCTTACTCACACGCATCTGCACCCGCCCAACACAGCTGGTTTGAACTCAAACCCAGCCGCAACGCTCATGGTCTCCCACCTCCTCCCCGTGCTCTGTCTCGTCCCCCCCCCCATTCTCCAGCTTGGCATCCATGACTAAACTGCTTCCTCTTGTGCTCGCTCTCGACGTCCCTTGCAACCCAACAACGTTTCTTCTGGCTGTGGTTAAACGACGCCACTTCGACTGCCCTAAAATCTCATCCGGTCGGCCTGATCATCCGTGATCATCTTATCGCGGATGGAAACGACGCCATCCATACTCTGCACGGCCCTGGCGACGCGTCGGGACTACAGGTGAGTTGTTTGTACTGCTTTTCATGCGCATATATTCCACCTGTTCTGGGCTCCCGCTGTTGTGGTGCTGTCTCGATAATGAGATCCCGCATCCTATACCGCCCTCGCCTCTGTGGCGTGCACTCAACAACACTCTTGTATTCAAGAGTGCTGATGTGTGCCCCACACGCACATGCCACCCCGTTCCTGACGCACTCCAGCTGCCAGCGCGCGGTGTGTGTATCTCACACTCCAACTGCCAGCGCTCTCCGCACGCCGGGGCTCACTCGACCTGTGTCCCCTTTGCGCTGCGCGCATGCTCTGCGGTGCCCGACTCCGCTCTTCGGTGCCCGACGCTCTGCGGTGCCCGACGCTCTGCGGTGCCCGACGCTCTGCGGTGCCCGACGCTCCGGCACTGATGCGCATGCTTGAGCACATGCTACACACCACCGTGAGCAGATCCGTTTCGATCATGCTGGTGTGGGGGGGGACGCGCGTCGTGTGGACGCTGCGACGCGGACGCGGACACACGAGTGTAATCTCTTCTTCTCGTCTTCTTGTGCCTACTTACGTCCCACACGGTCACGTTCTAACTTCTCTCGATTTCACGGCTCTTCGAGAATGCTACCACGTTTCTTCTCTAGAAAGGGGCGTGTCAATCTGCCCATCGTCATTTCACCTCGACGAGAAACTCACGGAGCACGCGCCGCTGCCGCTGTTCGCGCTGCGGTTGCTCTCGGCAAGAAGACGCTTAATCGGTACTGTGATCTCTCTCGCACTGATCATACGGAGGTCCTACCGGATCGCGACGGGTGCGTATATATGTCCTGGCCTGTATTACATACTTATATATGCGCTCGCTGCGATGATCTTCTTCCTCCAGTCCTTCATCATCCTCAGATGAAGCTCGAGTGACTTCAAGACCGCGAAGCGGGAACGGGACTGGATTGATACGGCCGAGGAAGATGACTCGGGATGAGCACCTCCGCAGCTATGGCGCAGAGGGACATTGAGCACGACGATCGGGCCCCCGAAGCCAGCCACGCCGTAAGAAAGACACCGGTGAACCAGCGCTTGACTCCCGTCTTACAGTTTATATGTGGCGGTGCGCAACAGAATCCATTCGCTCAGCTCCCTGCATTCCAACAGAAGCGTCCGGCTGGCAGGGGGGCGAGCGAGATCGATCGCTGTCTTGCGGCGTCTACAGAGTACACGCTGACGATCCGCTCCAGTTGGTGGTGGAATCGCCGCCGTGAATATGTCCCCATCTCTCACGCGTGGCGCTCTCTTACCTTACCGTTCCTGGTACGTGGTACATCACGGTATCTCTCCACCTCTGGCAGCTCGCTTACGGTCAAGGACGCTCCACGGTCGACGTTGAACGCACTTTCAGCAAAGGGGGCGGCTGCTCCTTCCACACGTCCGCGACGGTTTGTCTGCCACCCGTCCATCCGGGCGCTTCGAGCTCGGACTCGTTCGAGACGCCGACGTCTCGGGTTGCCCTTCGAAGACGACGCATCGGATGATCTGGAGGGTGGTCGGGAGCTCGTCGTCGTTGCGGCCACGCGCTGGTGCTGATACGGTAAGAGCAGGACGACGTCGTGTGTGTGTGCGCTGTACTTGCTACCCTCGTCGAACCCTCGACCCTCGAGCGCCCTGGTGACCCTCTACAAAAAAACCCTGACCCTTGTATATGAGGGTCGTGACCCCCCCCGAGGGTAGGGGGTCAGGGTAAGCATCGGGAGACCCGGGGGTTACCCCTGCTACGCGCTAGCCCCCCCGGGCCGCCGTGTCGCGCAGAAACGCCGAGGCGCGATCTCTCTCGCCTGCGTCTGTGTGGACGACGACGCGCGCCAGGTCGGGGAGGCGCCCCCAAAAGTTGGCCCCCTCTCTACCGGCGACTCCCGGGTTTCTCGACTCGAACCCCGACTCTGGGCGCTCGGTCGTACGCCGCCCACGCGGGCTTCTGCCTCCGCGAAGCCGGCGGGAAACCCGGAACCCCTCTGAGCGGGCACGGGGTGAGAGCGAAGACCGTGAAACGGGATCCCACGAGTCCCACCCCCCCCCCCCCCCCCGGGCGCTTATTTGAGCGCTCGCGGGGGCGCCCGCGTCGGCGTCTTGCCATGGAAAAAGAAGGGGGGGACGCGTGAATCGCGGCAGCCGACAGAGAGAGAGACGCGGTGGGGCTCGCACGCGCGCGCGCGCGAGGAGGGGGGGCGGACCCCTCGTGGTCGCGGACGCCGCCGCTCCTGAACCGTCGAGGGCCGTCGCGCGCGGCGACCTGCGGGACGCGCGTGGGAAGCGCGCGCACGCGCCGAGGGCGGCGGCGAGTGACGGCACGCGCGCTTTTCCCGCGGGGGCGGGGCTCCCCCCGAAGAGAGAGAGAGATGTAGAGAGCGCCGCGCCTCTCCCCAACGGACGCGCGCGCGGGGGGGGGACCGCGTCCGGCGAAGGCCCGGACCACGTTCGGAGGAGGGTCACGGAGGGTCACGGTCGGACGGCGGGGGACGGGACGTGCGCGCGCGCGCGCGACCCCCCGCGGAGCGCTGCGCGCGCCGGTCCCTAGCCCTATGCGCGGGTGTCCGCGCGTCGAACGCTGAGCCGTACATAGGCGCGCGCTGTGTGCGCGGACATCCGCACGTTGAGCACTCAGCATGTATCGTACGTTGTTGGGTGCGCGGGTGTCCGCGCATTGAACATACAGCTGTATATCGCTGGATGTGCGGACGTCCACATAGTATTGAATGTCGCTCAGCCGCATGTCGTTAGGTGCGCGGGTGTCCGCGCATCAAAAACTCCGTGCACATTGTTGGGTGCATAGGTGTGTATGCATTGAATGCTCAGCTGTAGGTTGTTGGGTGTACGGTTGTCCGCACATCCAATGCTCGGCTATAAGTTGTTGGTTGCGCCGCGCGCGGGTGTCCGCGCATTGAACAGTCTGCGAGGCTTCATTGTAGATGTACAAACATAGTATGCTGTATACGACCTTGTCCTTCTGCGCGCGGATGGCGCGTTTTGCCAAAGGGCCCTGAGGTTTCTAACCCGAGCCTATCATTGACCCCCTGTAATTAGCCGAAACACCCCTTCTATGGGTCTACAAACACTTCGTGTATGATACTCGCGCACCGCTCACCCGCATGGCACACCAAACCGCGACAGCGCCCGCTGCACGCTCTCCAGCCGCTTCCGCCGCGCGTCCAACTCTGCTCGGGCCGTGACGATTTCCAGGTCTTCTGCAACGTACGCCGCACACCGCCCTCCTGCGCCATCCACGCCCAGCTCGAGTGCCTCGGCGAGCGCGCGTTGCAGCCCCGCCGCGAAGCTGTAGAGGAAGTGTTGGTCGATCGCAAGCGGAACGTAGTCGACCACGCGCTGCAGGAACCAGTCAACGTCCACAGCTACATGGAGATACTGGGAATCCGAGGCTGACGAACCTTGTACGCGACGTGGAAGTACGCGCCAACCTCCGCCATTGTCGCAAGTTCTGCCGTGTGCTCGTCCGCTGGCGCGAGCCTTGCGAGATCCGCGAGCGTCACGTTGGCGTATCCTACGCGGGCGAGCATTGCAAGCAGCTCCCGGTTCACTTCTTCATCGTTGTTGCCGTCTTCCTCTCCGTATACCTCGTCGCTTGCTCCATCGTCGGGCAAGCGGTCTGAGCCCGAGCTGGCAGAAAGGGGCTGGCGGGCGTCGCGATACTGTGCGAGGTACGCATCCCGCTTCGCGGCGAAGTAGTGCGTGTTTTGCGTGTATGGCACCGTGCGCTCCATCGCAAGTATCGTGAGGATGTGTGCAGTAGCGAGCGCGGCGTGCCTCTGGAGGTGGGTGGTGACAGAGTCTCTGCGCGTGGAGGATGAGTTGGTAGGAGAGGAGATCGATATGGGTACGCACCCGACGGCCACACGCAGAGCACTGAAGCGCGAGAACGTATCGTCAATGAGAATGGTGAGGGTCGAGTTAAATGACTCGTGAACGCGCTCGAAGCAGGCGAGGGCGTGGTGTTCCCAGGTGTGCTGAAAGTCGCGGATCAGGGCGCGAGAGACCTCGGGGGGCGTGTTGTCTGGGAGTTCGCGCGTCCGGCACCTGACGATAGAGCCAAGGGTATTGATGTGAAGTTCGCGGGGGGCAGCGAAGTTCGAGATGGACTTACGCATCGATCCGAGCGCGCACGTCGTCTAGGTACAGCGCATTCCGCTCTTCGTCGTTATCCTCGTCGTGTCCATCGGAGCTGTTGTCCTCGACGTCGCTGTCTTCGCTCGACACTCTCGACCACCCAAGTGGCGCTCCCACGCGCTCGAACGGGACAAACTCGGGCGCAGTGCCGCGAATCGCGCGCTTGAAGCTGATGTACGCCTCGTTGTGTCGTTGCACGAGGGCCGCGTGCACAGGGGATCCCTCGACGCGGTTTGAGACCGCGCCACAAAAGGTAGTGACGAGCTCCAGCACATGGGTCGGCGGGTCGGCGGTGACGACCGGTGGCAGGCGGGCGATTTCGTCAGCGCAGGCGGCGCGATGTACGGCGACCTCGCGTGCGAATGTGGGGAGCCTACGGGGTGACATATCAAGAACGGTCTACCATCGGCCGTGTGGAGACACGTACTTCTTCTGGATGAGCCGCGTCAGGAGCTCGCTCACGCTCCGCACCAGGTTCGGGGTCCCAAGCCGCGACTTTGCCGCGGCCGACGCGCTCGCCCACGGTGCCGCGGTGCGGAAGAAGGCGGCCTCCATGTCGCGCGCAGCGGCGGGTGCCATCCCCGCAAGCCGCGCGTCGTCGTCGGGCTGCCGAGTGCAGAAGTAGCCGTGTTTGAGCGCATGGCGGCGCCCCTCGAGGACGTCAAGCCACATCGCCCGGCTGGACGACGCGCCGGAGGGGAGCGTGTCGGGCTTGGTGAGAACGCCTGCAGAGATGATGAGCGATGGCGAACAGATGGGGATGGAGATACTTGCCAATCGTGCGCAGCCCTTGGGGGTCGGCGAGCTTGGCGATACGGGCGGCCTTTTGATTTTCAATGTCATCTAACGGCGCACACTGGGTGAGGATGATGGGATGCGTGCAATTTATGGCGAGACACACCGCTGACAGGAAGAGTCAGAAGAATGACAGAAGTCCCCTGGACGTAGGACGTGACGAGGTCTTCCACGAGTTTGACGATCTCAGGCTCCGCGTTCTGCACAATTCCTTCATCTTGCACGTGAACGCGTAATCGAAGAGAACAAAGAAGGGCACTCACCAGGGAGATCAACGAAAGACAGGTCAATGAGCTCTGGTCCCCTCACGTCCACGCAAATGACGTTCCTCGAGAACGGGAGGGATTCGAACCCCTGCGTGGGGCTCGCGCCGAGCCGCCCATTCTTGCGATTCTTGTTCTTGCCTGTCCCATCCTCCGAAGAATCAGTGTCGGGTAGAAAGTGATCGAAGGACAACTGGGGGCTGAGGACTGCTGCCTGTGCGCGTCGCAGCATTGGCTCGACCTGTATCCTGTCGTGCAGTAACGGTCCGAAATGGAGCTCGCGCACGTCCTCGAGGGCGAGCGGCGTGCCGGCGTCGTTAAACTCGTACCGAATCTGGATCTGGCACGACCACGCATCCGCGCGGGCGAGGCGCAACTCCATCGGACAACGTGTGCAGGTACCCGCGTCGCGAGGAAGGCTGATCTATGGACGCGAATCTGGTCAGAAGGACGAGGCCGTGGAGAGTAAAGGGAGACGTACCCCGGCGATGCTCTCCACCAGACTTGACTTCCCCGCGCTCTGGTTACCGATCACGACAATGCGGGGAAGGTCGAAGAGGGATTGAGCGCTGATGACGAGGGATGAGCGAGTGATCTAGGCGTGTGTGAGGAGATGAATGTCCGGCCACGAACCCGAGGGAGCGGAGAATGGAAACGAGGCCGATGAACTCCTGTGTCCTCTGAGCGTACGGTGTGTCGGCGATGAGGGAAAGCGGGGTGGAGCCCGATGGCAACATGATGCTGGAAGGCGAGAAATGGGGGCGTATGAGGTCAAGAGCGTCGGACGAAAGGCTTTTGAGCTCATCGCGTTCACAAAGAGCTGCTGCGGTAGTCCAAGTGCGTGTCGCAACGTAGAGGGAGGGAGTATCGAAGCTGAGATGTGCATGATGGGCGCGAACCTGTGGAGTGGGTGTATTTGACAGTGCTTTGAACAGATATAGATCAGCGTGAGGGCGCCTTAAAACGTAAAGGAACAGTCGGATCTGTTCGAACAGCGGGATTGCCCACTTGAGCGACAGGCGGCGCGTTGCGTTCACCGCCGAACCGACGGGAGCACTTTGCGTCTTTCCCACCGCCGTTGGCAAACCACTCTGCACCACAGCGCGACTTCTGCCCGCCAGCGTCCAGGACAAGGGTCGCGCTTCGCGGAGAGGTGGGGTGTGTAGCGTGTAGCGTCGAACTTCGCCAGCGGTGCTGCGTAGAGGGGTGTCAGAAGGCTATAGAGGAGATAATCGATCGGGGTGGGTGCGCACTGGAAGCTTGACGACCGGGCGCAGGGCGCCGAAGGGCGGAAAGGTGTGATTCGCGGGCGTCGAGCCGGACAAGTCGCGCGCGCACGAATCAGAGCAGCAGGCACGAGCCCGACAGACTTCGGAAGGCGCGTCCAGAGTGAGGCATCCGACTTCCATACAGGCCCACGCGGGATTCGGGGTTGGAAATGGACTTGCGTGTCGATTCCGTCTGGCACGTCGTCTGGATACAGCTCCCCGTCCGCGTGTTGTTCGCCGTTTCCGTCCTCGGTAAACGACACGCCCCACAGAAACCAGCGGCGACCTCCTGAACTCGTGTCGACAGTCTACCGTGACAGACAGTGGTAGACATTGACACAGGAGAGGTGATGCGCCCCGACCTCGCGCACGCATGGGAGGGGATCCTGCGAACGACGCGTTAATTGACGGTCACGGACGGGGGGGAGACAAGCAACTCGCACACACTGCAAATGAGGTTCGATGTTTCCAAGACCGCTTCTGTTGCCGTAGACGCGCCCGCGGCGCGGAAGAAATCGACCTCGACATCGCGCGCAGCCACGGGTGTTTTCTCGGAAAGCTGTGTGTCGTTGTCGTGGAGATTCCGGCTGTCGAGATGGCCGTGTGAGAGCGTGATGCAGTGTCGTTTGACGGAGTAGGCCCGGTTTACCTGCAGAAAGGATTATCTTCGAGGTGTGTAGACAGAGGCTCACCCATTGTACGTAGAACTAGGCGGTCGGCGAGCTTGGTTTTGAAAACGCATGACAGAGATACTGGGGGCAGATGCATGCGAGCAAGAGCACCCATACCATGTCAGGAAGAGCGAGGAAAGACCTTTGCACACGACCTTCCACGAGTTCGACGACTTCGGACCTGGCTGGTCGGACATCCTAGCCCCCTTGAGCCCGGATGTAAGTGCATGATTGATGACGAGGAACAAGGGCACTTGCCATGAAGGCCTCCAAAAAGACACGCCGAGAAACCTCGGCCCTCCACATCAACCCAGACGAAAATGAGAGCGTCTCTGCGTCGAGCTCACACTAAGCCGCCCATGCTCTGTCTTCTCTTGATGGCGGCTCCCTCCTTCGACACATCGCCGCGGCCTACGCTCGCCGCACATTCTGTTTGACCTCCTCCTTGTATTGCAGCACCGACCCAAACAGAGCTCGCGCGCATCGCCAGCGGCGGCCCACGAGGCGAGCCTCGGTAAGGCAGCGGGTGCAGATGCTCGTGTTGCGTGGGAGGCTGATCGGATATGGTCAGGACGAGATGACGAGGACGTGAGAGGGATAAAGGGACACACACCCCAGCAACGCTCGCATGGAGTCTTGCATTGCCCATGCTGTACACAACGGGTATTATGAGATGTCGGTGATGCAGTTGAGATCTGCACACAGAGATATCAGTGAGTGAGCCGAGTATGTATTTGAAGATGGATACGGACCCGACGCCGTGAAAAGAGTAGACGAGGCCGGTGAGGACACGGAGGCGGAGCCTGGGAGTAAGTTTGTGAATGTACGGCGATGAGCTGGATCGAGAGATGACAAATCTCTTCGCTCTCCACGGTCGCCTGGTTTGCCCATCCCGCACGAGTGCGTTGCGGCGGTTGGATGGAAAGTTAAGGGAGCCGAGTCGTACACGAGGCCCTGAGGGTTGAAAGCAGGCGTTTGGTGTTCAACAAAGCCCGACGAAAGATAGTCAGAACATACAGTCAGATCGGCTGAGAAGGTCAAATTTGGGGACCGCCCGGTTGAACCAAGGACGGTTTGAGGCGGTCACTATGGAACTGGTGAGAACTGGGAGCGACGAAACCATCAGCGAAGAGCTTGCCGTGAAGGGTGTATCATACATACGATAGACTCGATGTGGGCCGTACGTCTAACTAAGAAAGGAGAGTACCGGGCGTCAGCTTCAGCGGCGAGATCGCAATGATGCCTCGAAGGTTGAAGCCAAAGAGGCGGCATGGAAGAAAGCGGAGGCGAAGCGAGATTGAATTTCGTAAGAATCGCCACGTTCTTCGCAGCATAGACGGAAGCGTCCTGAGGAGGACGACGGGGACGGAAGACGTGGGGAGAGAGCGAGCAAAGGCGGTGCTGCGGCCCTCCGTGTGGGGCAAAGGAGGACGCATCGCGGGGAAGGCGTCGGTGGATTGAGGGCGAAGGACGCGTCGGTGGAGGAGAATGGCCGGGAGGCGGTGTTGGCTGAGTGGGCGCAGCCATTGCTCCACTCGCACGGCCAGCCGTCAGCGACATGGGAATCCATCCAAGCAGGGCACACGAACACGGCAAACGTCGCAGACCAAGGCAAAGGCGCGAGAGGAGAGAGAGATAGAAGAGAGAGCTGAGGGAGCGGGGCGGGAACACCGCCCGCTTACGTCAGCGGGAGGCTCTGCACCCATCGCTTGTCCGGCCGACGACCTCTCGGCGCCGCCTCTTCTTCCTCCTCCGCCTCGACGCCCTCCCTCTCTCTGCGCCGCCTCTGAGCCGCACTCGAGTGTCGTCCCCCGCCCGCCCGACGCCCTCCATGTCCTCTTCCAACCCCGTACGACCTCCCGGCTCGTCCACCCGCCCGCGTTCTCATCCACTTTCTTTGTGCTGCAGATCAGACGGAAGCTCGTCATCGTTGGCGATGGTATGCCCGCGTGTCGCTCACTGCTTCGCCGGTACTGATCCACGTCTGTGCGCAGGTGCTTGCGGCAAGACTTCGCTGCTCTGTTCCTTCGCCCTGGGCGAGTTTCCCAAGGAATATGTCAGTCTCAGTCTGCTTTTTGCTCCCCGCCCCCACTCACATCCTCCTCTGCACAGCAACCTAGTTGGTCGCGTCCTATATGCCCAGTTTCGCCCATGTCTGACCCCCGCTCCAGCCATCTTCGAGAACTACGTCGCGGAGATCCGGTTAGACGGCAAGGCCATCCAGCTAGCGCTATGGGATACCGCGTACGTCCTCTTTCCACCGTCTTCTGCGCGTTTCTCCTCCCCTCTCCTCTCCTGCTCTCCCCTCCCCGTTGTTGCCTATCCGCCCATCTGCTCGCAGAGCCTCCGAATCCTCGCTCGACACTTGTTCATCCTCCAATCCGCCATTGTCTTGTCCATCACCTGCTCGCCCGCGCTGTCGCACAAATAAGCCTGGCCTTGGCCGGGTCTCGCCTCCGGCTGCACGTTGTGGCGGGGCCTCCGCGCAGCACTTGGCGAAACCCTGCCCTCACGCTTTCCGCTTGTGCTGTCACCCATGCTGACTACCTCCGTTTCCGCGCTCAGTGGCCAGGAAGAGTACGAACGCTTGCGGCCGATGTCCTACTCCCAGTCCCACGTCATTCTCATCGCCTTCGCCATCGACACCCCCGACTCTCTCGAGAACGTTACCGTCAAGGTACGCCCCCCCTCCCCGTCTCTGTCTTGGCGCGGCCGACTGCTGACCCGCCCCCTGCCTTGACTTCAGTGGATAGAGGAGGTTCGCTCTATCTGCGGCCCCCACATACCTGTCATCTTGGTCGGCTGCAAGTCCGACCTTCGCCCGCCTCCTGGTAGGTTCTCCTTCCGTCCCAGCCGTCGCGTTCGGTGTTCAATCGGACCGCGCTTACATGTTAATTGGCCAGGTTCCCCCAACTCAGTCGCGTATGTCGCGCGTGAACAAGGCGAGCGTGTCGCGCAGGCGATCGGCGCACGTGCCTACAAGGAATGCTCTGCCCTCAAGATCGAGGGTGTTGATGACGTCTTCGAGGCCGCCACCCGCGCGTCGATGCTCATGCGAGACGGCGTCCCCGCTCACGCCGGCCAGCACCAGCGCGACCGCCTCGGTGGCAGCATGGCTGGTCGCCGTGCGAGCACGACGGGCGACGGATGGGAGGACAAGGGGAAGTGCTGCGTTATTTGTTAGTGACTGCAGGGCTATGGGGGATGCACGTACGTTCCTTCTGCACGCACGTCCCCCGTCTTCTTGCCTCTCTTCACACCTGCTATGCTGTTCTTCCCAGCCACCCTTTGACTTGCCGCGCCGCCGTTCCTGGTTTAATTCCTGGTCGATGGCCGGCCTCGCATGCACGCTTTACGCATCCGTTGTACTCTTCTCGCATGCCATGCCCCTCCCCGTCTCGTCAGTCCCTGTCCCGTCGCGTTCCCCGCTCTGCTAGCTTGCGGCTCCATTCACTCTACGATGCCAACACTACTCTATGTTCGAGTCCCCTCGCCTGTCGCATCTCCCCCGAATACCTCCACACACCCACATGGACTCACCCTCGCTCTCACGCTCCTTAAGCTCACGCCCCACGCATCGCACCCTGATTCGGAACGGACACGCATCGCCTGCCTCTCCAGCTTCCTTGCTTTCTTAGTTCTCCGCCCCACCCGCCACACACCATGGCCGTAACATATTTCGCCGGTCCGTCGCGCGCGCCGTTGATTGGGCGCCGCGGAGGGCCGCTGCTACTCTACATGTCTTATATACTCGCCGATGCCCTGGGCACGGCGTTTGGCGCACTCAACCTTGCCTGGTGGCTTGATTATCGTGCGTAACGCAGTGTGCGTCGTGTATCCAAGCAAGACCGACATGGGAGTTCGAGCCACGACCGCAACTCCTCGCTAAGTTGGGCCTCCGCGCGCGTTCCCCACCATGCCACCCACCCATTTCTCGTGCCCACCAACCACACCTCGCGGCGCGAGCAGTCCCGCTCACTGCAGATGGGACCCGCTCGATAATGAGTCTGACGCGGCTAGCGCCTGGCCTCGCACTGTTCTTGGAGTCCCGCCATCAGTCTGTCCACCCCGTCTCCAGTGCCCTCTGCAGTCATCCGCTCCTCCTGCACGCGAGCACTGAGCTGCGGCGCGCCCAACCTTCAATCACCCTTCCCCCTAATCACCATCCTCAAACGGTCGGGCTGACGAGCACGAATTGCTCGCTCGAGAAGGTCGACTCGGCTTGTTGTTTGGACACCACGAGGTTATGGGAGATCATCGTACGTCCTCAGGACCTCCTAAAGCCTCCCTTCCACCCTTGTAACATGCTGTGTCTCTCAAAGACCTCCATCCCTTCCAGGCCGGGCATCGACTCCCTGTCGAACTCATTCTGACGGTAAGCACTTCAGTTTTTCCTCGCGCACTCTTCAACCAACCCTCTGCCCGCTCAATCAGGGTGCGCCTTCCTCTCTCACCACCGGACCCCTGTTCGCTCAACGGTCCAAAAGTGTTCGAGCACGCCGCTTCCGACAGTCTGAGCCAGGCCGCCGTCCTGTGTCTCGTCTGCCGCACCGTCCGCACCGCCGTCCTCCCGGTCCTCTTCCTCCGCGTCGTCCTGCCCTCCTCCTCCCGTATCTACCGCTTTGCCCACGCCCTCATGGACCCCTGCCCGGCCCTGTCCGGCCCCTCCCCAGCATCCTTTGTGCGAGCCCTCTGGTTCGGGCCCCTCTCCAGCTCCCAGCCCAACGACCTCGACTACGACTCTCCCGCCTGGCCCATCACCCTCATCCACCAGATCCTCGCATGCACAATCAACCTCACCTCTCTCGCCGTCGTCCTCCTCGGCCAGCGCACCTGGCACCGCCTCGCCGGCGTCCTCCCCAGCACCTCTGGCTCGGCCCCGTGCACGGCCAGATCGACTACCCGCACCTCTCCTGTGCGCCCGCGCTCCGCACCGTCACGTCGCTCGACACCTTCATGGTCGACGCCGAGGTGCGCGCGCTCGTCCACGCCCCGAGCACCGTCCGCGCAGTGCGCCGCGTGTACTCGAACGTGAGCCCCGCCGAGCTCGCGTTCGCGCAACTTGCGTGCGTCGACGACGCCGCGCCCGCGCTCGAGCGGTTCGAGATCGTGTGCTACGCGGCCACTGCGACGGGCGCGCGCGCGTCGCTCGACGCCATCGCCGAGGGATGGGAGTTCGACCGGGAGCGGGTGGTGCTCGTGGGGAAAGAGCAGGTGGTGGACTCGGACGGGAGGACGAACTCGGTCGCGGCGTTTCATGCGGACTGGCTTGGGTACGTGCCATTATAGCCACGGCGATCCGTGCTGTCGTATGTTGTTCTTCTCTATATCTCATGCATTTGTCGCCTCCCCACCCCTGTCTGAGGTGTCCGTATACGGTGTCCAGCTGTCCTCACCAACACCGTGTTTGCTCGGCCGTCGCCAGGCCGCATCCGGGTGGTTTCGAGTCGAAACTTCATTGCCCCCGAATGCGTTCCTTTCCCGCCACATCCCAGCACGCGCTTCACCACCCCGATAGAGACCAGTAAGTGAGAGTGCGTGACCGAGCGACGAAGTATTTGACGCGAACGTGGCTCACACGCAGATTCTGCCGCCCCGTTCTGCCCATTCCACAAGAGCTCGAGAAGGTTTACGCCGTCTGGGGCTATCTCGTCAACCCTGGGGATCCTCGCGAAGCACAAGCCGCACGGGAATCGACCATCCACTCGAAAGCTAGCAGTGGTGCGGGGCGACGGCGACGGCACCCTTCTCCACCACCTGATTGATCAGCGCCGCCAGGCACGCTGCCACCGTCTATAAAGCCATCCGTCTTGACGACACTGCCCTCAGCTCTCCTGGCCCTATCACCCACCGCTTATCGACATGTCTCAACAACCGAAGCCTTTTCTAACTCCCTTCGACTATAACTATATCGACCCCATCACTCTGGTAGAGACCCGGATGAGATACTACTCGGGCAAGATCCGCGCCAAGCCCTTATGGTGGGAGAAGATCCACGATTCAACCATCGCTGCGAAGTGGCGGGCGGAGATGGTCGAGCACGACCGCGTCACGCACGACGGGCTCTGGGGAGGCGAGCGCCGCTTTGATGAAGATGACGAAGAGGGACATGCCAAGAAGTGGCCGCGCGACCCCCTTACGGATGCACAGATCGAGTACATCTTCGACGAGCTTGTCTACGAGGCTTCTGTGCTCGACCCTTCTACCGGGATATTCGTGAGTGGCACGCATACTGCGCATCCCTCCCGCTGACGACGGTACATCACAGGCGAGCGCTATCAAGAAGGCGTACGAGTCTCAGTCTCTCGTCGGCGGAGCGCTCAAAGAGAAGCTCTTGGAGGCAGCTGCCGCCTTCGAGAACGTCCCCGACGACCAGCAAGACTGGCACCCTGGCTCCGATGACCAGGTCCTCGATCTCGTTCATCCCTCTCTGTATCCCGTCTGTATCGGCCACACTCACTTCCGTTCGACTGGTCCCCAGGGAGCAGACCCCGAGCTCACTCTGCTCGACATCGACAAGTACCTTCAAGCACGGCCTGACCTTAAACCTGAGCTCGGACATTACACCGTCTCGGAGTCCTACCAGTGGCTCCCGACGGACTTCGACGTTTCCGCCGCCGGCGAAGTCACCGCGCTCGGATACATCAACAACGTCCATCCGTCGCAGCACCGCGAGCTCTACCTGCCGTCGCGTCCATCATCGCGCGCTTCGTGCCCATGTTTGAACGCGTGCTCTCCGACGTCGTCTCCGCCCCGGAGGAGGAGCAAAGCCACTTGCCGTCCGTGTGGTACGATGACCTCGAGGTCGAGTCGCCAAGGTGGGACCCCAAGGCCCCCGACTTCAAAACCTTCGGCACGCGGGTTAGAGAGTGGCAGCGCAAGTACAAGTGGCCTCATATCCCGGACCCGGCGCCGTTCGCTCCCCCCTCGCCCGACGGGCGAGTCGAGTTCCCCCTCAGAGGGCGAACGGTCCAGGTCATCGTCAAACTCGCCAACATCCACCTCACGCCCGACAAGCCCTCCTACCCTGGCGGGTCGTGGCACGTCGAGGGCATGTTGAACGAGCGCATCGTCTCCACCGGGCTGTACTACTACGCGATGGAGAACGTGACCGAGAGCCGGCTCGCGTTCCGTCAGCGCGCCGGCGGGGACGACTGGGGCACCGACCTCCCTTGCGAGCAGGACGACCACAAGGGGTACCGCGTCGCGTACGGGTTCGGAAAAGACGAAGCCCTCAGTCAGGTGCTCGGGCACATCGTCGCCGCGGAGGACAAGTGCGTCGCGTTCCCGAACGTCTACCAGCACCGCGTCGACCCGTTCGAGCTCGCGGACAAGACGCGCGCGGGGTACCGGAAGATACTCGCGCTCTTCTTGGTCGACCCGAACGTTCGAGTTTTGTCGACGACGGACGTGCCGCCGCAGCAGCGCGACTGGGCGATAAAAGAGGCGGGGAAGGCGCCGCGGCTGCAGGTTTTGCCGCAGGAGCTGTTCGACATGGTCGCTGACTTCGCCGCGGATGGGCTGATGTCGCGGGAACAGGCGGAGGAGCACCGGGAGAGCCTGATGGAGGAGAGATCTGTTTTTGTCGACACACAGAACGAAGAAAGGTTCGAGCAGGAGTTTGGTATGTGCGAGCATTGACCATGTTTCCTGGTAGATTCCGGTACGAGTCCGTGTCTACTCACATAAGAGTGCATGCATAGTCCACTACGCGAGGCTCCCCCTTTTCCTCCTTCAATCATCGTTCCCAAGTTCCCAAATAACCAGCATCCACAGCCAAAAGTCGGAATCGAAAATAGCTCCCAAACATTCGCATATTGTGCCGCAGATGTGACGGCACGAACCCCAACCACCATCGTTGAGTGGGTCATTGACCTTGGCTCGCAGGTTGCCGCCGCGCCGCCTGTGCTCGCACATCAGGAAGGTCGCGACGACAATGTCCAGCACCGGTTCAAGTGCCGCGTCGACGTCCAGACTCATAAACCGGCCGTGCTTCGCCGAGTACGTTGCTTTCGCGACGACGCGGGCTTTATCGGTTCCAGCTTGACACACGAGCTGCAAGTGCGCTTGGTAAGACGACTCCCCACGAGACTCAAGGTGAAGGTACCTCGAGCGACGATCTCCAAGAGCGCTTCCTCCAGGTATACCTCCCCACGTGCTTGTCTGGGTACGCCCTCCTGCAAGGTTCTCCGTCAGCTTTCGCTCTCCACTGAGCATCCGTGCTCACAGACTACTCACATATCCCACCCATCGTACGGGTTCCGCGCGGAAAAGGGCGTCCCGTCCAGGACGAGGCGGTCCGGGTCGCCCACGCTCTGCGCCCACAGCGCGACAGCGTCGCCGCCGGGCAGCACGAGCCGCGTCATGCGGCGCGTCACGCCAACCGGGTTGCCGGCGGAAGCGGCGGTGTTGATCGAGGTGGAGACGGTGTAGAGGAGTGTGTGCTCCTTGCTGCGCGCGTCGACGTCGAGGACGGACGTGTCCCAGACGCTCTCGGACGAGAAAACGAGCTTTCGTCTTGACCCCAGGGGACGCAGCGACTGCGGGGGTGTGTACTCCTCACTTTTGGTGCGGGAGGGCATGCCGAGTGGCGACGTTGTACTTTAGTTGTGTGGCGTGGTGGTGGCTGCTTGCCACTCAGTACACGCTGAGTCGGATATTTGAAGTATACGGAGCAGTTTGTGGGCGCCGCGGCGGACGTGGGATACTCGGCCGAAGCCTCGAGGCTGCCATAACAATACCGTTGTGGCTTTGTATTCTCTGTGTTGCTGCTTCCCGGTTCCAGAAGCAAGAGTCAACAGACTGTGGGTATGCATCCACATCCGCTTTTTTTTCAATAATCGGCGGCTCCCACACTCATCGGGAGTCCGAAATCATCCTTCGTCGAGAACAACAGCGATGGTAGACCCCCGGCCAGTGCGGAGACAGAGAAGCCCCACTCTTATGATACTATGCGATCACGCGGCCTCAGGCTTCGCGGGCTGCACAGCAATACGAATATATTGCCGTCATTGGAAGCGTGCAGAAAGCCGGGCAGGGGGTGTGTCTGGGGTTGGGATCCCTGGAACAAGAAGGATTCTTAGTCAACGTGCTCGTCTCGAAAATAGTCCGGCTGACCTCACACTACGTAGTACGAATACATGGTCCCCGCCACTGCCCTTATCATGATGTCCCCATCCACCTGTGGCACTCCACCGATACCAGTGCCCGTACCGTCTCCCGCCGCCCCCCCACCTGCGTGGCTGCGCCGGCGAAGCTCACAGACGACGAATGTCGTAACCAGGATGTCCATGTCCGCCCCGGCTGCGTGCCCGGCGGAATCGAAGATATCGACACTCAACGGCCGGCCGTGCGACTTCGCGTGGTGGGCTTTCGCTGCGGTCCGCACGGATGTCGTCGAGGTCGGATGTGAACGTGACTCAAAGGGCACGAGCTACGTGCGTAGTTGATTAGCGAAGACGTTACAGTGGGGGCGCGAGACAGACCTTGAGCTTGAGCGACGATGTCCTGGCACGCTGCTTCCAGATGTACCACAGTCGGTCCGGTCCGAGAATCGGGAACGAGCTGACTCGGGAGCGACCCGGTTAGCGAACGACACTGGCTAGAGGTTGCAGCTGTCGAAGTGACTCACACCCGCGCGTTTGGAAGCAGCGGCTTCGGCAAGCCCACCGCTTCCCCTCGCACCGTCAACCGCTCGGACTCGTGTCCGGCTCCATGCGCTGGTGTCCACGTCCACATTGCGACTTCTTCCCCTGCGGCGTCCGTGATTATCGTCGTGGACGTGGGGCATGTTCCGTGCGTGTCTTCCAACTGGGAGGTACGGATCGTGTAGAGGACTGCGTGCGTCGAGGCGTCAACGGCGTCCGCGTCTTGGACAGTACTAGAGGTGAAAGTGATGGTCTTCAGCTGGTTCGTTGTAGCAACGGTTAAAGACGAGGACGAAGAGAGGAACGAAGGAGGGCGCATGATAGGGCAGACTGGTACCTGTGTCCATCTATCTCCCATGGAACATATATATACCACCGTGACAAGCATCTGAGCAGACGCGGGAAACTGCGGTGCCGGTGGCGATACGGTCCATTGAAGGCGTTCCGTAGCCACCGCCACGTGCACAGCAGTTTTCCGTGCCCAATCATCTTCGGACATGCGCCGATGGAGACCTGAACCAAGGCGCTGCGAAGGAAGAGCGGAGAGAAATGCAGTGCGCCGCGCGTCATCAACACCCGCATAGTAGACGCGCCCTCACTGCCCGTCAGTGTCTTTCGTGTCACCTGGGGCGTCGAATAGGCTATGTTGACCGAGTCTGTTCGGATATCAGGCGGCCCAGGTGGGTCGCCGGTCAGGATGGTGATCATGAGCCAACGATGACGAGAACAAATCTAACCACGCACTTCGTGAAGCCGGAATTTGTAAGCCATCTTCCGCATGGACGCCTCGTGGGCAAATTATAGAATCTCATACAGCGCTCCGTCAGACAGAGCTTGATAAACAGATGGCGGCTCATCTGACGTTAGTTCGGCGCTTGTGCGGAGAACACTGAGACTCACAGAGCGAAGCCTACCCTCAGCACACCGGTATCTCCCTTGAACGCTCTGGCACGCATCATCTAGACCAAACGCAACGTCAACGTCGACAACCCTTCCCTAAGCGGGGAAGAGCCCACAGGGCGCGGAATTACTACTCTAAACGCATCGCAGACTAAACGTGCCCAAATGCGAGCAAGGGACCGAGTACTGGAGGTGGCAGATGAAACGCAAACGCCTCGCAATGAGTCGGAGGGCGTGCAAGGCGCGTGTCGCGTCAATGTCATTGCGAGGTCCGGGAATCAGGAACGACATGAGGCCTGGAGTTACAAGACTAGTCAATGTCTCGAATTCTTGGCGATTCATCCCTTCATCCCCTCTCCACGACATCGCTGCCAGTGAGGACATGGCACAACACGACGCGCATACGCTACCCGCAGAAATCATATTCATGGTGAGCACAGCGTGTATTGCGCAAGTATGTCGAACTCACCTTCTTGACAGATATCCGCAGCGGCCTCCACGAACGACCTCCGCACCGCGACGAAGCTCTGCCTTGTCTGCCACGCGACGCGAGGATGGGTGCTGCCCGTCATGTACGGGTCCGTAGTGCTCACCACCGCCCGCGACATCGAAACCCTCGCCGCCGCACTCACTCGCCTCACGACCGACGCACCGACCCTCGAGCACCCAGCGTCTCGCATCCGCCGACTGTGGATCGGCCCCACATGGACCCCGTCACCGCAGAAAGCACACCCTTCAGAGTCTTCCTCCCTGCAGACGCTCTCCTCACACACAGCGTGGCCGTCCCCTTCCATCCGCGCCATCCTCTCCCTCGCGACCAACCTCGACGCGCTCGCCGTCCTCGCCGCCCCGTCCTCGTTCTCCCTCGCCACTCTCTCAGTGCCCAAGACCGTACGAGCACTCACCTTAGGACCGGCACACGGGCCGCTCAATCTGAATCGGTTCCCGCACATCCGCTCGGTGACGAGCGTGAACACGATGGTCTTCGAGGACGAGCTGCGCGCGATCCTGTTCGGGGACCGGAGGTCGGCGGCGCGGCGGCGGGTGCGGATGGTGGTGCGTGGGGCGGAAGTGGGGGAGCTGGTACGAAGGCACGTAGGAAACGTGCTAGAGCAGCTGAACTCCTCTCTTGAGGTGGGGGAGGACGAGGCAGCCGGGGTGGAGGTTGTGCTGTGCGTCCCTCGATCGCCGGTCGCCGAAAGGCCGCCTAGGAGGGGGAAGGAGGGAGAGAGGGCGGGCCGATGCCACGAGGGCTGACCAGGCCGAATGGCGGTCGGTGGACGACGCTTGGGACAGCCAGCCGGACATCGTCGCCACCGTCTTTGCGCGCTGGTCACGCCCGCGCCGTGACCCAAGCACGTGTTCGTGATTGCATCCAATTTTGTGATGTCACTGCTCAGCCTCTTTCCCTCTCACGATCAGTACCTACTTTCTCTGCTTATCATAATGCATTCACAACCGCAATGAAAGGGCCCCTTGATGCGCACACCACTGCTTCACATTTTCCAGCAGGTGTGTTTGACATCAGTGCTCGATTGCAAGCTGAACCAGTCACCTTCCGACGTCCAGCCCCGCGTCCTGAACGTCTCTGCGCCGGCGTCATCCGCCATCTAAGTTTCCTGCCGAAACACCACCTCCACAGCACCCGGGTTCTCGAACCAAACCACAGCAGTGCTTAAGCAAGGCGCTGACTCCCGGTCAGACTCTAAAAACGCACTAGCCGCTCCGGAGTGCAGGTCGACGCCGGGTAGTACAAAGGTGCATCGTCGCAGCGACAATGCAGTCAAAACGCCTCCGGATCCCATATGCCACGATACTTCAGTCACGGTCAATTTGTACGCCATTATTGCCGCGTCTCGCGAGTCCGTCCGAATTCAACTGGTATGTTGGTTCCATAATATCGACGGATGACTCCACCTGACGGGTCACGGCAGGCTTAAGCTTTGAGGCCGGATACGCTCGTGTTAATTCCAATGGCTCGCAACACGTGCAGGTCAGTTGTCTCCAGAAGGCCATCGCGGACAACGGGTTCAATAACGTGCTTGTCGTCAGCCGGACTACTATGCCTCAAGTTCGAGGCAAGTACTCCGAGCCTGCCTCCACGCATGCAATAATCTGATATCTCTACAGTGCGCCGCTAACGGTACGCTAGACCGCATCATTCAATCATAACGCCCACCGCTACTCCATTGAAGGCCGCGCAGGTCGTCATCAACGTCAGGCCACCCTACTCGACCTAGTCGGCTTCAGGTACCGTCGTCACGATCACCCCGGGGCTCATTGATACTTCAGACACAGACATCGAGCACTACCCGAAGGTGCAGCGCCGGTGGGAGATCGTACAGACGGTGGTAGCCCCAGCCCGATGTATACAAACGCATGCAATAGCGTCGCCGCCCCGATTGGCACCCAGCTCGTGTCTGTTGCTGTTCGACGACAACGACGAGCACCGTGCTCTATTCTTGTGCACGATCATGAACCTCGCGTTGTCAACACAAACAACAGTCGAGTCACCATCCGCATTTATTGAATCGCTGGTATCAAGCGAAAGCGTACAAATCGTCGAGCGCGGCCTCGGCCAACAATTGACGTCCCACGTCCTCCGTAACCTCTACCACCGACCCCTCGGGGGTCATCGACTTCCACCAATGTCTCATACAACCATTATACGGCAATGCAAGTGCAACGTGCTGCAGCGTTGGATGGCTCCGCAAGACCCGCTGAACGACATAGCCCGTGCGTGTGTCCTTTGTGTTCAAATTCTTGAGTACAAGGACATCTCCGACCCCGCTTGAATATTGGGCGACGGCGGGTATGCCGACGGCGGTGCGCACACGCAATACGAGTGTCTGGAGGCAGGGGAAGCCCTCGACGCTCGGCTGCAAGCAAGAACGTGTCAGTCCCAGCACATTCTCTAGCACGTCTATGCACTCACAATATCGATGCTTTCCCAGGACATGGAGAAACACAAGTCGAGCGCGAGGTGCCGCACGCCGTGACCGAAGTGTGCCAGCTTGGGGAACGCGACGCTCGCTCGGCAGACATCCTTGAAAAACAACCACGGGTCTCCGAACACGACGCGCCGATGGTGCGTCCACGTCAGTCGCAGGCTCGTGGGCCACGCATCGGCGATGACGGTCGCGTACTGGTGTGCGAGGAACGCGCGGTCGAGGTTCTGCGGGTCACCAAGCGCGAACGGCCCATTGACGACCAGACGCCCGACGCGGCACCCTTGCAAGTTGAGCGCGTAAAGGGACACAAGGTCGCCGGAGAGCTCATCTAGCGTCTGCCACCGTGCGACTCCTCCGTTGAGGGCGCGCAAGGCCTGGCTGGAGTAGTACGCGGTGTCTGGGAGGGTCGTGGAGAGTCCCGAGAGCTTCAGCTTGCGGACGTTGGGGAAGGCCTCGACGAGCTGATGGAGTGATAGGGCGCCCGATATGCCTTGGAGCACAAGCGTGTGCACCGCGCGTGACGCTGCGACGGACGGCTCTAGATTCTTATGGGGAGCGGCGAAGGTCACGTTTTTGGCGGTGACTTCTTCGATTTCCGGGTATCTGGACAGTAGCGCCATCAACGCACGGTAGGAGATGGTGCCGTCGTCCGCAGGTTCCGCGCTCTCGTGCCAGAAGTCGACGTCAATGGCGCGAAGATGCGGGGAGACGAGCGATCTGCACAGCTGGCGCGTCCAACGTCCGTATCCCGTTATCGTAAGACGACAGAGTTTCGGGAGGGAGGAGATGGCCTGAGTGAGCGCGGGCTTGGCAACGGAGAGCAAGATCTCGAGCTCGTCCATGTCCAGGTCTTGCAGCTCCGTGGCGCGCTGAAGCACATCGACTAGCATCGACGTGCCGCACCTCTGATGAGAATATTCTCTGTCCATGACATTATCGAAGTCGTGACGCCAAGGATGGGCCTGCCGTTCGCCGGTGTCCAAGATGGAGTCCGTGATCGCGTGATCCAGGCCATCGAGTACTGCCTCAGGGGAGACGAGCCTGATCAGGCGGAGCTGGCGAAGAAGAAGCACCCGTTCGGCGCACTTCTCGGAGAGCATGAAGCGACAGAACGAAGCCAGTTGGGGTTCGGAGTTGATGGTGATAGGCCGTGCGAGCAGGCATTCGATGCCGACCTTGCGCAGGTGGCCGCACACGGTCGTCACGCTCAAAAGGTCTCGGTGGGGGAGAGAACTGACAATCGTGTGTAACACGTCGGGAGGGAGGGAGGTGAGAGACATGGTGGGCGTGAGATTGGGTGGAGACCTATGATGATTGTGAGCGCGGGGGGGGAGACGAAGGTCGTCGCAGACTTACACTGCGTGGATTGCCATGGAGAGGGACGTTCTTTAGCCTGCAGGCGAGAGCTTAATCGACGTATATACCTCATGTAATTCTCATAACCAGAAGCTGCCTAGAAACATGGTGCGTTGTATTCTGTAGACGCGATTTGCAAGAACAAGGGCGCTACAAGACCGACAACAAATATAAGATCTCGCGGAAGTAGTGTCACAGCACGTCACGCGTGACACCTTCTCGGAAAGAGGCTTCGCTTGACAACACAGACCACCCAAGACATGACGAAAGATTCCACGCTGGCGCGTTTACAGACCCGTTCTTGGTGGTCGCATCGTGCGCGTGAGCCAGGCACTCTTATTCGGGAAGATAGCTGCATTGTAGTCGTCAACACACGGATACAAGGACTCCCAGCGTCCCATGGCAGCCGCGCGAAGAGCGTACATATCACTCACATGGCAGTATCTCACTCGCATGCTGCACTAGTACCGCATAACCTCCAGCGCCGTTGCGAACATGGATAGCACTTGGACGCCCGCTTCGCGCATGCGCACGTTCGCACCACTCGCCGTCTTGTCCGAAGGTGTGCGCGTTCGCGAACGCGGTGTACACGGCCTCGATGATAGAGCGCGAGGAAGCCGGCGCAGATCTGCGTTGCAGCGAGGGGCGGCAGTGTGAGACGGAGCTGCAAGCAATCATGAAAACAAAACGCACGTCGGTAGTGATGCTTCTTACCCGTGACCACGGTCCACAACTACGGCCCGGGAGTCGGCGCTTGAGCATTGGCACTGGCGTCGTGGTCGATTTCTGCGTGAGCGGGGCAGACGGCTGTAGTAAAATCGAGGATCCGTCAAATTCAACTTCGAGATGGCAGAGGAACTTTCACCGAGCGTACCGGGGAAGTGATACAGACGCCTAAATACTCTCCCTCGTGGTAGGCATTTGCAATCGCGACACCAAGAGAGTGTGCGCTCTGGAAACACGCTGCATTTGGTACATGATCAGTGCTTGCATTGCAGTGGAGGAGGAGGAGGAGGAGGAGGAGGAGGAGGAGGAGGATATTGATATTGACTTGAGCCCATCCAGCAGTGCGTCAACACGGAGGTGGGGGGTGTAAGCGGTCGAGAGCGGTGCCGAAAACCAGGCGCCCGCGCACGGACCACTCATGAGACCCGGGGTTCGAGCCCCACAACACGACGTGTTTTTATGCAGGACGCAGTCCAACTTCGTGACCGCTTCAATGGAAAATCATGGTCATACAGGCTGGCAGTTCGGCCACCTCTGGCAGGCTCTTCTACATCGCTCCACCGCCCGCCGCTCCCGTTCCCGCCATCGCCCCGCCGTCCCCACGAGAGCGACCACGAGCCCGCCGCTTGTGCTCGCAGATCACGAACGACAGCACAAGCGCGTCAAGGATCTGCGCCAGCGACGGGTCGAAGTCGATGCTCATCGCGCGCGGGCCGAAGACGTGGTGGGCATTGTGTGCCTTCGCGACTGTCCGGCCAGACCGATCGTCGACGAGCTGCGCGGAGCGAGAGATATGAACGACGACGACCCAATGAGTGGAAACCGCCCACACCTTGAGCGAAGAAGCAGCCTCACGCGTCTTCCAGGTGTACGACTTCCCATCGGGAGCGGTGAACCTGCGCGAGCTAGTGGAAGACTAGTCAGCGACTTCCGGAAGCGTCCGACTCGAACGAAGCAACGCACCTGCCGAAGATGTTTGGCGTATCCATCCAGTCGACCATGTACCTCTCCTCTCCTCGGATGGTCACCTTGTCTCGGCCGAAGGCCCTTCGGTCCCAGACCGCGACAACGTCCCTGTCGACGTTAGTGATGGTTGTGGTGCCCGATCCGAGGGAGATGGGCGTGTCAAGATTGAACAGGAACTTGTTTGACGCGCCATCGTACACGTTCGAGTTGTGGACGCTGTTCGAGTCGAAGTGGATGTTCATCGACATGGGGGGCTCGGTGGGACCACAGAAGTTGGCGGGGGGGTTGCCTAAATGCTTGGGGAAACGAGCCCAGATCGCGGTTGGCCTGGGTTAAATGGCATGAGGCTGTGCACGATGCGTTGTGGATTAGCAGGTGTCTGTGGCCGGGGCCACGTCGGGCCCCATGGTCGACGTCCTAGGACAAGATGCCTTGGGCGCTTCGCACTGCGCTGGGCTCGGATCCGGTTCTTCCCGGACCGCCATGACTCGACGCAGGCTCGATCTCGCGCTAGTACGGCCACCTCGTTCTCCACAGGCCAACCTTCACCACCTCTGTCTTCTCGAGGCTCGTTGCTGCGACATGCGGGTGAAAACTGAAGTTATTGTTTGCGTAATCTGCAGCGTCACATGTGCTCGTGGTCGGGCTTGACATGCTCTACGACGGTCATAGATACCTGCGTTCCCCTCATATACGAAGACATGCACTCCTCCGTCGGAATCCATGATGACAGTCATGCCCCAATCACCAGGCGATGGGGTACCGATCGTCCACCTGCATCGTCCCCGGCGCGTCAACGTCGGCCTTGGACGGCCTCGCTGCACAGAGCACACCACACACCTGAAGCCATGTCTCCTCGGGTTTGGGCTCCACGAAACCAGCAGGCTGGGCAACGGCGCACGCGCCGACGACGGTCGCGAGGAGAGCGATGAATGCGGAGAGGCGCATGGCGGTGCTGGTGAGTCCCGGTTCGTACTAGGGCGTTGTGCGCGTGCGGTTGAGAGGTCCGAAGGCTCGCTGGGCGGCGGGAAAGGCAAGAGTCGGGACTCGGCAGGACGTGGGCGGCGGTGCCCCTGTTATCTTCCTGTATCTCATAGCGGGTGCCTGGTGGTCACAAGGTGGCGCGAACCATTTCAATTGGGAAGACGCCTCGGGCCGATTCTAATCTTGAGGCATCACGCAGCACTAGAAAGAAAGATGCGCAAGAGTCGGCTGGAATATATACGTTGCGCGCGATTAGTGATACATAATGGTCAACAATCGGGGTCGTGCAAGGATTCGAGTATGCAGATGTATGATAGAGTAGCGTAACGTAGACAAAGTGCGTACCGTACAGTGGTGGTGTCACAGGGATAAATAGCGAGAGAGCGGGAGAGCGAGGTGAGACGGGCTAGTGCGCGACACCGTTCGCGTGCCCATTTTGTGCTGGCGCGTCTTTGGGGGCGAGAGCGGCCGCGGCGACGGTGGTCGCGCGCGGGGAGAGTGTCACGTACACCTCTTCGATCCGGCTGTGCGACACGTCAGCGTCTGGGCTCAACCGAAAGCGAATGAGCTACTCACACAGCAGCGCCGTTGCTCTTCAGCTTGATCGCCCCATCCGCGTCGAGCTTCGCGCCCTGCGTCTTGAGCGGGAGCTGCACGTCGAAGACGGCGAGGATGTGCGCAAAGTGGCTGAACAGCAGCGCGTCGGCGAGAAAGCGCCCCGGGCACGTCCGGTGCCCGTACCCAAACGCGTACTTCATCGGGTGGAGGATGTCGGTGCGGAGCGCGGTCCCGGTCGCGTCCAGGAAGCGGTCGGGCAGGAACTTCTCCGGCTCCGGGTACTCGCTCTCGTCGCGCGAGATCGCCCAGCTGTTGGCCATGATCTGCGCGCCCTTGGGGATCAGGTGGCCGTTGTAGTGGTCGTCCTCCATCACCTCGCGCGAGATCACCGGCGCGATCGACACCCAGCGGAGGACCTCGCAGAAGACGGCGTCGAGGAACGGGAGCTGCTTGCGGTCCGTGAGCGTGGGCAACCGGCCCGCGCACACGCCGTCGACCTCGGCCTGGGCGCGGCGCATGATTTCCGGGTGCTGGGCCATCGCGAGCAGGAAGGTGACCGTCGCGGATTCGCTCTAACGTTCGCGCGTCAGCATTGATCCCACAGCGCTTGGAGCGGGCGCCGGGACGTACCGCGAGCATGCCGCCTGCGTTCATCGTCGCCGCGATCATCTTGCTCTGCTCGTCCGCACCGGGCGCGTCGATGCCCTCCTGCGCCATCACCGACGGGTGACCCGCTGCCGTGCCCTCCTTGGTGAGGTCGACGGTCATGGCCGCGGTCGCGTGCAGCTGCGTTTTCCACTCCCGCCCGAGCTTCACCTGCTTCCCGAGCCACGGGACCCACCCAGGCACCCAGGACACGACCTTGTTCAGCGGCGGGATGTCGAAGCACCGGTACTTGTCCGCGAGCACGTCGGCGGCGAAGTGCGCGAGCGCGTTCATCTTGTCGAGCGCCTCGCCGGTGCGCGCGCCGTCGTAGCCGGTCGAGACCCGGAGGAAGAGCGCGCCGAGGCTGTGGTCGATCGTTTGGGTGAGCTTCGTGCAGCCCTCGTCGGCGGCGAGCGCGCGGACGAACGCAGCGCTGGCCGCCTCGCACGCGCCGGCGTACTGCCCGACGGCGGTCGGGCCGATGCCGAGGTGGAACTGCTTGCGGGCGTGCGAGAAGACGTCGCCAGGGTCCATGAACGGGAGCGTCATCGTCAGGTTAGAGCTGGGCGCGGGTCAGCGGGGTGTGCAGGAAAGGAGGAAGCGGAGACGCACATGTCGGCCATCTTGCGCGGAGCCTTGCTCGAGTAGCGCTCGAGCTCCTTCTCGAACAATGCCTCGATCGCCTCGCGCGAGTTGAGGACGATGATTTTGGTGCCGAAGACGGTGTACAGGTTCACGTCGGAGCCTGGAGATCCGCCATGGGTTCGTCAGCGCTCGTCTCGAGGAGCGGAGAAGGGGAGAGACGAAGCCATCTCTCGCAAGTGAAGGCGCGCGCACGACCGAGCCGTCTGATCGCGCCACCTCCCTGTCCTCCGGGTGGACAGGCGACCCATGGCACATCCTCTGACGCCCTGTGCCATAGGTTGCCTGTCATCGCGGAGGACGGGGAAGCGGGAGGTCTGTCACTGTTATCCCCGCAGGAGTCTCCCTTGTCCGCTCGCCGACGTTGACCGGAGAACAAGAGAGCGCACGGAGCACATCGAGTCCCGTCTGTGCTCGTCGTCGCTTCCGAGGGCATGGAACCGCACGGCACACACCAGGTCTGGGCCCGAGGGCGAGCGTGGCGCACAATCACGCGGCGGCCTAGCGCGACACGAGCCCGAGCGTCGCGGAGCGTGGTCTGCTGGCCGCGTGAGGCCGTCGGCAGATTTTGGGTGAGGGCCGCGCTCGCGCCGGGCCAGCATAGGGAGGGAAAGCGACGAGGGGGGATACGACCACTCACCATACTTCTTGGACTGGCCGTAGAACCACTCCCACTGTTTTTGATGGGGGATGTCGAAAACATTGCCGAGGACAGGGAGTCCAGAGGGCCCTGGTGGGAGGTGGGTGTTGCGCGTGCGGAAGACCATGGCGGGGGAGAGAGAGGAGGGGAGACGCGGCGGGGGGCGGGGCGCGCAATAAGAGGGTGGAGCGGGGGAGGAAAAGGAAAGTCGGATGCGGGGGCGTGGGCCCGAGGAAGAGGAGGAGGGAGGTGCGGACGAAGACTGGGCCGCGAGGGAGCTTAATATAAGTGCGCGCGCCGGCTCCGTCTTCGCGCGCGGGATGGAGGGCGAGGGCGGGGCGAGGCGGAGGATCAGGGACGCGGTCTCGCGAGCGGGACCTGTCGGGGGCGCGGGGTGTCCGGGCGTGATCTGTGCGGATGGCAGTGCGATCTTGGGTCGGGCGTGCGAGGGCGTGTTCGGCGCGTCCGCCGAGTACCGCTAGGGCAGAGAGTTGGAGTATGGCATGGGAGGTCGTATTGGTACTCACCTGGCCCTCCTTCCACATCTTACGGCACGACCTCACAGCTCTGTCCAAGGAGCCCAGCGCTCCGCCCTCGCATTGCCGTCGTTGGAGAAGCGGTGGGCGTACGAGGCGAGACCGATGGCGAAGATGGAGAGCAAAGGCGGGGAAGCGCCCACCGTCCCTGGCCAATCGGACGGCAATGTCGCACGCGAGCGCTCGCCCTGGCCCGCTCACCGTTCGCGCGCCCGCGCTCGACGGAGGCAGCCTCGAGGCCCGTGCTCCATGTGCTTTCTCTCCTGCTTGCACCCACCCGGCGACAACCACGCGAAATCACCGGTCTCCTCTCGTCTCCCACTTGCCCCTCGTACTCGGATCCATCTCAGGATCGACACATCTGCCTGCGCATGGCTGACATTCAACACGGCGAACATTGACAGACCGCCTTGAACGTCAACGAACACAGATCGCCCCTCTAGAGCCTCTAACCTTCGCCCGCTCAAGTTGGAGCACCACCCGGACCCAAATCCTCCGGTCTGCTAGTTCGCGCCGACCCCGGCCCCGAGCGTGCATCCGCGTCGGGCTCGGAGTTGATGGACATCTAGCCCCGGCTCCAGGCGCCAGGCCTTCCAGTCATCTCGCCAGCGTAGCAACCCATCGCCACCTTGACGTCTAGATGTCCACACTCCTGTGTCCCGCAAGTTTCAAAACCGGGCGCGACGACAACCTTCTGTCCGCCACGCCAGACGGCGTTCTCGTGCAGTGTCTGTCACCAGCGCAGGTCAACCCCCCCAGTCCACCTATCGCCGCTCGCCGCGCGCTTTCTCTTCACGTCGGCACGTCGAGCGCGGGGAACGAGTCCAACGTCCAACGTTCGTCCGCGGTCCGCTGGACCTTGCTGCGCGCGGCCTTCGCGGGATGCCTTCCCGACGCAAGCCTTCCCATGCGCTGTCCCCCTCGCTGCGCCGACCCAAATTCAATATTCAGGGTCGCGCAACATCGAAGCGAACTGAATGACGTGACGTCAGGGCGGCCCGCCCCCGCGCCCAGCTATCAAATGCGTTTCAGTGCACGAACGGCGCCCCCGTGGGTGCTTGCCTGGTGGGGGCGGAGATACCGCGTCTTGTCTACGACGTGATCTATGGTGTGCTGCGGATTGGAAGCAGCACGGCGTGTGTTGCGACAAACAGCTGGCGCAAAGGTACGGGCCGCGTCCCTTGGTCGCCCGATTGCCATCTCATATAACTTATAAGGACATCGGCAGTCCGACGGTCACGTCCTCGCTTCGGAGCATGATGAGTACGCCTGCCCATCGCGACGCGCGCACAGCGGATGGGACCCACAACGACACTCGTGGCGCGGGTGCAAGGCGTGCCGCCGGTGTGGGGAACGCAGAGCCCATACGCAACGAGAGCCGAACGTCCGAGTTGTCCTGGGGGTGGGGATTGTGAGCGTGCAGAGAAGACAACGCAGCTTCGAATGTTCTCATCGACCTCCGCTTGATCCTTGAAGCGAGCGCGTAATGATGAGTGCACTTCCGGATGCGAAGACAGTGAAGAGAGCTTCTGGGCGCGCGACAAAGGTGGCCAGAGACGGAAAGGGCGGTGAAGTATGGGCACAAGGAGCGTACTATACACCTGGGAGCACACGCGTGGCCCGCTACAGCTCAGCACCCCAACGCCGAAGATTCGGAAGAGCTCGCGTCAACATCAACACAAATGAAAGATGATCATGCAGTCCTTCTCCTTCGTGTCCCAGACGCCTGGACGCGTCATATACAACAAAAAACCCCAAGCTGCAGCAACGTTGCCGGGTGCCATGAGTGACGTCTCTTATGTTCGCATACAACGAACGGCAGAAGCAACACGTCGAGTGGTGGAGAGAGCACCTCGTCAAGGTATATGCACATCGTGCACGCCCGGAGCCCATGATACGCACGGTGTGCTCTCGCGACCGTCGAACCTATGGGGTCGTCGACGAGCTGAACGACGCGTGAGTTCTATCTGACAACGACGTTCAAAAAGCCGAACGTGGCATACTTTGAGAGCGGACGCCCCGTCGCGCCGCTTCCAGGTGTAGCTCTGCCCGTTGGGCGCGACGAACCTGCGTGAACTACCTATCGAGAGGGAATTGACGATCAGGGTGGTCCGATGGATAAGGAGTGCGCCTACCGAGGCATCCACTGGGATAGCGTCATCGTCTTCTCTCGAATCGTGATCCTGTCTGTGCCATGATTGCGCTCCCATGCTCCGACGATGTTGCTGGTGGAGTCTCGGAGCGTGGTCGTCTTCTGCACGAATCCGTAAGGAGCACGGACTGTGAAGATCGTCACCCCCGTCTCATCGGTGATGTTCGTGGCCTGTACGCCGTCGGCCGCGAATGCGATCTTTCTCATCTGTGTCGACGTCGACCCGTAAATCGAAGGTCTGGTGGGAGCATTAATAGGGAGCTGCCAGCGCAATAATAAGAGGGCGCTCTGGCTTGACGTGCAGTCTGAGTCTCGACTCTCATGACGCTCCACGTGGTTGACAGCGTGGGACCGAAGGCAATACGAGATTCGCGCTAGAGCCTTTCTGTTCGCTGCCGTTTTGTTTGCTGCCCATCCCGAAGGCGTACAATTTGCCAGATGCGGAGGCCTCCGTTCATCCGGGGTCATCGCGTGTGGTAAAAATACACGGCTTGGCGACGTCCCTTGAGTCCGAGCATACCGAAAAACCAGCTCCGACACCCTCCAATACCTACAACACCGGGTTCGTTGAGGCGATCAAGTGGCGCCCTCTTGTACGCGCAGAGCCGTGATAAAGAGAGTGCATTATTTCCACAGCGGCACCGGTCTTGTCGTCGACAAGATGGACCCCGACGGGTGAGTTGTGTCCGATGCTCGGGGGTCAGACACGACGTACCTTGAGAGCGGACACTCCATCGCGACGTATCCAAGTGCAGGCAGCAGCTCCGGCCGTCCGCCGGGAACAACAACTCCAGCGCCGAGCTGATAGGAAGTATAATGGACAGCGTGGGCATATGAAAAAAGGCGCAATTGCTTACGGTCAGTCCATTCCGATGCCTGCTCTTGCACACGGCAACGTACAATATGGGCAATGCGGGGGTGCTGCAAAACAGACGCGTGCAACGAGGAATGTATTCGCTGCTCCTGAGGCCTGAACCTCCACTGGAAAGAACACATTATTTCATTCTGCATGAAAAGGTCACAGAAGCAGAAGACAACTGCTTACTGAGTGTGCGGAGTGCTGTCGTTGTCGTCGTGACGAGGACCACATGACGCATGAGCGCCGATATCGGCCCCGCGGCCCCGCGGCCCCGCCCCTTGCATGCGTCGGTGGTAATATTTGCGGGTGTTTGTGTGCCGTGTTAAGTACTCATGATACACTTGCGTCAGACCATAACCTGCCCATGATGCATGACGACCCACCGACCCATTACTGATTCCCGTGGCGTGAAAGCCTTGTCCGGTGGGGGGCTCGAATTTTGTGCTCACAAATCAATCACAAATGGTCCGTGCGTGGGCGCTTGTATGGTCGTCCGCTGCACTTCGGCGCCTCGGGCTGAGTGTCGACATCCGCCACCCACCGCCTCCACGTCAATTTTGTCTGCCTCATCATGGCCGTCGCGCTCTTTTGCACTGCAAGAGCCTGAGTGGACATAACGGTGGGCAAGCTCTGAATGAACGTAATCGCACATCTGCTGACCACAAGTCTATCGGATTTCCGGGCGCCACGCAGTAGTCTGGTCGTCAAAGCATGTACACCCTCTCGGGGTTGCGATTGGCAATGTCCAAACTATTTAGAGCTCTATGGTGCCTCACAAAGTCGTCTGTGCGGAGAATCTACTTCCGTTTTGGCAGTATAATGACTCCAGGTACGCTCGGCGAAAGTTTCTCCGCCATCCCGAAGTTGAATTTGACCCTTCAATTTCACTACAGCGGCCCGCCAAGCCCACGCAAGTTGTTACTCCAGCCGACCATGACTGGCGTTCGCGCCTATTTTTGATGCGACTACACGCATCAGTTTGTTCAGACGGCAAGTACACGGTCTCAATGGGAACCGCGACCCCGAAATGGTAAACAGCAGCGCCCATTGCTTCATTACAGGCTTAACTTATCCCACTGTCCCCTTCGGGCCCGACGCTAGTCATGGATGGACACGGGGAGTACGCCGGGTGAAGCCCGGACTGTCGCTGCTTCTGGCTGGCGAGTTCGCTCTCCCGTAGCGAAGGTGTCTGCCGCTGGTGGTTTGGGGAGGTATAAGGGGACCTGGAGGGGAGGTGGATGCTGCATCAGCACAAGATGAAGTTCTCTGCCTCCTTCCTCGTCACCGTTCTCTCCGCCTCCGCCGCGTCTGGTGCGTATCGTATCTACCACGCGAATTTCAGCTCAACTCACCCCCATTCACAGCCTTCCAATACACCCGGCTCGACAAGAACGATGCTATGCTCCTCGTCGTTGACCACCAGGAGGGTCTCTTCCAGCTCACGCGGGACCACTCTCCGGTGGAGATGAAGAGCAACATTCTTGCGCATGCGGCGCTGGGGAAGGTCTTTGGCCTCCCAACGGTCTTGACGACGAGTGCTGAGACTGGTGCGTGCAACACATTCTTCGGTCCACCACCTGCCAGACTCTAACATGGTCTTTTATCGTTGTATATTCTAGGCCCGAACGGACCTCTGCCGTCGGAGATCATTGCGATGCACCCCAACTCGTCGTTCATCAAGCGCAACGGCGAGGTGAACGCATGGGACAATGCCGACTTCCGGGCCGCTGTCGCGGCCACAGGCAAGAAGCAGGTCATCCTGGCTGGCATCACCACCGATGTACGTCTTCCATCGCGTTTCCTGCCCTCCCTGCCCTGACGTCTTTTGTCTTCGGTACTCCTAGGTCTGCACCAGCTTCTTGGCGCTTTCCCTCGTCGAGGCCGGCTACACCGTCTTCGCGAACGCGGATGCCTCTGGCACGTTCGACGACAAGACGGCGAGCGACGCGAACGCGCGCATGCGTGACGCGGGTGTTCAGGTGCTCTCCATGTTCGCGACCGCTTGCGAGCTGATGCGCGACTGGCGCAACACGCCCGGTGCAAAGGAAATGCTTCCCTTCTTCGACACGTGAGTGTTACGCCTTGTTCCTCCCCACTTTGTTGATGCTGAAGACCGCGTTGCAGCTACCTTCCCGAGTACGGGTACCTGGCGCGTGCGCACGACGCGGCCGTCACAAACGGTACCCTCTCTGGTCTTTAAAATCGTACCAATTGTCGGTCGAACCTCCAATTTCTCGTCGAAATTAGGTTCATGTAGCGGTATGTTCTGCACTCGGCACACTTGAAGGGGGCACGTTTTCCGTGTCTCCACAATGTCGTAGCGAGATAATTTGATATGTTGTTGTTCGAAGCTAGTCCGACATGTGACGTCACGATATCCTTACCCTTGTTCTCCGTGGACGGACCGGTACTTTCGCACGGCTTGTATCGAATACAATAACCGCTTGTCTCTAGGCAGCGGTCCGTCATTGCTGCTCGTTGACCATATGAACCGCCGCTCTGTTGAGCACTCTCTTCAATCATCAGTGCGGAACCCCCACCCAGCATCCACGCTTATCCTGAGTACAGATCCACACGCAACCAGTCTGCCGGCGCCCACAATGTCTATCATACAATTGCATCCACACCTCCTGTTCACGATCCTCGAATCTCTAGACTTCCAAGAAGATCTTTCGTCCGCGATGCTCGCATGCAGCCACCTCTACAAAGTCGGTGTCAAATGCATGCTCACCCATCCTGTCACGATCAGCTCCGGGTGGCAGCTTGTATCGTTCTGCCAGTTCATGCTCTCCGACTTCTCCCCACGCCTCCCCCTTTTCCATACTTTGCGCCTCCGCCTCCTTCCCTGTGAGGCCGTCCTCAACGCCTTGACTTCTGCCGACACCATCAACCCGATGGCGGACCTTATGGACTCCATGAGCATCGACGACGAGCCCGCTGGCTCCAATCCGCGCACCGACCTCGGTGGATCCGTGGATACGGAAGACCCTCAGGAAAAGCACGGCATTTCGATGTTGGTACACGTCTTGGAGCGGGCGGTGGGATTACAAGATCTCGACATCGACGAGCTCGAGCCATTGCTCTTCGTCGAGCCGGCGCTCATCCAGGCCATCGCCTCCCTTCCCAGCCTCACTTGCCTCACGACAACGTGCTACGGGCGTCGCTCACACGAACTCTGCAGCAAGATTCGCTCCCAGGAGCTCCGCGCCATTGACATCAATTTCTGGCACGAGAGCACGGGCCCTACGGACGACAGCAACATTCCATACGACGCTCTGGTCGCGTTGCTGTCCACGTATCCAGACCTCCAAGATGTCACGGCAAAATGCGTAACCTTCCCAATGCCTATCGCCCCGCACTCTTCCAGATCCGGCGCCGCGGGTTCAAGCTCGCGCAATCTCCCGTTCCTCCGCTGGGTCCACACGCTCTCCCTCCAAGGCATCACCGGTTTACCCTTAATCCCCGAGCTGTTCAGCGTCTTCCCCAATGTCCGCAACCTCACGTTCTCATGCAACATCCCCTCGAGCACCACTCACGACCGCCTCCAACAACTTCGCGCCCTGAACCAGGGAACCGCCCGATGGGCCAGCCTCGACGAGCTCGCCGGCGACCTCCCCTCGCTATACGTGCTCAACCTCCACGACTGTCGCGCGGCGCGCCTCGACATCGACAGCCCCTTCTTCACCGGCCGGGACACCATCGACCGCGCGTCCCTTGCACACCAGTACGGCTCCGTGCTCGCCGACACGCGCCCGACGAGCGTGCGCCTGCGATGGACCCATGACCGCGAGATCCCCTTCGGAGACCCGTGGTGGTCATTCAAGGACATCTGCCACGCCACGCACGCGCTCGGGCCGTTCGCGCGCGGGGTGCGGCACCTCGTGCTCGACATGGACGTCTGCCTGGCGTTCCGCACGCTCGAGATCGTGAGTGCTCCGTTCCGCCGCGATCGCGCGCCTTCGTCCTCACGCGGCCTTTGTGCTCTGGGCAGCCCAGCGTCGCGAGCTTCCCGGACCTGTGGACGCTCGTCGTGCGCGTGCGGACGCTGGCGAACACCCGGATCGACGTCGGCCCAGACGCGTGCACGGACGGGCACGGGCACGTCCTCGTGTTGTCCAATCGCCCGGGCATGCCGCGCACCACCTTCGGCTCGGTCGTCCGCCGGGTGCTGCAGAGCCACCAGACGTTGCGCCATGTCGCGCTGGCGCTGCCTTCCCACAGCGGGATGAGGCACTGGTGGAAGTCTACGGAGCCGAAGGTTTTGGTACAGATGATTCCTGAGGCGTTGGGAAGGGATATGCTGGACGAGGACGGGTTTGGCGATGTGGACGCTTTCCAATGATGATTGTACGCTGTTTACCCAAGGATCAGCTTGTATAGTCGTGTATTATGACATGGGTCCCGTACAAGATGTTAGAGTGAGGGAGGGGAAGAGGCGCCGACTCAGCATATGATGCCCTGTCCGACGCCGAAGTCATCTTCCCTGTCGCCAGCTGCGTCCGCGGCGACGTCTCGTTCTGCAGATGAATGACTCGTTGGGAAAATGAGGGTGCAACTTGAGCACGCATCGTGCCCGTGGTGTCGGCGATGCCCGGGGCGATCGTCGCAATGACAGGCCTACGATGGTGTACTTGGCGCGGCAGATACCAGCGGGGGGACACCCCCAGTGCCAAGGGCAGTGATCTTCCGGGTGGGGCCGACCGGGAGGAGCGGGAGGAAGGCCTTGATGCTGTGGATGAGCTGAGCGTGAGGGGGAGAGGCTTACAGCGTTGATGATGTCCGTATCGAGCTCATAGACGTTCAGGCTGCGGGGAATACAGCGTTGAGTATTGGAGTAATTCTAAGGAAATGGTTCAGGATACTCACAAGTCGTCGAATCCTCTGTAAAGTTGAACGTTGGTGTCCGAGATCTCGTTTCATCGAGTGCTTGGATTGCCAGGTCAGGGCTGCCGCCTGAAGGTTCACCAACACCTCAACGAGCTGGTGAGCACGGGGATCCCGACGCGATCACGGCGCTGCTGCCTGGATCGCGCACGCGTCCACGCAGTGACAGGGCCGCCCGCCCGCCCGCCCGCCCGCCACCTCCTCTCACATGCCCTCCTGTGGTGACTGGTCTCGACTCTCTGCGTCCTCGCGCTTGGCCCGTGTGTTGGCGCGCTCCATGAAGGAGGACGAGGTGCACGCGTCGGTGAGAGTCGCGCGGGGTACAGAGTACTCGAGTATGTGCGGCGAGAACGAGCGCGCCGATGCTGCGTCGGACAATTGGCTGAGATGGCGCTAGAGAGCCTGGAGAAGTGGATTCTGGGGATGATAGAAGTTATAATTTGTGGGACGTATATGTTCGGTGGCGAAACCAACCCTCTCGGTCACAGTTACCGCGAGAGCTCAGAGGAAAACGAGATGGCGAGGGCGCGGAAGTGACTGAAAATTATAAAAGGGTTCAGTCCAAGTCACACTCACGTGCCTTGGTCACTGCGCGGGCGTGACCAATTGAGGACGGCGACGACGACGAGTCTGTCCAGCTGTCCCACTGAACCTCCTCCACCGTCCACCGACCGCCGTGGCTTGTCGTCAGTCCGGCCGTCGTATCGACCCCTTTCCTCGACCACTATCTGGGAAAATGTCGTCCAACGGACTCGTCTTCCCCAGGGCCAGGGTACCAAGTACGCACAGAGACAACCTCCACCCCGGCCACCTCGACCTCCTCAACCTGGTCTCCATCCAGATCAGAGCCCAGTCGCTCAAGCATATTCTCAACGCGCCTCGTCATTAACCGCACCACCTTCTCCCCCCGCATCATCATCCTCACTTCAAGCCCTGCCGCCAACTTTCGGTCTTCTAACACGATCGCGCGCAACTGGTCCGTGAAATGCACTGTGCTCACGCTCGCCAGCGTCCGCCGTGTAGAACCGCTTCAAACCGAGCAGCCCGTGCGCTTAGCCCAGGGTGAGCTTTCGTACTATTTCGGACACCGGCAGTGTCCCAAGGGCGAACGAGGTCGGCGCGACGAGGATAGTGAGCGCGTTCAGGTCGGTCGTGAGCGAGAGGAGCGTGTGGATGGACGGGAACGGCAATGTGGCACGCGGGGAGAGCGTCGACGAGGAGCAACGATGCGTCTTCTGCGGCGGCGGGAAGCGCATATCCACAGCCGACACATGTGCGCGGGTCGCGTTCTGGGCGAGCGAGTGTGCTGGCCAGCGGCGAGATGACACGACGTCAAGGTCAGCACCCATCTTTGTGGCTGCAGAGAGTGGTCGCGGCTCACAAGTCATCGACGGCCGCCGCGACGGATATCTGTAAGTTGGCGAGTTCGTCCGAATGTGCGACATGCGTGTTCTGACCTGTAGCATGATTTCGGTAGGTAACATGTGGAGAGGAAGAAGGGGTCGGCGATACAGCCCTGGCCGTCACTAGTCTCGTAGTCCTCGGTCTGATCATGAAGCTGTAATGACACACATTGATGCAGTGGACATGCTGCACGCCCTTGAACGTCCTCATTGCGTTCTGCGGCTCCTCAAAGCTGTGCTGGTTGGGGCCGAAACTGTTCTCAAAGCTCCAAGAGTGGGCCGTGTGAAGATCTGAGGAGCGACTGTGCTCTTCTCATTTCATCACGGTTTACAGCGTCGACCGCTGTCATCGCAGTTTTGTCCGTGCAGGCGCTAGACATCTAATGGAGTTGGATTTACGTCGCGAGCGCCGGCCTGCGCCGGCCCATAATTGTGCGATGCACACAGGCGACTTTGCCATTCGAGGCAGCCGACTCAGGTCTCTGGCAGTTCGCAGGTGGCGGCCCCGTGGCAATTATCTGACGTGACCGTAGGCGTTTGAGCGTCGCTCTGATGGAGGCATTCGACCGACAGCCTCGAGGCGATATCCGGTATCATATCTACACTCACCAGAAGTAGAGCAACTCAAGTCGGAGCAACCGCTCTTCGGGACTGACCGGAGCACCGGAGAATGCCGGCACGACATGTGAGCGCGAGCTCAGCACAAGCGCCCTCAGCCTGCTCCTCCCTTGTTCATTATGTATGACCACTGGTCCAGACTATCATAACCCTTTACCTCCTCGATCTTCGCTTCGTATCTTTGCTTCGATGAGGTGTGTGTACTTTCACCTGCGTTGCAGGCTTGCTCCGAACATTGACGACGCAAGAAAGTACTCGAGCGACGAGTACACGACTTTGACTCGACTCTTCGGATGGCAGGCACTGCCCATATCCGCGCACACGCAGGCATCTAGCTTCTTATTGTTGGACTTTTTCATTGATGAAAAACAGCACGATTCTCGGGACCCGTGGAAGGCACTGCCAGCTTCTTCTCGCTCCGTAAGCACTTCTGTTTTTATTGAACTTGCCTCATTTGGTAGTCCTTATACTATAGGACCTCGCGGGATCCTTCCGAAGTGGGTCGCGTGTACAATGCGGCTATCAGGAACGGCACCCAAGCTGGTCCGTAAGTGTGCCTTTTTCACATTCACATCGCAACGGAAGGCTGATCTTGTAGTGCTCTAGAATGGAAGCCAAAATCCAGCTGGGGTTTCCCTTGGGTATCAGAACGGCGCAACCAGGATCCCAGCCTATTGTTTTCGGATCCAGGGTGTTGCGATGCATTGCCTCAAAACGCCCACATTGATTTCACGTCCCTGACCTTACAGCATCAGGTGTTGTTTCTCCGTCGGTCGTTCCGATACGAGTGGGTATATGAAGGACATCTCACTCACGCTACCGGATAGCAAGTACCTTCACCGTGCCCAACGCTGTCTCCTACCTGAACACACACACGTACGTTACTGTCTTCCTATCCACGTTTTGCGCAAACACCGACTTTATTATAGACCGATTATAGATTCCATGAGTACCACAGCTCAAACACTTCCGTTTGAGCTCCTCGACATGATTTTCGCTCACGTCAAACACCCGGCCGATATGTCATCCATGATACTGGTGTGTCGCCTCTTCTGCGACATCGGGCCGCGCCACTTGCTCGGCCTTCCTTTCGTCATCAAGGGTTGGGAAACGCTGTCTTCCTTCTGTCACTTCATGCTCTCACCCCGATCCGACCGCACGTCACACCTCCGCCGAATCCAGATCGCGATCCAACCAACGGAAGACATCGTGGAGGCCCTCGACGACCCCGATTGTTTGGATGTCGAGATCAGAGACGAGTACAAGACTCCGGAACAGCGCTGCGCGACCCTCCTGGCCCACGTCTTCAAAAGGGCCCATTTGCTTCGGGACGTCCACATCGACGACCTCGAATCCCTCCTCTTCTACAGTCTCGATCTGATTGACGAGATTGCGGCGCTCCCCAGCTTACGCTCCATCACGGTCTCCGGGTACAGCCTGCGCGCGCGCCAGCTCCTCCACTCCCTCTCCTTCCCTGAGAACGTCACCCACCTCGGTGTCCACTTCGGACTGACCGCGCCCGCGACGGAGGCCGAACCCTCGCTTCCCGCCTTCACTTTCCAAGCACTCTGCGGCCTCCTCTCCCGCTTCCCTGCACTGACCTCCCTCTCCCTCTCCCACCTCAACCTCTCTAGGCTCATCTTCCTGCCCGCCACCTCACAATCGTCCAGCCCGCACGCTCAGCTCGATCCTGATGACGCCCCCTTCCCGGTCCCGGTCCTCTCCACCGTTCGCGCACTCACCCTGCACCGCATCATCGATCCCCCGCTTGCCGCGCTCTCCCTCACCTTCCCCCACGCCCGTTCGGTCTCTCTCACGAACCTCGTCCACACCGACGTCGGTGCCCTGCGCGTGCACAACTCCGTCGCCCCGCGCTGGGTCGCGCTCGACACCCTCGCCGGAGACCCGCTCGCGCTCGTCGCCCTCTGCGTGCGCGGCACGCGCGTGGGCCAGGTCGTGCTCCACGCGCCCCCGCAGTGCCCCCGGGGCGTCTTCGTGAATTGTGCGCGCGGAGTGCTGGAGGACGCGTGCGCGGCGGGCGTCCGGCTCGCGTTCCCTGTTGCGCACGCGCCGGAGAACAGGAGCGCGGATCCGTGGGGCGCGTTCAAGGACATCGCGCGCGAGTGCAGCGAAGGCACGCGAGCGGGCATTGCCCACCTCGCGCTCGAGCTCTGCGCGCCGCTTTCCGAGGGGCAGACCCTGGAGATCGTGAGTCTCGGCAGTTTCTCCCTCGTCAGCCTCCCAATCTGACCGCACACCTAGCCAGATGTCTCCGCGTTCCCTGCACTCGAGACACTCGTCGTCTTTCTCCGTCGGAGTAACGCGCCGGGGACGACGCTCATCCATTCCGATGCCTTGTCTTCTGGGAACTTCGTCGAGGTGCTCTCCCCAGACACCGCCGGGAGCGAGAACGCCGTTGCGACGCGGGTTCTGATGGGGCTTCCTTCCATGAAGCACTTTGCGTTGTGTGTCCCCGACGCGACACGCATCAGGCACTGGGTGAAGGTGGCGGTGGACGGAACTGCGGGGCTGCAGGTGGTGAGGGAGATAGACGAAGTGATGGGTGCAGAGCTGCTGCGACGGTCGAACTTTGGGGATCTGGGAACTGTGGCTTGAGGCCGAACGATGCTGGACCCATATAACGAGGTGTTAATGTATAAAGCACTCGAACAAATACACTATGCATCGGAGGAGCCGTTCATTCACGCCGACAAGAAAGGCTCGCAGAGCGCACAACTACATTCAGGCTGATCAAAGCATACACAGTACAATAGATGCGACGTAGCAGAGAAGTCCCAACAAGATACGCAACGCTACAGCTACAAAGACGAGTCGGTCCGGCGCGGCTCTCTGACAATCCATAACCCGAGGCGGTAAGCCGCAGTCAACAGCGTCCATCCTGGGCGTAATCGCGACGACAGGCGTCCCCGACGCCTGCAGCGCTCGCCTTCAGAGCCCGAAATTGAACAGCGCGTTCTGCACGCTCTCCAGGCGCTCCTTCCGCGTGGCGAGCATCGCGCGCTGCGCAACGAGCCCCGGCTCCTCCGCGATGTACGACTCGCAGCGCGCGTCCGCGTTGAACGCTCCAAGCCCGAGCCGCTCGAAGAGCACACCCTGGAGGCTCTCCGCGAACGCGCGGAGGAAGTGGTAGTCGATCGACAGCGGGATGTGGTCGATGACGCGCTGCGCTCTGGGTGAGCTCTCGAGATTCATGCAGGAGAGGAACTCCGGCGCACCTTGTACGAGATCTGGAAGTAAGCGCGGACCTTGGCCATGATGAGCAGCTCGGCGTCGAACTCGTCCGAAGCCGACTCGTCGAACTTCGGGCTGAAGAACAGGCGGTCCATCAGGACCTCGACCGACGGCCCGAGCCCGTGCCCCACGAGCGTGCCGACGGTGTTCTTGATGATGTCATCGAGGTCGGAGCTCATTTCCGGTCGGCGGGCCTCGCGGTACTGCTGCAGGTACTTGCTGCGGAGCGAGCGATAGTACTGAGTGTTCTGGGTGAAGGTGTTCCTGCGCTCGGTGGCGAGGATCATGCGGAACTGGGAGACGGCTGCGCGGGAGTATGTCTCGAGCATGTCCATGATTATCGGGCTATGCCAAAATTATCAGTATCAGACGGCGGGAAGGAGGGTGATGAAAACAACGTACCCGACGACGGCCTTGAGGTGCCGGTACTCTTTGAGACTCTCGTGTGTGACGTTGAGAAGGGTCTCCTTGAACGCTTCGTAGACGTGACCGAAGCACGCCTGAGTGAGGTGCTCCCAGGTCTCTTGGTATCCACGAATCATGTCCGGAACGACCTCCCAAGGAATGTCATCGGGAAGCCCTCGCGTACGGCATCTGAAAGGTAGAAGCTATCAGTGTCAGGTACGACGATACACGACGAAAGAGCATACTTCTCGATGATGTCGTGGACACTGTTCACATAGAGCACCTGATGCTGCTCGCCGAGCACGCCGTCGGTGGTTTCCCGCTCGTCTTCCACCGCTAGGAACTCTTCGAGGCGCGCGCCGTGCGGCATCTTACCGTCCTCGAACGGGACCAAGATCGGCGCCGTCCCGCGGATGCCGTTCTTGTACGTGAGGTACGCCGCATTGTTGGACTGCACGAGGCGCGCGTGGGCGGAGTCGCCGTCGACGTGGCGCATGACTTCACCGCAGAACTTCGTGATGATTTGCAGCACGAAGGTGGAGGGGTTGATCGCGACCGCTCTGGGAGGCAGAGTCGAGAGCGAGCGTAGGGTCTTCCCGTGTTCTTCGGAGACCTCCTCCATGAAGTGTGGCAGCCTGTACAAAGAACATAGGCGAGCGTCAGTGTCAGAACATTTGACTGCGCACGAAGGATTGCAGCTCACGAGTCACGGATGATGGTGGTCAGCAGCTCGCTCACGCTCTTCACCAAGCTGCGGGTGCCGAGCCTCTCCTTCGAAGCGCACTGCGCCCACGGCGTAGTCTTCCGGAAAAATTCGGCTTCGCGCTCGCGTGCTTGAGCGGGCGTGATACCGGCGAGGCGCGAGTCGTCGTCGGGCTGGAGCGTGCAGAAATAGCCGTGACGAAGAGGGTGCCGGCGTCCCTCGAGGACGTCGAGCCACATCTCACGGCTCCTGCTCGCGCCTTGGAGGAGCGTGTCCGGCTTCGTGAGCACCCCTAGTGTGCGGGGCCATCAGTGATGCGTGAAAAGTAGAGCGACGAGATGCCTCACCGATAGTACGGAGACCCTGGGGATCGACCGACTTGACAAGGCTAGCAGCCTTCTGGTTCTCGATGTCATCTGGGAGCGCACAGTTAGTCTGATAACACAAGTCGTGCGTCGATGGCAACTTGCCGCTCATGGGGAGGGTCAGCAAGATCAGCCCCGCACCGCTGATGTAGGACATCACGAGGTCCTCGACGAGCTTGATAATTTCGGGGTCGGCATTTTGGACAATGCCTGAAGGTGTGTCAAATGTGTGTAATTCGCGTATTAATAACCGAGAACCATACCTGGAAGGTCAACGAACCACAAGTCGGCGAGATCCGGGCCCGACACCTCGACACAGATGACGTTGCGGGAGAACGGCAGAGACTTTCCCATGTACGCGGACCCCTTCGATGCAGAGCGCGCTCCCCGTTGTGACTGCGGTGGGGGGCTGGGGCTCTGCAGCTCCCCGGCAAGACCAACGAAGTGCGAAACGGGAACGCTGGGGTTGAGTACCGCCTCCTGCGCAGCACGGAGAAGTGCCTCGACGACCCTCTTGTCCTCGACGCGCGATCCGAACGCCTCCTCGTGGGGAACCTCAAGGCGGTGCCCGTGCTCGTCGAATTCCCAGCGGATGCGAACCTGGCATGACCAGGGTGCCCCGTTGGGAGAGCGAGAGAGGCGGAACTCCATCGGGCACCGGGTGCACGTTCCGGCGTCGCGCGGAACGTTTATCTGTTGGGAAATAGGTCACAGAGAATAGTTAGCACGGGAAATCGCATAGAATATGCACACCGACCTCGCAAGTGCCTTCGACGAGACTGGACTTGCCGCTGCTTTGGCCACCGACGACAAGCACACGCGGAAGGACTTTGTCGAGACCGGAAATCTGCGAACTGAAATGGGAGGAAGTCAGCAACTACGTGAAATCATTCGCAGTGCGCGTACCCGGGAAGGGAGCGCAAGGTAGCGACGAGCTCGAGGAGCTCTCGAGTGGTCTTGGCATAGCCGGTATCGGCAATAGGAGGAGGCGCAGTGGGGGGAGAAGGTCCTCTTTCGTCTACTGGCGAAGCCGAAAAAATGGAGTGGATTTCAGGGGAAGACGAACGAGTGCTGAGGGGTGGCATCTTCGGAAGGTCAGTAGGCGAAGGATGTGGACGAGGAATATGTCGAGCGAGCCTTATATCGTTGTCGCCGTGAAAGACGATATTCGGTTTGCGTGTTGCCTACGGGTCGAGGGGACGCACGAACCACAGTGATGGCTGTCGCGAATCATCTGAGATGAGTTGTGGGAAACGGGGGTAACAGAGCTCCGATACCGCGACCTCAGGAAAGGAGGAGAACTCTACAAGGGCTTCGAAGAAGAGGCGGGAATGAAGACAGGCTATAGCAGACGAAGGTCGTGTGAGAGGCTTCGATGTCCCACAAACGCTGCCTACGCCTTGAAGGAACCCTGGATCGTCACCTTGGCGGTGCCGGCGGATTGCGGAGGTGGGCCGGAGGGGTATCCGGAAGATCATATTCACAGAACGCCGTGACCATCGACGCGCGAAGCCCTGACCAGCTACTTGCAGCATGGCCATAAGGTTTTCGAACACAGCTGTCCAATACCCTTGAGTACCCAGGTAGAAGTCAAGAAACGATAACGGTGAAATCCTGTGCAACACGATCTGTGCAAGTTACGGGAAAATTCATGTGAGATTTTATGCAGCTGGGTTGTTACAGTATGCGGAACATGCTATCACTCACACAATCACTTCCGCGGCCGTCATTGTCTGATCGCCCGCGTCGCACAGCGTTACACGTGTCGCACGGAAACCATGAGGCTACAGGCCTGCAGGGCAACAAGATCATCACTTTTCGATTGTGGTAAAACATAACTCACCGGTGATGCGTTGTGTGGCATCTTGGTTATGGTCACCAACAAGAGGGAGGTGCACGCACACTTCAAAACGTTCAACTCAAATGCGCGCGCACCCAAATATTTTAGGGCGCTCGGCAATTGCCGTCTCATCATGTGATATACCGCAGTGCCAGAGCGCCTTCAACTGGGCGAAGGCCATGCCCACAACACCGTGCCCCACAACGATCTTCATGCAGATTTACATGCTGAGCGGGCGTGTTGAGGAGTCATGGCCCTATATCTTTGCGATGAAAAATCTCACGGGCTAGGCCCACGGCCTCTGGCGGCCGCCAGCTAACTTGCGAGTCGCCCGAGACACACGATCTGTAACTTTGGGTTGGGCCAGTAAAATTGATCATGACCCTCGGATACAATCTTTTTTTCACGATTATTCCGGCACTTCGAGTCAGTCGGTTTGTGCGCTGATGGCACGTGCGCCTGGAGCGCTCTAGAGGCGAAGACATGATCGCTAACTGCTAGATAATGCACGACTGGTTTCAACTCATCTCGCATGTTTGGCTCAGGAGCATCTTCTTTTCCGTCTCGGGCTCTCTTCAACTAACGTGCAAGATACTGCCGTTGTTGACCACGCTTGTTTACTATCGAAACGAGGGACTCGTCCTGACTCCCCCAACGGTCCACTACCGAAATTGCGAGCTCGAAGGAGGTTGTCGTTATCTGGGCTCAGCTACGATGACGAGGTTGACTATTTAACCGTACGGGAGAGATCTGCAATCCTTCCGAAGTGGAAAATGTAGGTGCAGCTCCGCGACGATCCGACCTACGATGTCAGAGTGTCATCCGGGGTGGGAGAGCTGATGGGTGTCGGGACCGGCGTTTGCCATTTTCACACGGCCACGTCATCCAACGCGTGGGGCTCGGCGCTTCAGCAACTCCTGTTGTCTCCCTCGATCGGCTACGGTACTTGTGCAGAAAGGCACTCACTGAGCGCTGCTAGTAGTGAGTGGCCGCGCTGTTTTCCTTACGCTGCGTACTTAAACCTCACAGGGTGCATAGGCGCAAACCATTCTGACTACTCTAGATGCCAGATTTGAATATCCCATCCTTTTCGCATAACAGTGGTCTCTACACCGAGGCCATCGACGGCGCGTTTGAACTCTGGAGCGCTCCTCTGCAAAATCGACATTTCACCAGAGTATCTCCATGTCGTCGAACTCATGTCACCGTTTGTTGCAAGGCGGTAGTTTTCCTACTGGTGCCCACTACGATGTTCGCGAACTAACTGTGTTCGAACCGGCGTCCCGACAAACGAACTGAGCCGTGTTTTCGTTGGCGCTGATTTCTTGTACTGCACATCTATCTGCATCAGAGCTGGTGGTATGTGTCACACGCCTACGTGGCACCGGTACGAGGATCCTGCCCCTCCGACACTCCCACTCTAAGAGCTCATCATTGGATTTGCCGTACGCAGATCTCACCGCCTGCTTCGCTCATCGTTCAATACCCGAGACAGCTGTCTCCGGACCGCCGCGATGTCCACACACGAGTCTATGGCTAGATGGCCCTCGACCGGCCCAACACAGCAAACTCCGCACTTATACCCACCAACACCGCATCCGCAACACCAGTGGCTGCAGTCAGAACTCTGCGGTGCCATCAGAGTCGCCGCATGTCGTGCGTTTCATTTTTTTGTGTTTGAGAACATTCACTGACACGCGAACACACTATCGCCCGGTGTCCGGCGTTCTCTCCCACAGATAACACAGCCTTCCCCGTAACAACGGACTCGGGTCCGCGGTCCCGCTGGATGCAGGTTCGTGTCTCCAGGGACTGTGCGACGAGCACTCATGCTGATACTTCGTGTCCCAGGAATGTTTCTTCCTCCCCGTACCGCCGGTCCTGCCCATGGGCCGTGGCTCGGGGGCGCCGTCACGATGCGTTTACGTGGAAGCACCTGCGCGATCATCACAATGAATGGTGGCGCAGCACTGACGCTTCGCGCTACGCACCTTTCTTCTCGCCGGAAGCAGCACTCTTTTCCCGTCTCAACTCAAGCTCATATCCCCCATGCCTTACACTCTTCCAAACCCTCGCCGAGTATCTTGCTTCATCGTGAATCTTCCGGCTGCTCGCACCCTCCCAGTCGCATCAGCGCTCGGCACGCACCCGGCATACTCCCACCGTCTCCGGGCTCCCGCGCCATGTCAGGCGGAGGGCCCACAGGCTGTGGCCTTGCACCCACGCACACGGGGCCATGGGAAGCATGTTCTCCACAGACAGGTGGAGCGAGGACGCAAGCGGCCCGGCGGGCGCGCGCGCACGTCCATACATAATGGCTCGCGAGGCCGTGTCGTGTCGCGTCTACGCCCGCGTTTGACTCTGACGCGACTGCGACTGCCGCCCCTGTCCTCATCGTCGACGCCTACGCCCATCCAGCGTCTCGGCGCGTGCCATAAACTCGGTCCCCCGTCGCCCCGCGTTGCAAACATTCCTCCCCCACCCATCCCCGCGCGTAGCCAGCAGCGCGCGCCTCCGCCTCCGTCTCGCCCCGCGCCTCCCTCTTCACCCACAGCCTCGGAGTCGGCGTCATCGTACACGCCCACCGCGTCCCCCTCGTCCCCACCTGGCACCATCCCCACCACGGCGTCCTACCTTCCCGAGCTCTACCCCCCTCCCGCGCGTGCGGCCGCGACAGGGATGGCTTCGAACCCGAACTCGTCTTCATCCACGCTCGCGCACGGGCCCGAAGCGCCCCCGGGCGTCCCGCAGCCCTCGGCGCAGAGCCACGCGTACACGCCCAGCACGCCACACTCCCCCGGACCTTTCTCGCCCTCGTTCGACCCGAACGTCCCGACGCCCGCCGCGCACATCACCCCGGTCCAGCTGTACCCGTTCGCGGACGCCCCCGCGACGCCGTACCACGCGTACGCGCTGCACCCGCAGCTGAGCGGGTACGCCGGCATGGGCGCGATGGGCGCGGGGCCGGGCTTCGTCGGGACGGACGCGGCGAACGCGCTGTGGGCGCACCGGCTCTCCGCGTCGTTCGGCGCGATCGCGGACCAGATCTCTCAGGCGAGCAAGGCACTCGCCGTCTTCCCTCAGCCGCAGCCGCAGCCGCAGCTGCACATGCAGATGCCGTTCGCACAGCCGTCGCCGATGCCGACGCCGAGCTCGGTCTCGTCGACGCACTCGATGGGCGTCGTGCCGCGGAGCTCGAGCGGGCCGGAGGTCGTCGCGCTCGCGACGCGGATGGACATCATCGAGCGCGCGCAGGAGCAGCTCGCGCGGGACGTGCAGGCAGTGCAGGCGCAAATGGCGCGCACGCTCGTGACGGTGCAGGAGGCCCAGGCGGCGGCGGCGGCGGCGGCCACCGGGAACGTCAACGGGAGCGCGGTGTCGAAGCGGCAGAGCATGGGGCAGGTGGATGTCGTGGAGGTCAATGACGGAATCGAGGAGGTGCCGCAGAGCGAGTTCAAGAGCGCGACGGAGATCGCGGTCGAGGAGCTGCAGCGGAAGGTGGAGGGGATCATCGACACGATCAAGCTCGAGTGCGTGCTCTCGTTCTTCGTCTCCGTTGCTGCTTCTCACGTCCGCATTTCCTGGCAGCCAATCCCGCCTGTACGCGCGCCTGCACAACGCGACGATCACGTCGAACAAGATGACGATCATGGCCCCCGCGACGGCGGCGGGCAAGGCGCCGCCGAACTTCCCGACGACCAAGGGCGAGTTCGAGCACCTGACGAGTGTGTCCCTTCTCCCGTCGCTCCCACTTCCGCGGTCACGAGCGCTGACGACGCGCTCTGTAGAGGAGCGGTACGAGGCGATCCTCAAGGCGTACAACGTCCCCGCCAAGGGCGACACCGCCACGAAGCGCGAGACGCTGCGCGAGTTCATCGGGCTCACGCCTGCCGCGCACTGAGACGTGCACGCGAACGGGAGAGGCGTGGAGTCGCCTCACCTGTTTTATGTCTCTCGTTATGTTCTGCCCGCACGGCTCACGCCGCGGGGGCGTGCATGGCGATACGTACGCGGCATCAACGTCGGCGTCCCTCTCATTCATCCTGTCCGTTCTCACTTGTCTAGAATAGAATTTGCGTTGCAATAATTTCCTGTGTGATGTACTCCGACGCACATCTAAGGCCCCATTGTGCGGGTGCGAACGATTGGAGTGGGCGCAGGTCGATGAGAAGGTAAAGGAGGCAGATGTGCACAGAGAGATAGAGAAAGCGGTTCAGCGTCTCCGACCTATAGGGAGAAGCCGCAGCCTGATACAAACGCGGGACGAGCGGTACCTCCATACTCCAAGGACGCCCCACGCCATCATGTACAAGAATCCAAGAACGTTCTTCCACGCGGGTTCGACGGCTGCTGACAGAATCGCCCGAGGACTGGGGACGTTCACAGCAACGCGGCCCACTGTGCCGACTAGCTAAGCTCCCCAACGCCGGGGCGGAGAAGAGGGTGGTGATCGCGACATGCGTCGCTCCATCTTCTCTCGACGAACTCACAGATGTTTTCGACCGCGGAAGCGATCTTTACGGTCACGATGGGGATGACCAGCTTTGCTCGAGGTTTCACGGTGTCTTCGATGACGAGATGGTGGCGCCCGTCCACGGTCTAATCCCACAGTAATCGGAAGCGGCCGCTCTCGACGTTACCCCGATGCCCTCGCGACACGGGCAAGTACTTCAATACTTATGCATGTTAATAGACGTAAATTGCGAGGTAATTGAGATGACAAGATGGATTTGCGTGCAGTCCCAATGGTCCCCCATATGCATCGCTTACGACCGCCATACGTTGACTGCTCCGAGAGAAGGCCTATTCGAATAGATCTTCGTGTTAGTCAAACGATTTTGCGGATAAGACAACAAAAGTCTCACAGTGGTCAAGTAGCATTCCTCAGATAAGGCCTTTTCGACCGTCCCCTCCATGAACTTGTCTTCGCGTCCTCCCCGTCCACCTCCTTGTACATCGTCTTGATGGACACGTCCGCAATGTGCTCCGCAAGCGCGGTCGCGTGCTCTCCCCGCCACACCGTCTGGAACTCGTCCAGCTCTTCCATGTGCGGCGCCGCAACGTACGAAAACCTGACGATATGGACACCGCACTCCGCTCGCGCGCACAGCATGGCCTTGAGCGCGTCGAAGGAGAGATCCAACCGAGGCTGCGGTGCGACCAGGAGGCGGCCGCGACGAACTTCCTCCTCCGCCTCCCACGGGCTCCGTATGATGCTGCAGTCGCGGAGCCAGATGGTGCGCAGGGCGGGGCATATAACCGTCGTGCGACCGGCGAAGACGTCGTTCAGATTCGGATCGAGAGCGGCCCACAGCGACGCGAGCGAGCCGTGCCCCTCGAAGCAGAGCTCGGTGAGGAGCGGGAATGGACCGAGGAGCGTGGGCCAGAAGTCGGTGGTGAGGTCGAGGGGCTCGGCGGAGATTTCGAGACGCGTCGCGGCGTGGCAGTCGCGCGAGACGTCCATGAGGTCACGGAGCTGGAACTCCGGCTCGATGCACACAGCGTGGCGTGTGGTGGTGAACCTGATGGCGTAATGAATATCTACCGAATGTTGCCGGCCTGGGCTGCTCGCTGAAAATTGGCAGCCTTTGGGACCAATGGTGAAGGCAAGATCTGACAGCAGCGGCAGGAACGGGAGGACGTTGGCACGGGGGTGGGGAAGGACGTCTCCGATGCCTGCGCGTCTACCAGTGTGCGCATCGTTGCCGTGGATGTCGACCCTGCCAGTGATGTAATGGAGCGTAACGTGAGTCGCGCGAGGAAAATAAAAGGAGGATAACAATTTGGTGAGCCCAAAAGGATTGCTGGAGATCTTGAGATTGGTGAGCGACGGCAAAGGGACGGGATTCAGGAGAACCCGAGCGAGGACTTCGTCAGGGCCAAGCCATCTGAGGCGGAGAGACTTGAGTCGCTTCATGGCCGCCAGGGCTTCCATGACTTCCGCAGAGCAATCCACTTCACCGGGGAGGGAAAAAGAAAGATTCTCCAGGTGTTCGAAGACATCACGAAACGCGCGCGAGATAGAACGGGCACGATCTCCAAAGCGCTCGTTGATCACGGCATGAACTGTTTTCGTCATCGATATAACGCATGATCATGGTTCGTCGAGTAGACGAAATGTGATCAACTATTGTCTTGAGCTGAAAATTTTCAATCATTTTGTAATCTACCTGACAATTATTAGATCTGTCAATGTGCAAATGAACGCGGGTACACTGAGTGCAGAACATTAGATGATCAGTAAACGACCATTTGACGATCGGCTGCTGATCAAGCCCCAGTGACTGGGAAGTACCAGATACCACGTGATCTAATGCGCGTCGCAGGCTCTTCAGGCAGCGTCTGCCTGGTGCTTCAAGACGGATTCCTCTTCTCTGTGCCTACATCTTCGCTCTTCTACTCTAGAATAGCCCCCAATCCTTTCACCAATGGATGAGGCATTTCACACGGACTCTTGATGCGGCCAAAACCTGGTCGATGTCGTACTTGCAATCAAGTATTACAGTTTACGATTGCAAGTGCTACTACAAGCAGCATGCTCGCACGCGGATTCATCTATGAGATGCAGAAGAGGCTTCAACGAGCTGAGGCTGACCGAGACAAGGACTGAAGTGCAGACAAAACCGGCAGAACAGGGCGAGAGAACATGCGTGAACGAATACCTGAGGGTGTGATTATGAGAGACAGAGGGCGTGGAACGGCAGAAGATCTGAATCATTGGCAGGGAAGGGCCCAGCCAGCGCTCGACCATGGCGGCGACGTGCTCCTGCTGGCGCTGCGGCGCCTGCGTGAGCGCAGCGGATTTCTGCGGCGGTTCGTGCGGCCAGCCCTTGAGTGTACGCGCGTACGTGAGCGCATCATAGAACACCTCAAAAGGCACGAGAAACGCCGGCTTCTGGCTCTGGTGCTGCGGCTGCGCGATAGCAGGCTTGCAGAGGCTTGCCCTTCCCGCACGCATGGGGCGAATCGCTGGGCGGCGCGGCCGGCGCATGCGCGTGCGCGGGGACGTGTAAACCGGGCCCTGCGATAAGGTCGGTGAGCCGGGGTCACCGCGAGAGGAGAGCACACGGGGGACTCGACGTAGCGGAACTGTGGGCCATACCGCGCCCAACCTCGTGCTCCTTCACACTCGCGGAGGAAGTGGCAGCGATCACGAGCCTGTTGAGAACCCACGTGGTGCGATGGACACGACCGCGATTGGGGGCCGCGATGAACCACTATCCCGCGTATTGTTGTGGATATATGAAAGGCACGGGCGTGTCGAGGGAGGGAGGGTGTCGGACATGGGAGACCACGAACTATTCGAAGCACAGAGTTTAAGATTAGAGGAGGATGGCGAGCCGCGAGCACCAGGAAGACGCACCAATCACTCCCAGCCTCCATTGCAAAATGGCCCGGGACTTGTTCAAGCTTCGCCATGAGAGGTGTAGCCGAGAAGCTAGTAACCGAGAGCAATGGGTCAGCATACTGTAGAGACACAACTCCTGCCCTTTCTGAAGGACTGTGGGCGCATAAGTGCTGGTGTTGCCAAGGCCACCCAAGGGCATACGCACGCACACGCCGGGCACAGCACAGTGACACGGGCATGCAACCACCGATATCCTCACGAGACGTCTCCCAAAACGCAAGACTCACCGGCCGGCGGCCAATCATCCTCTTCTGTGTATGCAGCTCGTCTGCGAGGTCCATATACCACTTTCCATGTGACGCACACGATCTGGAACGCTCGCTTAGGCTTCGGATACTGCATATACACACGGTGTGGATAGTGAGGGTGAGAGTCGGAGAGGAGCCGTTCAGAATAACTAGCGCCTGCCCGCGCGCGCGACGCGACACGACACGACACGGACTGGCGTGCGCGCTTAGACAGCCCCGCTTTCTCCTTCATCTCATGTCAACGTTCGTTCTATACGCCAATAGCTGCACTTCTTATCCCCGTCCCCAACGAAATGCCAAGCACGTTCTGGGGGAGTTTCAACCTTAAATCTGCCACTGTACAGTACCTCAGCCTCACGATACTCTCCACCGCTGACGACCCATCCACAGCTTTGAATTGATTCCTCTCCATCCCCATCCTCCCTCTATACCACCATCATGACTAGCACCTCACGCACGCAAGGCACCTCGGCCTGAAAAGCGCACTGCCGATTGTGCGGCTGCCTGCTTCCGGCCACACGCCCAAACGGACTCATACCAACGGCAACACGACTCACATTGAAGCAGCCCACGTGGAGACATCATAATTCGTCGGTTTCTTCGAGTACGCCTTTCATTCTTTCTTTGGCGTCTTCCCCCTCTTCCCCCCTTCCTATCGTATCCATCCAACTACGTCCGCGCGCATGCTATGTAAAGATGCGCGCAACTCAGACGACCCGGACTTCCAGCCTCCAGCGCTCGCCGGCGCCGCCCTCCGTACCCTCGAAGTCGCTATCGCGCATGTCTTTCACCACGCCGCGGTTCGACCGCCTACCGTGCCCATAGGTCCGCATCAACATCCTCATCGCACGGTCTCGCCTCGTCCTCGCGCGCACCGCCTGTCGCCCAAGATCTGCGCTCGCGCTCCGCCGTTTCACACTCACAGCCCCGTTCTCTTTCGCACTATTCCCCCTTGTCTCTTACCGCCGCATCTCCCCATCAATACCCTCGCTCAAGCCACCCTTTCGCCATCGACGACTTTCAACCCTTAGCGCGACCCCCGGGTTGCCCTGCACATCACCGAGCCATCGTCGAGTATGGCAGAGACCTGGAAGTATGGTGAGTAATACTTTATCTCTTGCATTCCGAATCACTGCACAACGTCGTTCAGCCTCGCTGTCACCGCCATGAAAGGCAACACAATGTTCCAGTACTGCGATGTCTTCCCGGTATGTGCTGGTTTGCTCATGCGATCTTTCCGCCTGTGAGCTGACGAGTGACGACAGAAAGATCTTCTCGCCCGTTGCGGAGGCACGCGACGATGTCATGGGTGCTGACCCAGAGGCCGCCTTCGCTGTAATGATAGCGATATGAGATTGTTATGAGTCACCATTTCTCTCCCTGTCGAGATGTGTTGTGCCCGTATCGCTCACCAATGCACCCTTTTCCCACCCGTTCAGCTCGAAAACCGGGATCGATACGCTGAAGCACCGGCCTACGAGCATGGCACCCCTGCTCGCGCGCACCTTCCGGCTCCCGAGCAACGCCGTCATCAGCGTCCCAATCAACCTGCCGTGAAAAACCACAAGGGCGTGGGCCGGCTCCGCCTCGTCCTCGCTCTGCCCGGCCGGCTTCCACCAGCGTGTCACGCACGCGACGAACTCTGCCGTCGGCTTGAGATTCGTTGGGTGTCGCTGCGCTCCGGGGTGGACTCGCCCTGCCATCGAGTTGCCCATGAACTACCCGGCGGTGCGCGTGGCGTCATCGTTCGAAGCCATCGCCATCCGGAGCGGGTGTGGGTGAGGCACAGGTGCGGCTCACCCGTGTTTCTGTCTGCTACAGTCTCCCTTGTCGTCGTATCTGAAGTTCATAGCACACAGTCACGCCCATTAGATTTCCCTGCCTCAGTTAGAATAACCCTGCTGCTGTCGCCCCAGTGTCACTGTTATCATCTGTCTCTCGCTCGTTCGCATCCATATTGTACCTCCCATGCTTTATAGACCTGAATAATACCGAATTTTGCGCATATATGGGTGTTTGTGGTCGACCGGCAACAGCGAAACATTTCGGCACATCTGAATCGGTCTTTTCAGGTCATTGCACCACCCGGAAATGATCATTTTGAAGTGAGCTCATGTTCATCTCATCCCTGTGCCACGAACTAGCCATGGTCATATCGTACCTCAGCATTGATCACTGCACACCCCGTCTCAGATCATCTATACACCCAAGGACGATCAGGCCAGATCGTCGCTCTCAGAGAACATGTTCATTGTCGAACATGGTGTCCCCTGCAGATGATCTGCCCCGTTCATCTCGGCCCGAGTGAACGACCGGCCCTGCTCAGCCCGACCCGGGTGGACGACCGGCTCCGTTCTATCTCCCGCATACAAATGATAACTGTAGAACTGTTCCAAGCCCAGCCATGATAACGTCCTATCGTTCATCCCCTTACAAATGTTCGTCACTGCTCATCATCCCAGTCTGGGATGCTCGGTCCTGTTCTACCATGACGATTTTCTGTCATAAATTGACACTGTCCGTTCGACAAAGAAAGGGATGATCTCCGCAGACTGCACATGACCTACCTCGACCATCTGTAGTTCTGGTCCAGGCGCGTTTCGTGATGGAGTGGGGACTCCGCGACGAATCTCAGATCGTGCATGTCCAGTGTCTTCAGGCGTGGGATGTTTGTCCTATTCAGGAAAAGGGCTTCTCCCGGTTCCGGAGGCGAATAGTAACGTTCCGTGCCTTGCTCCACGATGATTGTCGTCAAGTGGGGGAACACGCCGGAGGCAAGAAATCTGTTCAGTTCTGGTAGGTGTGTCTTTGGCAGCAGCATGTCTAATGCCAACGAATGGATATCGGAGGCGTGGTGGAGCACCGAGGTAAGGTCTAAGTGAGGAATATTCGAGAAGTCGATGGTAATATCTATTGCAGTACCTCGAGCCCGATCGAGGGACAACTTCAGCCAACGTTTGCCGTTTTTTCCACGGACATGGATTGTGCTCCAGAACGACTTCGTGCTGACGACAGCATCTCGCCACTCCCGGGATACGAGAAGCAGACGAAGCCACTCGGTTGAGTGCCTGCCAACACCGTCGGTTTGATCGGAAGCAGGGTAGGCGATGTGTTGGATGATAGCGGTAAAGATCTCGGGAGGACAGCGATTGATGGGGTGTACGGAGAGGCCATCCGTTCCAGCACCGTTGAACTCCATCTGGGAGGTAGGGACCAGTGAGCAACTTGACAAGCCCGGCGAAATAACCGGTACCTAAACCCGCCCGCACAGAGCAAGGAGCGATATTTGGATGTACTAGATGTGGCTCTGAGATTTGAGGCTGAGGGCCAGGCGTTCGACTGCGCTATCGATCATCAGCAAAAAAGCGTTTTAATTGGAATGGCTTGGAAGTGAATAAAATGTCTGGAATGTTACAAAATCTTCGTACTTTCAATAGATAGCTGTGTTGGATGGTTGCAAGTCATTGCAATGTCTTCGGAGTCATTGGAAGCCATTCCAATGTCCAGTGCTCCGAGGTTTCCTGGCACTGTCCGGCGTCGGCCGTCCGACCTTCGTTCACACATCAAATACAACAGGAAGAAAATTTGTATTGGTCAAAGGGACTATTACATACAGACATGTATACATGGAGCGTAGGATAATCACACAAGGCCGCTCTGCGGAGATCTGTGATCCTGGCGATCAAGACCTCGTTGTGCGACATGCTACACCTGGGAGTCGGCCTGAGAATGTGCAGGAATGGAGGCAGCTGCGTGGCACCATGCATAACTTCGATGGCACCGCACAGTCGGCGCACTCACCCGTCCTCGTAAGCGTCAACGCCCACGCTGCCTACCGCCGCGGCGGCACGTACCCGCACGCACACGACGACAATGAAGACCTTCACCTTCCCGTTCACGCCCCTCGTGCACGCGCGTAGGAACGGCGAGACGCGCTCGCTCGAGCCGCGGAGGCGCCGCCCAGTCGCCTGAAGAGCGCGACGCTCCCGACACATCCACGCCCGGGGAAGTCCGCGAGGAGCGCCTCCCTCGCACACTCATCGCAGGACATCCATCGGACCGTCCACGCGACATGCTCGAGCCGGACGACGGCGGGGATCCCGCGCAAGCGTGGGGACGCGAGGCGGCGCGCCACGCGCAGGCGGATTGGAGAGGCGCGAGGTAACTGTCTCAATGGTGAGCACGAGGTGAAAGAGCGGAGAGGGGCGCACCGGTCCGTGAACGTAAACACGACATGGTGGGCGCGTGCAGCGGCAAGGATCTCCGTGAAGATCCGTGGGGTCTTGGGAGAATTCAATGCAAGGACGGAGTGGGAACTCACTAAACAAGTTGTCCACCAGGCCGATCTTTGACTGAGCCACCTTCAAACCGAGGGAGGGCCGGTTTACTTGAACACGAGCTCTAGACGGTCGACGAATTGCTCACCAGTGACCACACAGGAGAGGTGAGCAAACACGAGGTGTATGCGGAGGATCGTCAGCAGGATTCCATTAGGAAACACGTACACAAAGATGGACCAGATTCTCACCGTATCATGGCCTATAATCCCGTCTAAATCTTCCCCGATCTTTCCCCTTGTCCTCAATATCAAGCGTCAGAGATCCGGGCTCGCACTAGGCCCGCACGCACCCAATCTCGCTGATAGCAGAGCGTTGCGCAGTGTGCAAGTGAATATATGCGTGCAGAACGCGGTGAGAAGGTGACGAAGATTCGATATACTGGAAGTGGGGATGCTATCATCTGGGATGTGGAGGGTGAGAAGTGTATACCATCAGTGTGAGGCCGTGAACGTACTTGCCGCCTCAGACCTGCATCGGACTTGCTGTCCGGTTGTAGAAAAAACACAAGCGCGGAAAGAGCAGGGCATAAAAGGTTGAAGTCTCAGAGAAAGAGAAATGGCGAGGGCGGTAAGACAACGGAGGAGGGAGGAAGAGAGGAAGAGGCGAGGACAGCCCGGTCGGACTTGCGAAGTTTGCCATAGCCGCCTGATCACGTGGTTGCCGCGCTCGCGGGTTTCAACTCAGGGCGCCCGGCGCGCATACTTCCGAGAACTATCCGGCCCCTGCTCACGTCGCTTTCACCTATTGTTCTGTGAGTCTATAGCCTTACAAGCGATGTATGCTCATGAGCATGACATACTAACACCACTCCCGTTTCGTCGACCTACCGGGTTTCGTTGTAATGACTTGCAAAGATATGCAATACATTGGAATGACTTGCAAAGATATGCAATACATTGGAATGACTTGCAAAGATCTACGATAAATTTGAAAGGCTTCGAATTTCCGTGGGTCATTTGAAGCCTTTCCAATGTATCGCATGATTTTGCTTTTTTGCTGATGATGCCACGCGGCCAGCGCGGGTTGGCCACGTGGGGCCAGCGGACCACGTGGCAACATTCACCCACCTCCGATGTCCATCTTCCGGCGTCCATCTTCCAAGTTCTCATGTACCCTCCCCGAAAGTACTCCTCTAGCTCTATTCACGCTCTTGAACCACCTTCCCTACCGCCCCAGTCGACGTCCTTTTCACGCGCTGCCTCTCCAATAAGCAGCCGCGTTCGAACCTCCCGCGTTTTGCGCTCTCGCGCCCTCAAATGGCACGACACTACGCATAGATGTCCTGATTAAGTTTCAGCTTATCATGTTCACTATCAGACCTACGGCAATAGAGGGAAAACGGACGCCCGCGCAGTCGGTTTTCCTCTTCATTCTCGAAGGTTCCAATGGATTCATTTCTCTTTACGATACCGGTGTCTAGAGTATGCCAGGAAGCACTTTAAAACGTCGTTTTATTATTATCATAGCCTGTAGGTTCACCGGGACTTTGCGCGCAGGCGACACTGTGATTTAGTTCGGCGCAGATACCCACGAGGAATGCGGGATCGGGTACGTCACCAGAAATGGATGGCAAAGAAGTAAGTCTTCAAGCTTCAAGCTGGACGGTTTGTTTACACTCCAAATCCGCTGGAGATCACGACCGGACTGGTCTGATGACACCCTTCCGCACTGTCCAGGCCTCAGGAGCTCGGCCAGGACATGCGGCATCAGCTGTTATGACGCAGTGGAACTATCCGTCGTTCTCGAACTTTTACCCTGGGAGCAGAAGCGACAGATACATCCGCTACAGCATATCGTTTTCTGGCTCTCAATTCCACAAATCCCCGAGGGGCGACGGACTCGGGACTCGGGACGGGAATTTCGGCCCCTTCAGTTCCCCCTCGCGTTTCGACCAGGCCAAGCTCCAATTCCCGCGATCCCGCATCCGCCGCAGCACTTTTCCGCCCTCGGATGTCCTCCTCTCAACCCATCCGACACTGCTGCGCTTCAGTACTCCCTCTCCCAATATCGCATAAATACCCTCGTGTCCTCGCCGGTAGTAAGTCTCATCATCCACCTCTCACTTCCTCAATTATCGACTATCACGATGCTGGCCCTCTCTTCTGTAATCCTCTCTCTTGTCCTGAGCGCCTTCGCTGCACCTACTCCAAATGCCCTTTTCCGTCGCATATCCACCCGCAACGTGAAGTCTCTCAAGACCGCAGACGGCTTCTTCGATCACCAAAAGGCCATTCGCCAGGTGGCATACGACCACAAGTGAGTACATACCCGGAGGACTCATGGAAGTCACCCCCTGAGCTTACGCCCTCTGCAGCAAATACCGGAGCAACCTGATCAACATGCGCGACAACGTCGGCGCAGAAGCGTTTAAGGACGGTGCTCAGATTCTCCCACCAGTCTCGCCCTTGGTCTCGCCTTCTGAAGGGAAAGGCACCGAAAAATTGAACGACGAGCATCACGAACTCTGGGCAGGGATCGTGGGCGTGGGCACCCCGCAGCAGAGCTTCAACGTCGACTTTGACAGTGAGTTGCATCGTGGTGCATGCTGCTCGTCGCCTCTTGCTCACTCTCCACCAGCTGGGTCCGCAGATCTATGGATCCCATCCGCCAACTGCACTGCGACCGACTGCGCTCAGAAGGCCAAATACCACCCCGAGCAATCTTCCACCAGTCAGCGTCAGGGCGACAAATTCGCCGGGATTCGCTACCAAGACGGATCCACTGCCTCTGGCCCTATCTTCACCGACACCGGTGCGCTCTCTCGCGTCATAGACACCGAAAGCGCATTACTGACGTAGCGCGGGCCCACAGTGACCGTCGCGGGTATCTCGGTGAAGAACCAAGGCTTCGCCGCCGTCGAGTCCATGTCCGGCGAGCTCGCCCATCGTCCTATCGATGGCGTCCTCGGCCTCGGCTACCCGGCCCTCGCAAAGATGGGCCAGACGCCGTTCATCAACACTGGCCGCGCCCAGGGTTCGATCCCGCACGCCGAGTTCGGCCTCAGGATCACCGACACCACCTCCGAGCTCGAGATCGGCCTCCAGACCGGCGAGCACTGCACCGACGCCCCCGAGGTGCACCCCGTCACCGGCGATTCCGGGTACTGGCAGATCTCCAACGGGATGCTCGGCCGGGGCCTGCACGCGTACGCGCACGACTTTTCCGCGATCATCGACTCCGGCACGACGCTCATCTACGGCCCGCCCGCGGACGTCGCGAAGTTCTACAAGTCGGTCGAGGGCGCGGAGCTCTGGGACGAGAGCAACGGGCTGTACTCGTTCCCGTGCGACGAAGCGCCGTCCGACGCGCACTTCCAGTTCGACAAGGGGTGGCGGACGATCAGCGCCGAGAACTTCAGCTTCGGGCAGATTGACGAGACGAGGTGCATCGGGGCGATTGCGGGGCTGGACATGGGGCTTGGGAACCACACGTGGGTGCTCGGGGACAGCTTCCTGAAGAATGTGTACACGGCGTTCTCGTTCGAGAAGAACGAGGTTTCGTTCTGTTACCCCCGTGATTAGAAGTGTCGCGCATATTGCATCGCAGTGCTGGACGCTGACATGTATTAGAATACCGTACAACCAATCAAGTTCGCATAAGAGAGTGTCTGCACCAGGACTTCGCATGTCAGCCCCTCGCATAATCGGCTCCCCCACTGCGACTAGGAAGCACACATACGCACATAAATGCTTTGGCGACGTCTCATCTCGTTCGTGCACCTCACCGCCTCGTCACAACATGGACCGCGACCTCCGGCCTGGAAACGCCGTCGAACTCTTCCAACCCCGCACGTCTTCCCTTCTTCGGCTGCTCTGAGCCTTCGCCTTGAGGCTGGCGATGTTCACAACGCCTCTCACGACGCCGTCTCACATGGGTGTGAGCCAATGATATCTACTACTGAATATGGCCTGCACCCCCGCCCCCGAGGTCGTTCAGGGGAGTGGTGCAGGACCCTTTGTTCTTCCGCGGCCGAGGCCTGAGAGATCCCCCGGGCCGACTTTCCTGGTCGCCGCGGCCCCGGTCCGCGTCGTACACGACTTCGCGAGCCTTTCCGCTGAGCGATCCTGGTCAGAGCGCACCGCCGACTCACGGTTGGCGCGTCGCTGTACGCGATCACACCGTCCGTCGTCTTCGCGCCGCTGGACGAGTTCCGGCTCGGCGGGCGGCGGGCGGACGATCGCGCTTGGAAGAGTGGAAGAGTGGAAGGTGCGGCTGATGGAGATCGGGGGGAAGCCGATTCGATTATGTAAGCAGACCAGCTGGCTCAAAGCAGGGCGTAAAGGTAGGCGCGTTTCTTGAACAGCTGGAGGTGAGTCCAATACATATGGGTTGGAGCCTTGGATCTGGTCATGGGCGGTACAGATTCTGCATGTGTGGCTGAGTGTAAGGTCCTCCCGCCATCTTCGCCCCACGAGACTACAAAATCCGGGCGTCTATCGCGTCCATTGCTGTGGCCGGGGTCGCGCGACGGGGAGGAGACGGTTGATTATGTCCCTTTATTCCGCCTCCCGACCAGCTTGTCTGCAATGTCAGATGACGAGCAACCACAACAAACCAGAGTAAGCCAGGTAAAAGGAGCCCGGCTCGCATCGGGAGGGGCGACCGAATTTGTAGTATTTGTATTTCGCGGGATCGCGGAAAACCGGAGGGCCCTTCTGGCCTCTCTCGCCGCCTATAAAACCCTGGCTGCTGCCCATCTTTTCCACCTGCCCTCTCTCCTTTGACCCCGCACTTTCCTTCCCTTGTTCTGCTCTCCGTGGCCTGCCTCGCGAACCCAGACGGTCGGGTCTATCGCTATTGCAAACCGTAATGCCGCGTGCCGTGAGCTGGTAGCGCCCGATGCCCGCTCGGCGCTGTCAGAATTGGCACTGCTGAGGGGAGGACATTCTCGTGCTTGGGCTCGGAAACGAAGTGGTACGCGACGTCGTTCTTTGTGCCTGGGTCGCTGTCCGGGGAAGAGGAACGCAGGGCAGGATACTTCGAGTCTGGACTCTGTGCGTGCGGGAAGGCATGCGAGAACTCAGAAGGGCCGGGGCGCCGCTCGGATAGTGGACAGATTGCGTGCACGGTGAGCACTGAGCAGCGTCTGCACACCGTTGACGGCGACGCACGTCTTGTGTCCTCGAGCTCGCTGCCAGCGACGGGCAGCGCGACGGGCGGGGTACGCTGGAGAGCGTGGCGGGGGACAGGCGACACCGGGCACCATCAGGACCGTGGCCGCGGGAGCCCATCAGACTCCGCCCTGGCCAGCCATGCCTCCGTCGATTGGCTCTCTCCTCCTCCCCACGGACGCCCTCTGGTAGGTCCCCGATTCCCCAGCCCTTCGTTCTCCCCGCCACCCGCGTTTGCCATAAATACCCCTCCGCTAGTCCCGCACCCGCTCTCGCCGCCTTCTCTCGCCGCCCACCGTCTCTACCACGCCCTCTCCACGATCCCACCATGACCCAAGACTACGTCCTCGCCCGCCTGCTCTCCAACAACGCCCAGTGGGCCCAGGACGTCGCCCACGCCGACCCCAGCTTCTTTCCCTCCACCGCGCCCACCCAGTCCCCCAAGGTGAGCTTCTCAATCCGTCTCCTCCCCCGGCCCCGTGCCAGGTCAGCGCGAGCCCCTCCCCACCCCGTGCCAGCACGGTGCTTCCGAGTCCAGTTTCCGCACTCGGGCGTCGCGTTCTGCCCCCGATGCGCAATGTGCAGCCGATGTGCCCTCGTCACCACCGCGACCCGTTCGCTTTTGCAGATTACGACGGCGCTGCGGCCGGTTCGGCCGAATCGACGTGGGCTCGTCTCGTCTGCTCTCGCTGCTCTCGAACCTCTTCCTGTCGGTCTCGATGCTGCGCGGATGCCGGAAAACGGGTGGATAGTGCGCATATAGCCATCGGTCTCGGCTGTACAGATTTGAAAACGAGGCGGGAACGCCTGGCAGTGACGTGCAGACGGGCTCCAGCGGTATTCCTGCGACGCCTCCTTATCGTCCGCTCCGCGCCTTTTCCGATTGTCGGACGAGTCGTGTCGAGAGCATTTCACGCTGACATCCAACCCTGCCCCTCCCACAGGTGCTCTGGATCGGCTGCTCCGACTCCCGTGTTCCCGAGTCCGTAGTCACCGCCTCCAAGCCTGGGGACATCTTCGTCCACCGGAACATCGCCAAGTACGTTCTCTTCCCCCCTTGTATATGCGCATACACCCACCTCCCCCGCTCCGCCCGCAGCCAGTTCCACCCCGACGACGACAGCGCGCTCTCCGTGCTCACCTACGCCATCGAACACGTCGGCGTCCAGCACGTCGTCCTCGTCGGCCACACCAACTGCGGTGGGGCCGCCGCGTGCGCCCAGATGGCCGCCGCACCGCCCGCCGCCACGGACTCGCCGCTGATGCGCTGGCTCGCGCCGCTCGTCGCCCTCGCGCGCGCCAACCCGGACGCGGACCTGACCACGCTCGTCGAGGAGAACGTGCGGGCGCAGGTGGCGAAGCTGGCCGAGTGCCCGATCGTGGTCAACGCGTGGGCCAAGGGGAAGGACGTGCAGGTGCACGGGTGGGTGTACGAGCTCGAGGCGGGACGCCTGCGCGACGTGGGGTGCAGCTTCGGGAAGGAGGGCCAGATGTGATGAGCGGGTGAGCGCTGTTATACCATGCTTGTAGGATACGGACGGACCGGAATCGGATGCTCGGGCTTGATGCCTTGTAACTGCATTTTCGTCTGGGGACGGGTGAGCGTGGCGTGGCGTTTGAGCGGTCTGGCCTATGCTAAAAGCTTGTCTCATGTGAACGCAGTGCAAGTCGTCGCCTGTTCTGTCGTTGAAACAGCTGTCCGTGCCAGCGAGTATCTGGAACCACGGGGCGCAACCGCGAGTCCACCGGTCTGCGGTGCTTTTGCGAGACATTCCTTTGGATACGCGCAACTAACGATACACCGTTACGAGATTCATACCTAGCAGGTGTTCTATCGCCTGTGCTTTTAGGCCGTCCCACGTCCCCCCGGGTCCAAGTTTGCCAGCTTGCGGGTGGACGGCCGACAGGATTTATCACGCAAATATTGGCGTGCATCACCGGGAGGCGTCTCAAGCCGCCTCTATCCACACCTCCGACAGCTCAGGCTTGGAGAAGCACTTCGACATCGTACAGCAGCATGACTTTCCTGGGTCTGCCTCTGCGGAGTCCCACAGAGTACGTCTCGGACCTCCTCCGCGCACTCACACCACGGCCTCCTCCAACAAACCCGAGCACCGCTCTGGGCGCGCGGCAAGAGATTCGTATATGCTTTGCCACTGTCCCGTACGACCACGCCTCCGGCAAACCCTTCGGCACACGCTCCCATCTCTCGGCACGTACAATGCTGCGATAACGAGGCCCGACCGGCCCCCCGCTCCCCAGGCCACGTGTGCCACCGTCGTCGGCCAACACCACATTAACTGCGGCAGCGTCTGCGTCGCGCGCCATACCGGCGACCCCAGCAGGGTCCACGCACAAACAAGTCCCGTTTCGGACGTCGTTTTAATGCCCGAACTTTCAAGAGCTGCTTCTCAGCACCGGACATGACAAAGATGTACGTCAGAGCGACGAAGACCACAATGGATGCCGGTAGGTGACATCCCTCGCTCCTCTCAACGGGGTCCCATGACCATGACCAACAACGAATGCGGGTGGTTGGATTAGCATGCTCCGTGTGTGTTTTCTTGCTTTGATACGTTCTCGTCTGTTGGCCGCTGATGTCGTGCCGTAGCTCGTCTCTTGTAGTGGTCTTTGCCAGAACTCAAGTGCAGAACGCACGTAGGTGCTCCAAGATCACGCCACTGGTTTGTTCTGGACTCATGTCTTCTGAATGTGGCCATGAATGAAGGGGTAAGTTTAATGTCTCCTCGTGGACGGGGTTATCAGACTCATACCATCCACTCGACAGCGCGAAACAGTGGTTCGATTTCGTTCTGAGACCACACTAATTGTGGACTTTCTTCCACTTGAGAGGCCTGCTTGACAGGATCCGCGTTTGGGAGGGTCTTCAAGCTTCAGACTCGATGCCAGCCCCCATAAATACCCTCACAAACGGGACAACGCTGCATACGTTCCTTCCCACTCGATTCGCCGCACGCCCTCCCCAGCTACTCCCACCCACTCCAAGACGTCATGTCGCACGACTACGTTCTCGCACGTCTCCTCGTCCACAACGAGCTCTGGGCGAAGGAGATCACCGCCAAGCACCCCCACTTCTTCAAAGACCTCGCGAAGAACCAGACCCCGAAGGTGCGCTACTAGCTCTCGGATCGAACGCAGCCATCCCTCACCGTTCTCGTCGACACACCGCCAGGTGCTCTGGATCGGCTGCGCCGACTCACGCGTCCCCCAGTCCGTCGTGACCGCCTCGCTCCCCGGCGACATCTTCGTGCACCGCAACATCGCCAAGTGGGCCCCGCTCTCCCGCCCCCCCGCTCGTCCGCTTCCACGCTGACCCTCGCGCTCTCCCCCGCCGCAGCCAGTTCCACCCCGCGGACGACAACGCGGTCTCGGCGCTCGCCTACGCCGTCGAGCACGTCGCCGTCGAGCACATCCTCGTCGTCGGCCACACCGGCTGCGGCGGCGTCAAGGCCGCGCAGGACGCCGCGGGCCACGAGCCCCCCGCGCCCCCAGAGACCCCGCTGGACCGCTGGCTCGCGCCGCTCGTCGCGCTCGCGCGCGCGCACCCGGGCGGGGACCTCACCGCGCTCGTCGAGGCAAACGTGCGCGCGCAGGTGGACGAGGTCGTGAAGAGCGACGTCGTGACGGAGGCGTGGGCGAAGGACGAGCCGAAGGGGCTGGAGGTGCACGGGTGGGTGTACGAGCTCGAGACAGGCCGGCTGCGCGACTTGGACTACGGCTTTGGGAAGCAGGGGCGGCTGTGAGCGGGGTGGATGAGGATGATGGAGGCCGTCTCCGCGCGAGGTTGATGTGTACGATTACGCAAATTCTTGTGGCTCCGAAGATACGTATGTGCTGTGTAGGCTGGTTCATCCAGCGGAATGCGAGCTGGGGATATTGACATTTCGATATTCCTGTGTATATGATGCGTGTCAGATCAACATATGCCTCCGCCTCCGCCTCCACCGCCGTCCCCACTGAACCCACCGCCGCCACCGCCGTCTCCTCCAAAGCCGCCTCCGTGATGGCCGCCTCCATGCCCTCCAAAGTCATGGTGTCCATGATGTCCGCCTCCGTCCCATCCCGTCACAGGAAGCGCTCCTGCCACAGTAGTATCAACATATCCCTGGGTGGTTGTTTTGACCCGACCGGGTCTTGTCGCCCGATTTGGCATCCGAGGCCGCGTTATGCGCAGCCGGCGGTATTCGCTCATGACGAACGTGGCGACGACGAAGTCCAAGATTGGGACAACGGAGGGTTGGTATCCGATCACCAAGGGTCCGCTCTTATCCCGGCATGCTTTGGCGACAGTTTTAGCAGCCTCGGTCTGGACGAGCTGTAGCGGTCGTGAGCGATGCGCAGTGGAGAGATAATCGTGAAATAACCTTCAATAATGACGAGGAGCTGGCGCGAACTTTCCATGTGTACGATATGCCGTCGGGGCCGTCAAGAGGAAATGATCTGGAAGTTGCAGAATAAGTTGTTGCTAGATGACACTCTGACATCGTAGGTCGGATCGTCGCGGAGCTGCACTTACACTGTCCATCTCGGAGGGGTTGCAGATCTCTCCCGTACGGTCAAGTAGTCAACCTCTTCATCGTAGTTTCTAGCCCAGATGGCGACAACCTCCTTCTTCGGGTTCGCAATTTCGGTAGTGGACCATCGTTGGGGGAGTCCGGACGAGTCCCTCGTTTCGATAGTAAACAAGAGTTCTTTTGTGGCGTGGTCAACAACAGTAGTCTCTTGCACGTTAGTTGACGAGAACTCGAGATGGAATGGAAAAGAAGATGTCCCTGAGCCAAGCATGCGAGATGAGTGGTGAAACCAGTCGTGCGTTATCTAGGTTCTCCTCAGGCGAACCGGACGACTACACCGCCTTTCGAAGCTTAAGGCTGCGATCATGTCTCCGCTGCCAGGCTCCGGGCGCACGTGCCATGAGTCAGTGCACAGTGAACAACGCTCATTCACTCTTAAGTCAACTCGACAACGGTCGAGCCTCGATGAGCACCACCGTGACACATGTCTTCGTGAAGACGCTGGAGAGAGAGTCACGAACAAGTTGAAGGCAGAGCAAGACGCGAATGTGATGGACGAGACTTGCGCGTTTGCCACGTCGTGAACCAGATAAGATAAGGAACCGGAGAGATCTAGGCACAACAAGCGCCCGGAGTCGGGGTGGGGACGATCTCCGACCGGGCTTCCCGAGTCCGTCGCGCGTCTTCACTCCGCCAATCGTCCCGCAAGCACAAAGCTACAACGACGTCCATAGCGCGCAAAATAATTCAGAGGCGATCTGCATACAAACCTTGCCGGCGGACCAGGAGGTGGATCCCAGCGCACTGCGGTCGAGGTATAAGTATAGCGGGGACGGGTGACACCCACCTCATCCTCCTCTTCCTCCTGTTCTCGTAGGCCACATCTCGCAGCCACAAAATTCGACAATGGTCTCTTCATACGCGATTATTGGTGCCTCTCGCGGCATTGGCCTCGAATTCGTTGTCCAACTCGTACGTCGAGCGTCCCGTCGTGTCTTGCTTGGTAGTGACGCCGTGTCGTGTCTCCAGGCATCTAAGCCCACGAACTCCGTGTTCGCCGTCGTCCGCAACGGCGCGATCTCAGTACATCTCCAGGAAGCGATCAAGAAGCACGGCTTCAGCAACGTCCATGTTATCGAAGGTGACATCGGCGACTACTCGTCTTGCCAGGCATGTCTACCCTTACTACGTCTCCTCGACCATTCGCTGACGCGTTCTTGCCCAGCGTGCCGCGAAAGAAGTCGCCGAAAAGACCGGTGGAGGCCTCGACTGCCTCATCCACAACGCCATGCGCCCCTCTCCCCCCGTCAGCTTCACCGACTTCCTCAACATCCCCGACATGACCGAGTTCGACGCCGACCTCACCCACGCCGTACGCACTTCCCCCCTCTCCCCGCAACCTCCCGCTGACCGCTCCCCGCAGTTCCAGATCAACGGCCTCGGCACGATCCACTCCATCCACGCCTTCCTCCCCCTCCTCCGCGCGTCCCCCACGGGCGCGAAGAAGATCGCGGTGATCAGCACCGAGGGCGGCAAGTATGACGTCATCCGCGACATGAAGATCGCCGCCATGCCCTCCTACCACCTCTCCAAGTCCGTCCAGGTCATGGCCGCCCTCAAGTGGTCCGTCCTCCTCGCGCCCGAGTGCTTCACCCTCGCCGTGCTCACCCCGGGGCTCGTCGACACCTCCGGCACCAAGGGCGGGCTCGACGCGGAGGGCGCGGCGCTCGCCAAGGTGCACCGCGCCCGCCTCGACGCGGCCGTCGCGGGTTTCAAAGCCCAGGGCCTCACGATGACGTTGCGGACGCCGACGCAGGCGGTGGAGGCGATGTTGGCGGACATCGAGGGGATGACGCCGGAGAAGAACGGGCAGATCATTTCCATTCGGTGATCAGAATCTGTCCACGCAGAGAGCGTACGCGTATTTCGTGACCACTTGAATGATACATGAGCGGACTCACTCGAGTATCCCGTGTGCCTCTCTTGCACGCTGGCCACCTTGAACCAGGACGCCGGCGCACACCGCGGCACATGCCATAGTAGCGCGGGCTGCATCAACCTGGACAAGGCACGGCGGAGTGTGTGCGCTGCGAGGCATGTCCGTCTGAACAAATGGCCGCCCTGAAAAAGAAGCGCAAATGGTGCTGGTGGGCGGCGAGGACGTGTCCCGCCTTCGCGTGCGTAGATTAGGCAGACATTATGATTCGATTATTGGGCGATTTATAAAGTATCGTTACAACAACTGCTGACGGAGAGCTTTTAGCGCGGGGATGACGAACTGTGCAAAGGCGCATATAGTCAGCACTTAAAAAAAAGGGAAAGCGACCACAGCTGAAGCTCACTCGTTGATCATTCTTAGTTATCGTACACTGAGAGTCACTGCCTTCCTTTCTGTATCGAGTGCGTCAGCAGCAGCGCCAACCTAACACCAGAGACCAACACTCACCTCTTCTCTGCTCTATCCCATCGTAATCCGCCTCACGTTCGACGACATCCCATCGATCATGATCTCGATGTCGCGCTTGAACCGCGACGCCCCACACGCCTCGCTCTCCACGTGCGCGACGAACGCGCTCAGCGTCTTGAACCGCTCGTCGCACCCCCTGTACGCCGCCGGGCACCGGTACTTGGCCGTCGCGTGCGCCGGGCTCCGCAGGTGCTGGTTCAGCGCGGGCAGCGTGCGGTACTGCCGCGCGCAGACGTAGCACTGGTACGCGTGCCCGTTCCACGCGCGCTCCGTCGCCCACTCCTCCGTGACCTCGACCGCGGCCGGGCCGGCGATCATCCGCGCGGGGTCGGTGATGATCCCGTTCCTGTCGAGCCGCCCGATGAGCTCGTCGAGCTGGCGACGGTCCATGCCGGACGCGCACGCCCCGGACTCGAGGTGGACGATGAGCCCGGAGCGGGAGACGAAGGACCGGCCGCAGCCGCGGAGCGGGCAGGGGACCTCATGCCCCTGGTGGAGGGAGGAGCGGAGGTGGGACTGGAGGTTGCTCGGGTGGCCGAACATGCGCCTGCAAGAGACGCAGTAGAGGTCGGGGTGGCTCTGGCGCCGATGCTCGTGCAGACCATCGCTGTTCTTGAAAATCTGAAGGGAAACAAGGGAGAGTCAGGACCGACTGGATAGGGGCACGGAGCGCATACGGGGCGCATATAGTCATGCAAATAGGGCGCACGATGATATGACGAGGAAAATGGACGCGCATATAGTGAGGCAAGTGGGAGCGTACCTTGATACACAGGTCGCACCAGGAGTGCTCGTCGTCGTAATGGTCGTAAAGATCCGGGAGGGTGTTGAAGTGCTTGTCGCAGCGCTGACAGTAGTGGTGGTGCGGGCTCTGCACAAAGTGCTGGACGAGAGCCCAATCGGATGCGAAGTCGACATTGCATTGCAAGCAGATGTTGTGCGCGGGAGAGGTCTCGAGGTGGTCCTGTAGTTGCCATTCGTAGTAAAACCAGAAGTCGCATCGGATGCATTCGGGCATATTGATTCGCGCAAGAGTGATTGACGATGCTAAGAGGAGCAGGTTTTGTCGGACCTTCAGGGGTGGTTGGATCCTCGTAGAGTTGGAGATGGAGGTGGTCCAGAGTCAAGAGTGCCGATGACCGTCGCGACCGCGAGCGGAGAAACGCCCCGCGTCCCAGATACCACGTGATCGTTGCTCGACCGGGCCGCGATCACCGACTCAGTATCCTGAGTCCCCTGCTCGCCCCACGATGGTACAAGTTAAAAAGCGACTCATGGTATTTGTATCCGTGTGGACTTGAAATGTGTATTTACAAAGATAAACGTGTGGATGATTCACGCTTCTATCGAGAGGGAGAGGAAAGGAAGCACCAATCGTCCACCGCAACGTCGAAGGTATGAATGGAATAAGGGCTTTGCGCGGTTTATAGAGACGGAACTGACCAAAATTTGAACAGTGTCCAATCGAGTGCACGTCCGCGACGCCGCAGATCCTTCGACCTGCATTCGCAGTGTTGTCACCACTTCGACGGCACTAATAGATGTTGAAACGCTCACCGAGACCCTCACTCAAAGCGACGTGCGCCGCAAGGTCGACGGAACCTTCTCGATCATCTCCACCAATTCGGGCTTGAAGTCCGAGAAGGCGCACGCAAAGCTCTCGACGTGCCCGACCAGCCCGCTGAACTTCTGGAACTTCTTCCCGCACCCGCGAGGCGATGGACATTGGTACAAGAACTCCGTGTGCGACGCGTCCTCCACGTGCACGTGGATGACGGCGGAGAGGTAGGTAGAGAACTTGTGCCGACACAGGGAGCATTCGTACCCGTTCCCAACCGACACCACGTCTGCCTCTTCTCCTCTCGACGGGGTCGTCACCGAGGTAGCGACCCCAAGGCGGTCGAGTGCGAAGAGGAGGCGATTGAGCGTGTGTCGATCAGTGTGTCCGTGGCGCTCGCTGAGCTCGAGGTGGACAGTGACGCCGGAGCAGTCAACGAAGCAAGAATGACACGCCACCATCGGGCAAGGAACGTTAGCAGGCCGGTGGGTGCGAGACCTGCGGTGGGCGTTGAAGTTGCTGGAGGAGTCGAAGAGACGTTTGCAGTTCGGGGATGGGCAGTAGAGAGCGGGGTGAACGTCAACGAGATGGTTATGGAGGATATCGGGGTTACGAGGCGATATGAGCTGGAGGAGCGAAGTCAGAAACAACTCGCAAAGAGGGATACGCACAGATACACGCATAGTTGAAGGGGAAGCGGAAACGCATATGGGGCATCCGTGCTCACCGGTAAGATGGCTTCTCAAGGCCAAGGGGTTTCCAAAGAAAATCCCACAGGACGAACAGTACGAGCGCTGCTTGCGAGCGGTAGCCCGACGGCAACGGCGACCGCCGCCGCCCATTACAAAGGTTCTGACAGCTCTGCAAGGCAGCGTGAGAAGAGGCGTTAAGTCACCGTAAGCAGAAGACTCACAGTAGCTGAAAAGGATGTTCGTGGATGTCGAGTAAGGATTACAGAAGGGAATGGGGGCGAAGGGGAAGATGCCCGGATCGCCCCCGCAGCTCTTTATGGCGAGGGCCACGCGATCTCACGTGGCCGTACGTGTGCCCCAGGCACTGCCTTTAGACTCGGACCTGCGCGAGATGTCTAGAAGCTTCTGGACCTGAGGTCAGCTGAGCTTCTAGTTGAGAATGGCGCATATGAAGACAGCTTCGAAAAGCCATAGCGGTAGCTCATGCACATAAGCGAACGTATGCTCATGAGCGAACGTATGCTCATCGTTTGAGACACACCCGAGGGTCTCCATGACGTCATAACATATCAGGCAGCGGCCCACATTGCCGGACACCCGGCTCTCCCCGTGACGCAGATCTCGTCCCTGACGGAGATCTTACCGCTCGTCCCCTCCGCGGCAACACATGGTCTGCACGAAGGATACTTTCGACTCCCTGAAATCGCTCTTGGGTACCTATTTGAAAGACTCTAGACATTCAACACTACGTCATCGCTCCAACTGGTTTAAAGCAAGGTTGAATTGACGAAAAACAGCTATGAGTTGAGGGGTATCCAAGGTGGCGATATACAAGAGATGAAAGCAACCACCGCTGAGAGGGTCGATACTCGACGTGGGGGTATGGGCGGTGGGAGTAAAAATACAGAATAGAGAAGTGACGACTGCGACTTGCCCGACCTTCTGCACATGCAAACATGTCAGCATTGTGCAGCCCGTGACGCGTCACCGAATAACTCACCTCCCGCCCCCACTCATCAGACCGTAATCCGCTTCATCTTCGACGACAACCCGTCGATCATCCGGTCCATGTTCCCCTTGAACCTCCACGCCCCGCACGCCTCGCTCTCGATGTGCTGGAGGAACCCGCTGAGCGTCTTGAACTGCCCCTCGCACCCCTTCCACATCGTCGGGCACCGGTACTTGTCCTTCGCGTGCGCCGGGCTCCGCAAGTGCTGGTTGAGCGAGTCGAGCGTCTGGAACTCGCGCGCGCACAGGTAGCACTCGAACGCGTCCCCGTTCCACGCGTGCGCCGTCGCCCACTGGTCCGTCACCTCCACCCCTCCCTGCCCGTACTCGAGCATCCGCGCGGGGTCGGTGATCGTCCCGTGCCTGTCGAGCTTGTGCGCGATCTTGTCCACCAGCCGGCGGTCGATGCCCGACGCGCACCCGCCGGACTCGAGGTGGATGACGAGCGCGGCGCGGGAGATAAAGGACTTGGAGCAGCCGCGCATCGGGCACGCGATGTCGGCCGACTGGTGGACGGAGGAGCGGAGGTGCGAGTGGAGGTTGCTCGGTTGCTGGAACATGCGCTCGCACGAGGGGCAGTAGCGGTCCGCGTGAACTTGGCGGCGGTGTTCGTGGAGGCCGACCTCGCACGCGAAGAGCTGGACCAGGGAGAGGGTGTGAGCGTGGTGGCCCGCAATGTAAGGAGAAGGGAAGGGGGTGTGCGGGGGGAAGGAGGACGGGACGTACCTTGTGGCAGCTCTCGCACCAGATGTGCTCGTCCGCGTAGTGCTCGTAGAGGTCCTCAAAGTCGCCGAAGTGCTCCTCGCATTCCCGGCAGTACGCGTGGCGCTTGCTTTGGCTGTAGTGCTGCTCGAGAGCCCCCGAAGAGGCGAAGTCCCTCTCGCATGAAGAGCAATAATTGTGGGCGCTGGAGTTCTCGAGGTGCTGCTCCAAGGCTTGTTCGCTGTTGAACCAGCGGTCACAGGGATAGCATTCTGGCATAATTGAGGGTGCTGAAGTTGATACCGGGGCGTGAGAAGAGGAAGACGAGTTCCAGTTATGGATGGGGAAAGGGGACAGAGCCGTAGAGAAAGGGGCCCGAAGACGGGGTCGCGATATATAACACGTGCTGCGGTAGAGCACGTGATCGCGTGGCGCGTGTGCATGGACCAAATTCCAATGCCGCAGGCTTACCGCAGGACAACACAGCATCCGGGATGATCTTGGCCTGCGTTCACGACGGGAGACAGCAGATGTGTTGGCGAATTCATACTCGGAGATACTCGGGGGATAGTATGCTCGTCGGAGCTGCTATGGTGGTTGCGGGACCGAGGACCAGTAATTATGGTGCACTGGCAAGCTCTACATGATAACACACGGAAGATCCTCCATGCGTCTCATCTCCCTTCCATCCGACGACTTTTCGGGACTGCATCCCGCGGTGCTCTCCTCTACCACCGGCGCGACGCCGCTGCTGGCGGGACGGTTGGTGCGCGCAGGTTCAGCGAGGAGCCCGATCCAGTGCTCTTGCGGGGTAAAGAAAGCCTGGGGGCACGCGAGCGGGTGTCAGCCAGGATCGGCACATAACGGGGGGTTGGCACGACACCGGGGGCCTGGGCGCGCCGTCATACAGGCACCTCGATGGTGCTCAGGCACGGGTAAGGACATGGGCGAGGAGACTCGGCTCACCTGCGAAGGGGGGCGCTTGTCGTCGACAGCGAGGGGAGCAGAGCCCATGGTTGGTGGATAAGGGCGACGGCGGAGCGGGTTCAGCAATGCGAAGAGAGCGTGGTCGAGGGCTTTATGGCGGAGACAGAAGAATGAAAGACGCAAAGGTACGCACTGAAAGATGTGGGCCTGGGGCAGACCAGCCGGCGAAGGGAACCGGCGAGGAAGGGCTGACATAGTGGCCGAGTGCAGTGTACCGACTTTTCCGATGGCATCGCGGGCGCGCACTTCTCGTGTTTGATGGATAACGAGACGAAGATTTCAAGGGACGCGTACCAAACTCCCCAGCACCTGTTCCTTCGAAGTCGAGTGAGCCGTGCACGGCGAGTAAAACCAGACCTGGCTAGGTCGAGATGAGATAGTTGGCACCGGCGAAGTGGGACTCCGATCATGGACGGCAGCTGTAGACTTTCTTCCCCGCAGTGTCCGACGACACGTTCGAGACGTCGCCGAGAACCACACAAGAGACGCGCAAAGACAGGGCCCGGCCCAAGAGAATGTTCAAACTTCAAAGAGGACAACAGAGTTCGAAACAGACGTCGGGAGCAGCATATCACAGGGACGAAATTCCGGTCACGAGGTCGTCTCGATGACTAAGCCTTTCGCAGTGAAGCTTGGAGCGCGCACGCGTGCCTTGCAAGTACTCTCTCAGGTCGCCGTCATTCAACGTATGCAGGTCTCCCTTGCGGCAAGGCAGGGGCGGCCCTGACTTATCCTCTCTTTATTTCAAACACGGGCCAGAGTGACCCCGATGGTCGCAAACGTTTTATGGGAGCACAATATGTGCGTCAATCTGTATGGTCGCTGCAGTCGGCGAGCCAGCGAGTCTCTGACGCCCGGCACAATGGTACTTACTTCACAGCTAGCCAGGGACAGAGGTACGTCAGCCCCATGTCTGATGCACTCCTTCCTAGAAGGATGTCCGCTTTGTTTTTCTCCGAGGACGATGACGCCGCCTCGGTCAATTATAGTACTCTCTGGAGCGACATAGGCCGGATGGTGTGACATGAGGGATGGAGCGATGGACGTCCCGGTGGACATCGGTATTGTTCTCTCCGGATCCCATGGAACGTATACCAGCCTACAGCCTCTAACTCAATAAGGTATGTGGGAATGCGCCCCTGGCGTGTTGTATACCTATAAATCCTCTCGTTGACCTCTCCCAAAGCACACACCCTCCGACCTCTCCAACGTCTCTGTCTACTTCTCTTGACGACCATTCTCAAACATGTCGGACGACATGATTCTTAGGCAATTGCTCGGCAAAAATCGGGATTGGGCCAAACGAATCGAGGCCGAATACCCCGGCTTCTTCGAGAGGTCGGCAGCTGAGAAGCAGCGCCCCAAAGTGAGTGCCTCGTTCGTCTCACCGAGTAGATACTGGGATTTCTCTCGGTCGACAGCCATAAGCGTCCCTTTACTACCAGTTTACCCCATCTCTTTTGGTCGAGCACCGCACGCTCGCTGCGAACGTCAAACTGTGCCATGTTTCTTTTGACCCGCTGTGCTTCTGTCCATAACGAATTCTGACCAACACGGATCAGGTCCTGTGGATTGGATGCGCGGACTCGCGCGCCCCCGAGTCCGTCATCACCGAATCCATGCCGGGTGAGATCTTCGTGCACCGGAACATCGCCAAGTGAGCCCCACCACTTCCGACCGACGCGCGCGTCCGCTGACGGCTTCCTTCCCCAGCCAATTCCACCTCGACGACGACAACGCGGACGCCCTGCTCACCTACGCCGTCGAGCATGTCGAAGTGCAGCACATCATCGTCGTCGGCCACACCCAGTGCGGCGGCGTCATCGCGGCCAGAGCCGCCGCCGAGAAGCCGCCGAAGGAGCCGGAGACGTCGCTCGAACGCTGGCTCGTGCCGCTCGTCGGCCTCGTGCGCGAGCACCTCGATGAGGACCTCACTGCGCTCGTTGAAGCCAACGTGCGCGCGCAGGTTGACGCGATCGCTCAGAGTCATGTCGTGAAGGAGGCGTGGCTGGACACCGAGAGGCCGGGGGGGTTGAAGATCCACGGTTGGGTGTATGAGCTCGAGCATGGCCACCTACGGGACTTGGAGTACACCATCGGGAAGGATGGGAGAGAGTTTTAGTGCGAATGCTATTCATGTATCCCTGGAGCTATTTGCAAATCTGAGCTGCATTTGTGATTGAAATATTGTGTCTGGCCCCATGCGAGTACAAGCCTCAGAGGACGCGTCCATGTGGAGGCGTGATAGATACAGACACCCACATGCGGAGAGATACAATAAGACGTAATTTCGACTCTTCGTGGAAGTGGTATCACGTAGAGACTATATCTTTCGATTCAATCGTTTAATCGTCGTCAGCTTCTTCGCTAGAGATGCACATTCCGAGGCCTTTCTAAGGCGTCGTGCCAGCAGACGGGCTCGAGACGCTATGCCTCTCAGCGACTTATGACGCATAGGCATGGTACAGATACTTCTAATTCAGCTGAGGACTAGCGTTCCGCTCTGGCGGTGGGTGACATGTCTGGCTGCGGTGACTGAGGGCTCCGCTGAACGCGAGAGCCCTATCAGCGTGCCACAGGTGTTCTTTGAAGGTGTTTGGAGGATGGTGGGAAGGTAGAGGACAGATGCAAGCTGCGGGAGACATTGTATACTTATCCGGATTTGATCTAGTGCCATCTTATCTTATCGTAAGAATTAGCGCTCTATCGCGGACTGCTCTCCACAAGCTGTCCACCCCGAACTTCAAACAAACCGCCTTCACCCGGCAAAAGATCAAGGAAACGCTACCAAGCCGTGAACAGAGTGATCTTCAACAGCTTCGAACGTCCGCGCATCATCAACGGGTTCAATGCACGGAGCGCGAGCCGGGTCATATCCGAGAGCCGGGACTCAGCGACGGAAAGCGGCATCGCGCGCTGAAGAAAGCGTTGCGCGAGCGGCTCGCCGCTAGACGAGTTAATGTACTCCGTGTTTCTGGTAGTCGCGTAACAGGTGGAGGGAGATGGGGTGGGAGAGATGATATAGATACGCGCATGGGAGATCGATTGAGCTTATCTCTCCGCTCAGTCAAGTGAACAGTCCGTCGCCTCCCATGTTTATCTCCTGCCGTTATCACCATCCACCTCGAGATCATCGCCCCCCCCCTCCCATGGACAGAATTCCACAAGAGCTTTTCAGGCTGATATTGGGACAGTGGAACATTCAAAGACCAGACTCGGGCAGCTTGTCGTTAAGCGGGTTTAGCCGCCTAATCGACGGTTCCGACGACCTCGGCTTCCATAGTTGGCTGCCCCTACGCCTCGTCTCCCGCCACTGGAACGAAACCATCGCCTCGGAGAAGCATTTCTGGAGCACCACCATCGCATGTGGACCCCATGCGCGTGAGTGGTTGATGATTTGTCTCGTCCGCGCGGACGGAGTTCCCATCGACATTACCCTCGAGCTCGATCACGAACACAAAGATGAAATATGGTCTCTTCTCATTTCAATCATTCCCCACGTGCTCCATCTCCAGTCCTCACCGTCAGTTACCTCGACCAGAGACATCGCGATCCTCTCAACGACTTCTTCCTATCAACGACGTTTCCCGCGTTGACGACACTCGTCCTCGAGTCAGGCTCTTACCGCTGGGAGGAGGCGGAAGACAACTTACCAGTCACATTCGAGCAGCACAATACCCCCGCTCTCACGACGATCTCTGTCGACGCGGGCTGGCAGGTGCCGCGTCCAGCGGTCTTCGCTCACCTAAAGCACGTCTCGCTCGTTGCCAGGGGGCTTGAAATCTTACCGACGCACGTCCTCCGGCTCCTCTGCGCCGCGCCGCAGCTCGAAGAGTTCTTCCTCACATGGGCATCATACTACCATGGACTAGAGCTATATTCGGCGGACGGCCTGTGGTGCACGGGGGCCGAAATCACAGAGCCGGTCACCATGGCCCATCTCCGCATCCTCGAGTTCACGGAGAACACCTACGGGCAGTGGAAGACCTCCCGGGTGCTCCAATTCCTTCGCCTGCCCCAAGCGCAGGTTATCCGTCTTGACCACACAGGCTGGAACGCCTCGAACATATTCGATGATCTTTCGGACACGCTCATAGACTCGATCCCCGTCCTCCCCTCGCTCGTCGGGCTGCGCATCTTCACCCATATCTGTTCGTACGGCTTCGAAGGCTGGACCGCGGACAGGACGCACCGCTTCATCTTCAGCTGCGGTATAAACATGAATGAGGACCACGATATTGAAATAAGCCCCTCCTCCTTCCTCCGCGGCCTTAGACAGTACATTGAATGCACACGCTGTCCCGACGGTCTCTCCACTCTCGAGCTCGACATCACCGGCTCGTCTTTCACGCAGCAGGAAGAGTGGGCGGCGCTTCTACTATGCTTCCCCAAGCTCACGCGGCTGTCGATCGCCCAGAACACGGCCCAAACCGCGGAGATATCCATCTGGCGGAGTTGTTGGAAGCGCTGCGCGAGCGCGGGGAGCCGCTGGCGGAGCTGGTTTTTGTTGGTGAGCCGCGCCTGGACCTGGAGATGTGGAGGGAGAAGATGGAGGCGGCGGGGGTCGAGAGCGTGACGAGAGTGGCGGTCATCGACGGAGGCTCGTACGAAGAACATTGATCCCTGATATGACGGTGTAAGGACTGCGAGGACTTGCACGGAAGCTGACTCCACGCGTCGAAACATGCAGACGTTCACGATCGCGCACGCCGTTATGATTATCCATCTCACTCGCGCCATATTCTCCAGGCTCTCCCCTTTGTTTTCCTATCCCTCTTTTAGTTTCGTTGGATCCCTTGGTGTTCGCGATCGTTTGGACGATGAAGTACTTGCTTCTGTCATCCGCTACGGTACTTGCTGGATCCGACATCATATATATCTAGCTCAGCGCCGTTTTGTAGTAGCTACGTCTCCACGGCTCTCTCGTGTTGACATCGAGGCGGAGGCAAACAGGGGCTCTGGCGATTGGCTGTGTCCAGGCCGAGCTAGAGCGCGCTTGGCCAGAGAAGAGCGGGATGACGTCAGACGAGAGGACGTTCACACGCTCGTTGCGTGCGCTTGTTGAGTTGAGCGCCCTGCTCCGACGGTTGCTACGCCGCGCGGTACAGCGCTGACTGTCTGCTTCCTCCTGCTCTACGACAACGACAACGTTCACCATATGCTGGCGAAAGTTCTCCCAGCGCACTTCTGCTGCCGTGATTGGTCATCCCGATCCTACACACAGCTCATACCCCTGAACGTTGAAACGTTGAACCGTAACAAGCCTTGTCCGCCTGTGCGCGCACTGTGGAGCCTTGGAAGCCAGCTCTCCCCCGTCCGTCGGCATCCCTGAACATCGGAACCTCGATCCTTCAGAGAGTTTGAGAAACTGGACTCATGCTACGCTTACCTCGCTCTCGTTGCCTTTGTCCATCGCACCACTCTCCCCGTTTTCCTGGTCACGACCCTCCATATCTACCTTCTCTGCGATGTCTTCAGACGATACCGGCACTGCTTCAAACACCCCCATTGATGTGCCAGCATAGTGCGTAACCCTCGCTATTGTACAGTGTGGAGATGCTACATACCTGTCTAAAGTTTCGGGCCTCTGTTCATCGCCGTGGTGGTGGATATATTCTTCTTCGGCATCATCGTCAGCCAGTCATTCATGTACTTCACCACCTTCAAACGGTACGTGTCTCTCCGCAAACGAGTCAGGCTGACAATCCGCATCTACCTCTAGAGATCCGAAGTGGATGAAGATCCTCGTCACCCTCGTCCTGATCCTCGACACGGTCAACTCTTGCTTCGACGACACCGGCGTATATGTGCCCATCGTCCTACATTTCGGCGACTTCGCGGATGTTCTGATCACCGGATGGGGTGCGTCGTAGTCGGCCGCCCGGTGTAACCGCTCACACTCGCCCAGCATGCCATATGAACCCCGCGGTGACGGGAATCGTCGCCTCCCTCGTGCAGGGCTTCTACGCATGGCGCGTTCACGTCATCGCCCAAAATCGTTGGATAGTCGGCGCCATCTGTACGCTCTCCTTCGTTCAGCTCCGTGCGTACTCGCCCTCTCGTCCTCCGGCGGCCAGCGCTGAGCCGGGCACCGTCACCGCAGTGGGCGGCATCGGGACGTCCATCGCGGCCACACGCGTGCCGTACATCCCGGACTTCATCTCATTCCAGTCGATCGCCATCGTCTGGCTCGCCTCGGCCGTCGTGGCGGACGTGCTGATCACCGCCACCCTCGTCTACTACCTCCGGAGCCGCAGGACTGGCATGGAGTTCACGGACACCACCATTGACAAGATCACCCGCCGTGCGTCCCCTCCCGTCCTCTCCTTCTGCTACTCCTCTCACGCGGTCCCCCTCCCCCTTTCCCCGTCTGGGCGTCGGAAACAGTGACGATCGAGACCGGGTTGCTCACCTCCGTGTGGGCGACGACGGACCTGCTCGTCTACCTCACCGTCCTGGAATCCGTTCACCTCTTCTTCAACTTCACGCTCTCGAAGCTCTACACCTTCTCCCTCCTCACCTCGCTCATCGCCCGCCACGCGCTCCAGGACGACGGCCCGTCCGAGGACCCGCGCGTGCACCAGATGCCGCCGAGCAACCGCGTGCGTGTTTCCCCTTCCGCCCCCGCACGGGACGGCACGCCGACGCTGACGCCGGAGCGCAGAACTCGCAGGTGCCACCGCAGGCCTACGCGCCCGACGTCGAGGGGCACGAGCTCAAGGGTGTCACGGGCCCGTGCGCTTCTGCGACGAGAAGGGAAAGTCGCGCCCAGCGTCGAGCGCGACGTGGGCTACCGCCGTGGACGACCAACGGAAGTCGCGCCCGGTGTCGAACGCCACGACCGCCACCGCCGTAGACGAGAGGAGGTGGTCGCGCCCGCTGTCGAACGCGACGTCGTCCACGGCCTTCTGCCACTGATACACCCTGTCTGTCAGGATTGGACGCTTGGATGAATTGCCGTCTTGTATTATGATGCTGAGCGCTCAGTTGTATACTAGTCTTCCCCCGCGTTATCGTTGTTCGCACTCGCTCCGATCCTAAGTTCCCGACATCGGACGAACTCGTTTGACACCTCCCCCGAGTCCTTTCTAAATCGCTCGCGATTGGTCCAGACCGCGACGCGTATGCCCGGGACACGCCGGGCCTCTGCCCATCCGCTAGGACTTAGAGCGAGTGCGTAAACAGACCAGCAGATGAGGCTGGAAAATCTCGTGCAGCATCGTCCTACATGCCTTCAAGACCTCTTCATGAGAACCAAGAAGCGCTCCCATTTCAACCGTCGAGTCCAGTTTTCTTTGAATTCCTCTAGCTCTCTATGTGTTTCGTATGTCGCCATTGGAACACCACCACGTACTATTATAATTAGTAATGACATTCATCTTTTCCCTCTTCTTCTTCCGAGCCTCCATCGGCCGCCACTCGCGTCACACTCCCGACCCCAGCGGCCTCCATCTTATCCCTCCACTCCTCTAGCTCAAACGGGGGTTCGCCAACGAAGACCAGCTCTGGCAGCGGCTTCCCGCGCCCGCGCAGCGCTTCCGCCAACTTTACCGGACACCTGCCATCGACGCGGATCCCGTTTGTGCTCGCGATCGACAGCTGCGTGAGCCCGGGGAAGCGTCGGAGGAGCACCGCCAACCGCGCCTGTCGCGCGAACAACGCGACGATGGTCCCGCCGAGCTCGAGGGTGGAGATGCCGTCGGGAGGGCGTGTGCGGTCGACGAACCGCTCTAGGCAAGAGAGCATGGTGGGGCCGAGCGCGGTCGTTCATGTCGCAGCGGACGGCGAACCGGTGCGTCTGTCCGCGGTCCAGGCTTCGATTCCGAACGAATACTTGGCGGCGACGGCGCGCAGCCCAACGAGCGAGCGGATGAAGGGGATAGAGTCTGCGAGCGTGTCGGGAAGATAGTGGAATATTTCGGGGCGTCCCAGCCCTTGCAGTCGAGACGGACTACTGCGCGCGTGGCAGCGGAGGCGCTCGAGCACCCAGGCGGTGCGCGACTGGTCATCGATGTTTTCCGTGAACTCGAGGATGCGGAGGTGGGACATGGTGACCGGCTCTGTGAGCCCCGCGCCCGCGTACCACAGGCCCGGCGTCGAATCTAGGTCGAATCCTTGTAGTATCCGCAGCCAAGGCGGAACCCGCCGAGCAGCGGGGCGGCGCGGAGGAGCCCTAACGGCGTCGGTAAAATTTCCAGCTCGTCGGTGAGCGAGACGTGCTTCAGACGCGCAAAGACCGCTGGACGCGGCACTTGCCAGTGTGCGTTGAGCGATATCGTCGTGAGAGCGGGGGTATTGTGCTGCTCGAATGCGACAGGGTGGGCTGCGACAGCCACTGGTCGATATCCGACACAAGGACGAGTGTTGTCAAAGCGGGAAACGTCGCCGACAGGAAGAAGTCGTTGAGAGGGTCACGATCTTTCTCGGTGATGGGAAAGACGGCGAGGACGGAGATGGAGTGAATGGGGAAGGATTTCAACGAGAAGAGACCATTTTTGTCTATGTGTTCGTGATCGAGCTGGAGGATAACATCGATGGGAACTCCGTCAGAGAGGAAGAGACAAAACATCAACCACTCCCGCACATGGGGCCCGCGCGCGTGATGGTGCTCCAGAAATGCTTCTCGGAGGGATAGTTGCGCTCCAGTGGCGGGAAACGAGGCGTAGGGGGAGCAGCTATGGAAGTGAGGGCGGGTACGAGGTCGTGACGGTCGATTAGGCGGCTGAACGACGACTTGAGGCCTGGCCTCTGAATGGCCATCGCATATCAAACAGAAGAGCTCTTGTGGGATTCCGTGCATGGGGCACGATTGTGCAGTTGTGTTTGGGAGGGCATGGGAATGCAGAGAGAAACATGCGCAAGCGCCGGACTGTTCATCTGTGCCGGCCTGCGAGGCCGGTCCGCGGCGCCGGCCGATCGCTGGGCTAGACCCTGCCCGCGCGCCTTCTCTCATCTCCCTACATCAGTTCCCCGTCGTACTCTTCTCGCGCCCACCCACCATACTCTTGTCGCTCGCGGGCTTGTTCGTACACAGCTGTCTATTGAGGTGCTTTTGCACGTGCCACGGGCCACCGCCGGACATCTCCAATTCGCGGCGCAAGCGATCCCGCCCACCCGACGGCTCGCTTCGCTCCGCGTCCGCCGGACCCCAAGTACTGTCTGGTATACCTGCCGACCTCGTATCGTCCCTCCGTGGGCCCCGCGGACCTTCTCTCCCGCTCGACCAGGCTCGACCTCGACGGCTGGTCTCCCCTCGGGCTGGAGCCTTGCGCTTGTCAGTGACGGGCGGGCGCCAAGTGGGACACGCTTCTCAGACACCTCCTGCGCACGGCGAAGACGTCCGTCTGGCGCCAGTCCCTTCAACGTCCCCAGCTGCGGAACGGCATGGCATCGACTGAGCTGGCACTGCGCGAGCCTGTCTGGGGCGCCGCGCCTCTCGCGGCCGAGCTGACGTTGCGCGCGCGGCTCACGGTCGCTGGACGAATTCCTGTATTCCGGGTTGCGGGTATAAACCACTTGAGGCCGATCGGAGTGGGAGGACGGTATGCGCCTGGGAGATCGATTGGCCATGATCCGGCGCCTGCGCCTGCGTCTCTAGACTTTCCCTCATCATCCCCATGCACTCCGAAACACAACCGGACAACTTCGCCCCCATCGACAGAATCCCACAAGAGCTCTTCAACGTTATATTACGATCGACAATTCGAAGGCCAGGCCTCAGGTCGTCGTTTAGCTGCCTCGTCGAGCGTCCCAACCTCGAACCCCCACCTGGCTTCCATAGTTGGCTCCCCCTACGCCTCGTTTCCCGCCGCTGGAACGCAACTATCACCTCCGAGAAGCATCTCTGGAGCACCATCATCGCACGCGGGCCCCATGCGCGGGAGTGGTTGATACTTTGTTTCTTCCTCTCGGGTGGAGTTCCCATCGATGTTATCCTCCAGCTCGATCACGAACACATAGGCGAAATATGGTCTCTTCTCATTTCAATCCTTCCCCACGCACTCCGTCTCCAGTCCCTCGCCATCAGTTCCCTCAACCAGAGTCATCGCGATCCCTCAACGAGTTCCTCATATCGACGACGTTTCCCGCTTTGACCGCACTCGTCCTCGTGTCAGACCCTTCCGACCAGTGGGAGCCGGGGGACGTCTCACCAGTCACATTCGAGCAGCACAACACCCCCTCTCTCACGACGATCTCGGTCAACTCGCCCTGGCAGGTGCCGCGTCCAGCGGCCTTTGCGCGCCTGAAGCGCGTCTCGCTCGACAGCGGGTTGAAAGTTTTGCCGATGCACGTCCTCGGGCTCCTCCGCGCCGCGCCGCAGCTCGAAGAGTTCCGCCTTGGCTGCGGATATTACCAAGGATTCGACCCAGACTCAACCGCCTGCGGGCTGTGGTACGCGGACGTCGGGCTCCCAGTGCCCGTCACCATGGCCCACCTCCGCCTCCTCGAGTTCACGGAGGTCATCCACAGGCAGTCGGACACCGTCTGGGTGCTCTCTCGCCTCCTCCTGCCCCGCGCGCAGGTCATCCGTCTCGACTGCACGGGCCCGAACGCCCCGCACATATTCTACTACCTCCCCCGCACGCTCGCAAACTCGGTACCCGGCCTCCCCTCGCGCACCGGCCTGCGCGTCGTCGCCGCCGACCATTCGTTCGGGATCGAAGTCTGGAACGCGGACGGGACGCGCCGCTTCATCGTCCGCTGCGACGTGGGAGACCGGCACCTGCCCTCCGACTCCGCCCTCAGCTACCTAGAAGTGTTCGTCGACCGCGTACGCTGTCCCGACGTCGGCCTCTCCGCGCTCGAGCTCGATGGCACCGCCGGCTCGTTGTTCACGCAGCGGGCGGAGTGGGCGGCGCTTCTCCGATGCTTCCCCAAGCTCACGCGGCTGTCGATCGCGAACACGAGCGAAAACCGCGTGGACGGCCGTCTGGCGGAGTTGACGCGGGCGCTGCGCGAGCGCGGGGAGCCACTGGAGGAGTTGGTATTTGTGGGCGAGCCGCCGTTGGATCTGGAGATGTGGAAGAAGAAGATGAAGGCCGCTGGGGTCGGGAGCGTGACGCGAGTGGCCAGCACCGACGGAGGCTCGGACGACCGGTGGTAGAAGTATGTTCCCTGATATGACGGCGTAAGTCCTGGGACTAACATATGGAGTACTGGACTTTCTTTCGCTCGCTCCGGTTTCGTTGAATCCCCAGTGTTTGTTTGTTTGTTTGGACGATGGCTTTCTTTGGGCTTTCTTTCGTCATCTGGCTCCGTCATCTCTACTAAAGGTCGGCGCTTCAGCACCGTCCTGTAATAGATGCGACTGTGCCGACGGCTCTATCTCGTCTCGTTGACATTAAACGTGGGACGAAACCCCGGAGGCTGCGCACTGGCGATCTGTCTGCAGTGCGTTTGCTCAGAGACGACGCGCGGATCCGGAGTCGGGGCGCTGATTAAATGAGCGCCTGTTGAATTGAGCGCCCTACTCGTCCGAGACCGTTGCTACGCCGACAGAGACACGTGACCGTAGGTGACCGTCTGCTTCCCCCAACGCGCGGACGCCGGATATTTCCTCCGATACCCTGTCCTCCCTAGTCCCCCAGTGCCCTCGTGAATAATCCTTGGGCGTAATCAAAATATTCCTAGCCCTCGCTCAGGTGCTTCGTATGTCGCCGTTGGAACACCACCATGATGTACTATCGTTATTATCATTCTTCGTCCGGCTCGGAGCCTCCGTTGATGCCTGCCTCTCGCGCGATCATATGTGCTCCCGACCCCGACCACCTCCATCTTCCCGCCAACTCCTTCAGACACCCGTCTACGCAGTTTTCGTTCGTGCTCGCGATGGACAGTCGCTTGAGCGTGAGGAAGCGTCTGAGAAGCATCATCCGCTGTGCCTGCTCCGTGAACGTTCATCCATCCATCGACGCCCGGACCCCGCGCTCCGGGTCGCCTTCTCTCCCTGCTCAACCTCGACGACTTGAGGTCCAGCGGCGAGGGCACCGTGCTGGGAAAGAGGTCAGCACATCAGACGTGTGGTGCGTGCCTACATGACTTGTGCAAAAACTACTGCCTTGTCGTGTACTTTGAACGAAAACTCCCGCATGCAGGCGGCTGCGATTTTGACCAGAGCGGTCACGGCGCGTGCGCAGTCGCTGCGGCCGCGCCGCCCGTCTCCCCTTGTGCGGCCCACTGGCAGTGGCAACCTCCATGGCTCCGCCCACACCCTCCTTCACCCTCCTTGTAGGGTGCGTTCAGGACATTCATGTGGATTTTTTGAATCTTGAAGGGAAAAAACGCTGTGCATTGTGTGCAAAACTTCATATTTCTGCGAATGATGAATCGCGATGGTGGAGGCGGCGAGTCTATGACATCATATCATTGCCATATATAGCCAGGCGCTTGTATATTACGTAAGGTAACTTGAGGGCGATCGGAGCAGCGGAGATTGATCAGTGCAGTGGATCTGGCACCTGCGCATGCGTCTACCTGTGGCCAGGCTTGTCATCCCCATGCACTCCGAAACACAACCGGACAGCTGCGCCCCCATCGACAGAATCCCACAAGAGCTCTTCAGTTTGATATTGCGATGGACCATTCAAAGACCAGGCCTCAGGTCGTCGTTTAGCTGCCTCGTCGAGCGTCCCAACCTCGAACCCCCACCTGGCTTCCATAGTTGGCTCCCCCTGCGCCTCGTTTCCCGCCACTGGAACGGAACTATCGCCTCCGAGAAGCATCTCTGGAGCACCATCATAGCAGGTGGACCCCGTGCGCGGGAGTGGTTGATGGTGTGTCTTGACCACGCGGACGGAGTTCCCATCGATGTTATCCTCCAGCTCGATCACGGACACATAGGCAAAATATGGTCTCTTCTCATTTCAATCCTTCCCCGCGCACTCCATCTCCAGTCCCTTGCCATCAGTCCCCTGAACAAGTCAGATCGCGATCATCTCAACGACTTCTTCCTATCGACGACGTTTCCGACTTTGACGACACTCGTCTTCGCGTCGGACTCTATCGACTGGTGGTCGCAGCCCATCTTCCCGGTCACATTCGAGCAGCACAACACCCCCGCTCTATCGACGATCTCTCTCAACGCAAATTGGCAGGTGCCGTGTCCAGCGATCTTTGCGCGCCTGAAGCGCGTCTCGCTCACCCGGGACCCGTTGGAAATCTTGTCGTCACAGGTCCTTGGACTCCTCCGTGCCGCGCCGCAGCTCGAAGAGTTCCGCCTCGGCTGCGGGTACTACAAAGGATCCGACCTAGATTGGGCTCGCGGCCTGTGGTACACGAGCGTCGGACTCCCAGTGCCGGTCACCATGGCCCACCTTCGTATCCTCGAGTTCACGGAGGAGATCGACAAGCAGTCGGTCAGCGCCTGGGTGCTCGGGTGCCTCCGCCTTCCCCGCGTCGAAGTCGTCCATCTCAACTGCGAGGGATGGGAGGCCTCAGACATATTCAGCTATCTTCCCCACACGCTCGCAGACTCGATCCCCTTCCTCTCCTCTCTCGTCGAGCTGCGCGTCGTCTCCCATCTCTCTTCGTCCGGCCTCGAATACTGTACCGCGGACAGAACGCATCGCTTCATCGTCTACTGCGATGTAGAAGATTGGTACCTGTCCATCATCCCTGTCCTCGTAAACCTAGTGCGATTCGACGACCGCATACGCCGTTGCGACGGAACCTCCACTCTGGAGCTCGACGACAACACTGTCGCATTATTTACGCGGCAGGAACAGTGGGCGGCGCTTCTCCGATGCTTCCCCAAACTCACCCGGTTGTCGATCGCGGCCGCGGACGAAATCCGCTTGGAGGAGTTGGCGGAAGCGCTGCGCGAGCGCGGGGAGCCGCTGGCGGAGCTGGTTCTTGTTGGCGAGCCACTTTTGGATCTGGAGGTGTGGAGGGAGAAGATGGAGGCCGCTGGGGTCGGGGGCGTGACGCGAGTGGAAGGCATCAACGGAGGCGCGGACGACTGGTGGTAGAAGTACATTGTTACCTGATACGACAGCTGTACCACGATTACGGTAAACCCTACACTCACACCTCCAAGAACCCGACCCCCGCCCAGTACCGCAGCCACCGCTCCACGTCCGCCTCACCCAACGGCGTCATTTCCCGCAGCGTGCGCGCCGCCGCCTCCGCGCGCTCCGTCGCGAAGAGCGTCTCGCGCCCGGCCATCGTGACCTCGAAGAAGCCGACGAGCTCGTGCGCGCTCTCGTGCTTCCGACCTGGCGCGCTCGCGTCCACCTTCACCTTCTCGACCCACTCCGCGCTGGGGACGAGCGGCACTCCGAGGCGCGCGGCCATGGGCGTGAGCACGTCCGCCCACATCACCGGGTAAGGCGCGGTGACGTGGTACACGGGCGTGGTGCGCTCGGGATGCGGTGCGGTGAGGAACTCGAGGACGGACGCCGCGGCGACGTCGATCGGGAGCCACGCGACGGTCTGAGCATGGCGTCAGCTTTCTTTTCTCGTGCATAGGACGAGAGGCGGAATCACTCACGTCCTCCTTCATCGGCGCACAGCCGACGAGCTGGCTGAGGCGCGCGATCGCAGGCACCCACTCCTTCGTGCCCCATCCACCCACCGCGCGGTCTCCACTCAGCTGCCCGACGCGGGCCACTATCGTGCGCAGACCCGTCTCGGTAGCCGCGCGTCCGAGGAGCTGTTCCGTCACCCACTTGCTCTCGCCGTAGCCCAGGCCGACGGCGATTTCTGGGCCGTACGTGAGGCTCTCTTGCGCGGGAGTACCGATGGCCTGGTCTACATAAGGGGTGAGCAGGCAGCGAGACGAGGAACAAATAGGAATAGACGTACTGATTAGAGCCGAGATGGAGCTGATGAAGATGACTTTAGGTCCGCCTGGGACAGAAGACCCGAGCGCGACGTCGAGGAGGTGACGAGCGCCTGCGATAAGGGGCTCGAAGGACGGCAGAGAGACGTTGAAGTCGACGCGCCACGCTACCAAAGAGCGCATGAGCACTGTCTCAGTCAGCGAAGGGAACGCGACTCGCCGTTGTGAATTACCGAGGTCACGGAGTCCTTCACCTCCTGCAACACTTCCGCGCCCAGTCCGAGGTCACCCCGCGTCAAGTCCGCCTCGTAGAATACGATCCGGCCTTGGACCATCGCACTCTCAAGAAGCGCGGAGTCGAGTCCCCACGTCTTGAACGCATCCGTCTGCCTGCCCCTCGCTTTGTCCGCCGCGCCGCGGTTGAGCGCGTATATCTTCCGCACCTCGCTGTTCGGGTGCTTAGAAGGTCTGAGACGATATGCGACCCCAGCCGGCCCGTCGTCCCCGTGACGAGAGCCACCTCCAGCTCTCCCCCAAGAGGTGCTCCTTCGAGCGGTGTCCACTGGGCCGGGGGCCACTTCGCGCTGTACTTTGTCAGAAGTTCGCCCATCTTCCCCGTCCGGGCCGCGCGCTCTCCTGCAGGATCGCGCACTCCGTCTTCCCCTGCCGCCAAGGTCGAAACGACCTCTGCAAGAGCCGTGATGGTCGGATGAGCATACACGAGATTGGCAGGGACGACCGCGTGAGCCGCGGACGGGGTCGAGGTATGAAGCGCGTGAGTGACGGTGTTGCGGATCCAGGTCCCTGCAGGCTGCGCGAGGTGTCAGTGACGCCGGACGCACGACTAGAAAGGTACGCACCTGTCGAGTCCCTGCTGGAACAGGTCGTCATCGTTCCCAACGGCATGTCCAAGGACCTTTGCAACGACGTCACTGAGCCAGAGCCGGGCCCCGGAGGTCGTCCAGTCTTTGGGGAGCTCGATGTCTGCCTGTGAGGACTCGGCAACGCGACGGTATGCTTCTTCGATCTCGGCAGCGTAATCGTCGATGCAGATCTGGCGCCGAGGAAGGCGCTTCGAAGACAGTTGGAAAGGTTTGTCGGGGTGGGTGACGATGACGAGCTGGGCGCGACGTCGCAAGCTTAGCACTTCGTCACGGCGCTTTGAGAGACCACGCGGTACGTACCTCCTTGAACAGCCGTGAATGTGCGGGAGCGTGCTTGTTCGCGCGCTCCACAGTGTCCCAGACGGAGGCGCGGAACGCCTCGAGCGCAGAGTCGTCCGCAGGGTCAAGGCGTGCCCAGGGGCAGGTTGGATGATGATCCCGTTCTGCATGCGGCCGCGCCCAAACATCAGGCAGTGTTCCACGGCGATGTGCTGGGATATTATCGCTTCCATGGGGACCGGGTTTGTCTGGCATGAGATCAGCATCGACGATGCAAAGCTGAGATAAACAAAGCAGACCTTTTCTCCTGTAGACAACATGATCTGCTCGTCCGCGCGTCCGAAGATCGGAAGGCCCGAGGGTCCGAGGGGTGCTCTTCGAAGAGGTCGTTCGTCTTGAAAGCGCGCTTCCCGTCGACGGTGGTGTTGTACACCGAGGCCCCCCACGTGTCAGACTCCTAAATTGTTGTGTCAATACGCGTCATAATCTATTGAGAGGAATAGGTAACGCACGACGATGACGAGCTCGAACACACCCGGGGTGTCATCAACATACGCGCGGTGGTACTTGATAGGCTCCAACACGGCAAGATACTGCCAGTCTGGATTAGCAGATCCGGGGGCAGCGTCGGGGTACTGAGAGGTGCGGTAGCTCTGGGCAACACTCCCTATTTCGGTCCTAGAAGCGTCTGTGAGCCATCTGCGCGGAGAGCACGAGTAGCACGCACATGCCGTATCCCGAGATAATCTTGACGTTCTTGTGCACGAGCTCGTGTCCTACATCTTTGTTGAGCGGAGCGCCGCCATAGATCTGTTGGCAATATCAGTCAGCGCTGGCGAGCGACACCATAGATGTTACTTACCACAAAGTCAAGTTCCTGTAAAGTCGGCAGCGTCTTCGGGTCGCGGGACCACGCCTGGAATGTCGCTTCAGAAAACCGCGCGTGAATCGTGTGGACCATCTCACCTCAATAAATGCAGGCACGACAGCCAACCCTCTGCATTTCGTTTTCACGAGGGTATTCATGACACCATCTGGAGTGGGCATGATGGGCGGCGAGGTAGGGCGGAACATGACCGTCGTGAACCCCGCTCCAAGCTTCGAGAGATGTGGTCAACAAGACGCTGGCGCCAAGGATGTTGGAGACTTACCATCCACGACAAGTTCATCCATCCCATGACATCTGCAAGCAACGAGTCAGTTGATACCTACCTGGAGGATACTCGCATATACTTACGGAACATCGGAAGAGACTGGGTGCTGAATCGAATGCCACAGAAATCATACTGCTGATACCCTGTTGGGAGTCTGTAAGAAACGTCATCGATCACGATACACTGTCTCGACGTACACATAGACTGCGCCCAGAACGCCATTAGCTTCTGGGAGATGCGGATGGGCTTCGGGAAGGCGGTAGATCCTGGGACACCACAAGTCAGGTCTTGGAGGCGACAAAGAGAGACTACACGACTCACCAGATGAATGGATAATAATCGCTGTGTCTTCCATGTCGAACGGCGCCATGTCTATCTGCCCGTGCTTCTGGGCCTCCGTGCCGTACAGACGCTCGAACGTCGGCATCAGGCGAAGCTCGACCGCATGATCGTGCTCGTGTCCATGCCCGTCAACGTCCGCGTCGAGTTCCGCACTGGCCTCTGTCGCGAGGCGCTGCATTCCTGGTCCGGGCTGACGAAGAGGACGCGGGCCCCCGTCTGGCGGGCGAGGTGCGCCACGGCCGCGGGGGAGTTGCGTGCGGACACCGCGAAGGGCGTGAATCCAGCGAGTATGACTCCGAGAACCAGTGTTGCGTAGGTGATGGTGTCTATAAGTGTGCGGGGTTGGTATATGCAGTGCCTCGGAAGAGATCATGCTCACCTGAGTGCGCTAGGATGGCGATGATAGGACGCTGCTCGCGGGTGGCTGTGAAAGGGACATTGTCGACGGCGAACTTGGCTGCGCGACGGATGGCGGGGTAGACGTCCTTGTGCTTGATCTCGACGTAGTTGTCGGCTTCGTCAAGGTAGCCGAAGACAGGGTGGTCAGGGCTATGCTCGTAGTGGAAGGCAAAGAGCTCGGGGATAGCGAGCTTGGAATAGAACGGGATGGGGGTCCATGTCGTGCACTGGGCACCCTGCGGGGTTATGATGGGAGGGGCGTTGGTGATCTCTTGAGGCATGTTGAGATCTGGGAGGGCGTTGTATGCAGTGAGATTTCCGCGCATATATACTGACCATTAGCGCGGGGCGGACAACTACAACCCTCGGCGGAGAGCCCGATGCCGTGTTAGTGATCATGCGTATGTGTAGCCCGACAGAAGCCACCAAGTGGATTGCCATGGACGGAGATGTTCGGGCACGATGTCGAGCTGGAGCACGAGGGAGGGGTGGTGTTGAAATTTGAGGGGATAAATAAAGGTTCACGGTAGTAATGCGCGTTTTGCGGCAGAATACGGCAAGACTGGGACAAGAGAAGCGCGTCGGGAACTAACGCGCTGCAGTGAAGCCGGGCAGTCGACAGTACCTTCTCCGTTCAAAGCGCACAGGCTACGCAAGCAACCGAGGTGGAGGCGAGAAGCAGGGAAGTGGGCAACAAGGTGGTGACGGTACACAGGAGAGAGAGAGATGACGAGGTCAAGCCGGGCCCGTGACCGTGTGAATGGCGCCCATGCGGCGCTCTTCGCTGTCGCGACTCGCGCTTTGGACTCGACTTCCATCCACCTTCAAGCGCGTTACTTGGGCTTCATGTCATCGGGGCACGTCAGCACAGTGTGGGTTCGTGCGATGAGCAGCCGACCACCACTCCGAGAACCGACGCCATCGGAGGTCGAGCGAGAGCCCTTATGCACTCGCCCACGCGTGCGTTCAACGTGCTTTGGTGAGCTGCTGCATCCTTATGTGCCTCTTTCTCTTCAATCCAATCGGTTTTAATCCTGTGGCGTGTAGAAAGAGCCCCACGGTGCATGCATGGCGGTCCCGGGCAATTGCGCACGGGAAGCGAACAGAGCAGTAACTTTGCCGCTTTGCTCGACGTTGGCCGAGACTGGACCTTTCTCTCTCGCACCCGCCTCGTCCGCTGTCACGTCCTGCGCCTCTCCCACCGCGCCTTGCCAGACACGGAACTGCCGCTGCTCTAGTCGGCCTCCGACGCCGCCCCAGCCAGCGACGCCGCCATAGTGCCTCCCGACATGGCAGCCAACGTCCATGTCTTCATTCCCTCAACTCAGCCCGCCCCGCCCCGGCCACGGCCTTTCGTCCGTCCACATCCCCCGACCCTCCAGACCCCGCCTATCTTCTGCTCCTTCGCCTGACTTCGTACGCGGCGACGTCAAGATTGAAGATGGCGGAGCTTTCGACCGTCGGAGGCACGTACGGCGCCCTCTTCCTCGGTCTCCTGATTTCCGCAGTGTACGTCCATCATATCCCTCATCCCGCACCGACCTCAACCCAGTCTGCAGTCTCTTTGGGGTCACCATCCTCCAATCCTTCGTATACTTTGTCCAGTTCCCGAAGGACAAGGTGTCCAGGAAGTGCTCCGTTCTGTGGCTTTGGTGAGTGCATACACGCACCAGCGGCCCTTCGCGGTTGGGCTGAGTTGCGCGCAGCATTCTGGATGCAGTCCACCTCGCCCTCGCCTCTCACGCCGTGTATTTCTACGTGATCGTCAACTATAACACTCCCTACACTCCTTTACCCATCACTCTCAGCCTCAAGGTTCGAGGCGATCGTTGTCTTTGATTCATAATTTAGCTGACGCCATCTTCCGATCCCAGTTTCGTACTATTGTCGACGTGAGTTTAATGCGCGCGATCTCGTAGATTATCCCTTCACGCATGCGTATACAGGGACTCGTCGTCGTCTCCGTTCACACGTGCGTACCATACATCTCCCTAATGAAGGACTGAGAACTGACGTCACCTTTTCAGTCTTTATACCTTCTGGTTATGGCGCCGTACGTGATATTTCATATTCAGTATGCGCGCATTTCTCACTCTTCCAAAGTCCGCGCCATCAACGATAAGCTTGAACCATTTGGAAAGGAAGACCGACGGTGGACTTCCCAGAAGATGTCTTTCGGAGTGAGCGTATCGCAGTGGCTGATGAAGCGAATCGTTCCGTGGATCATCGTACGTTCCTTCCTATCTTCTATGCTTCTTCTCTGACGATCCTGGGTTAGAGCACTCTTGTCGTCATCGGATACGGTGAGTAGCCTATCGTCCCTGCGAGATGTAACGGTGCACTGACACGTTGCCGAAACCCAGGGACTGCATTAGGTGAGTGAAGCTTCTCCCGATGTCGACCTTCGCGTTGACCGTCTCTTCGAAGTCATGTGCTATGAGACGTATGTTCTGTCACGTTACCAGTGGTCGCCGGATTTTGACCTTTCTCAGATTTCGTCTTGATACATTTCAGCGTCTGTCGCAAGCACCGGTTCGTAGATGCGTCGTGAGGTTATCTACCGTCTCTGACGCTGTTCGTAGTGGGCGACTTACATCCCGTACTGTTTCTCGACTGTCGTTGACGTGCTCATCGCCGGATCCTTGTGCTACTTTCTCCATCGTTGTAAGACGGATATTGGCGGGTAAGCGTAGTATCATGTCTCAGCTCAAGGAGTCCAGCTGATTCGTGTTTAGTATGAACGGCCCTATTCGAAATCTCATGGTATACACCCTCAATACAGGCATATTCACTTGGTTAGTCTATTCTCTCTCTAGCGAACGCATCTGATCTTATCATTTTCCTTCAAAGTGTCTGTTCTTTGTTCGCGGTATACACGGTACGTGTATCAGTTTAGGTGGCGACCAGTTCATCTTAGAGATCATGTTAGATGCTCGCAGCGTCTGATACTCTGATTCCCATAGCCGCCGAGCTCGTTGTTATCAAATGTGAGTTGCATGAGTTTGCACCCCTGCCAGAATACAAGTCCCTTACGCTTCTAAAAGTGTACATCAACTCTTATTTGGCTCTGTGAGTCTTACTTTCCGTCACTTTTACCGACGCTGACACGCACACAGGCTCAATGCTCGTTCAAGCTCGGACGACGGGGACAGCCGTGGGCGGAATGGCGCACCATATGCATCACGCCATTCCTCGTTCACCCCTCATGATGTGGTGCCCGCGGAGCTAGAACACAAACACTTGTCTCTCCCGTCCTTCGCCCCATGCTCGTCGCCGTCGGCATCATCGGTTTACCTCGCGCAGCATATTTTCGACCCACGCGATGTTCCGCTCGACCTCCCTCGAGCCGATCACGTTCGCGACATGTCGTCCAGCATGAGCGTAGTGTACGAAGTACCGACTCCACCCTCAACAGCGCCTCGCAAATCTCCCACAGAGCGTCTCACGATATCCCCACGGCTCCTTGACCGCGAACGTACTCCCTCACCACCATGCGGAAGCGTCGACGTCTTCACAGTCACCGCGCCGTCCTCCATGTCGCACTACTCCGGGACCCCTCCAGACCAGCCCTCGCCCTTGACGCTCGTCAACCCCGTCGAAGACGAAGAAGTCATACGCACCGGACCCAACATCCATTCAAGCTCCGCACTCTCCTTGCTTCAGTCCTTCTCGCGTGCGCGAGTCCGCATGGCGAGCCCCATACCCCCCGTCATCTCCGCACCCACCTCTCCGCGGCACCTCCCTCCGCCTCCATCTCTGCAGGCGCTCTTCCAGCCCCCGCGCCCCTCCTTCCCTCCTTCCCCGCCCCCGACGACCACCCACGGGCGGTACCCCACCGTGCCCCCATCCGCCCCGACTTCCGCCGCCGCCGCCGCCGCCGCCGCCACCGCGCGCTTCCCCTCCGCCGATTCCCGCGACGCAACCCCGATCGAGTACCCGTCCACGTCCTACCGGACCACTTCTCCGCCGGACCGCATCAACTCGCCCCTCCGCTTCGCGCGTGACGCCGATTTCGACGACCCCCTCGCGGACGGATGTGTCCGTGGAGGGAGATCGGGGTCGCACTCTCCTGGGGGACGCCGCCCGGTGGGGGAGCTGGAGAACGACCGGTACACGCGCATGGTGCTCATGAGCCGGGGCGCCGCGCAGGCGGGGCGGGGCGGGGCGTCCGCGCGTGCTGGTTGGGTGTGAAGCTGGTAGCGGAGGGTTGTCGTCGTCGTCATGGTTGTGACCGTACTCGTACTGCATTTTAACTGCCCCCTTGCTCGTTCCGCTCGCTTTCTGTGCTCGTTTGTTGTCCATACTCGCTCGTACTGATGTCCCCGCCCCCGATTTACCCGTACTTGGCGGCAACACACACGCTCGTTGCCTTCGCTGCTCGTCTCCTCCTTTTCGTCTCTTTCGCTCGCTCACCCTCACTGTTACCCTAGTTTGAGCTTTGATCCCCGCACACCCCTTTCCACATCGTGCGGGCCTTCTCGTCTGAGTGTACCCAATTAATGTAACCAATCAATGTCTAATGAGTACTTGCCCTTTCGCGCAGTCGCGATTGTGGACCCAAGTCGCCGATTGCGCCGGCGGCTGCGTTTCGGACATTTCCCCGTTGGACGAAACTCAGAGGCACAGAGGGGCTCTCGTGATCGGTGGCCTCACTCGAGCGCGGTGCTTGCGGCTGCCATCGAGGTTTCAGAGTGCGATGACGTCAGAGGAGCGCAGGACGTTCGCACGGTTTTCAGTGTGCGCTTGTTGGATTGAGCGCATTCGCGGCCTGCTCTCTTCCCCTCCTCCTCCTCCTCCTCCTCCTCCTCCACGACAGCGAAGTTCTCTAAATGTACGCGCCATTGTGCTCAACGCGCCGCACACCAGTTGATGTCGCCGTGCTTGGCTGCGCCGATCCAGCACCAGCTCATGCCTCCTGAGCGTCGAACTGCATCAAGCATGTTCCGCCTGCACGGAGCTTTTGAAGCAGGCTCACCCAATCGATCAGCATCCCCGAAAACCGACGCGTACATCTTCCGGCGAGTTTGCGCAATCGAACTCATGCTACGTTGGCCTCGCTCCCATTGCCTCCGTTCATCACACCGACGCTCTTCACCTGGTCAATTCCCGGCCACACCTCCATATTTGCGATGGCTCCAAGTGATATCAACGCCGCTTCCACCGTCTCCATTGATGTGCCAGTATAGTGCGTATTCCTCGCAATTGCCCAGCGTGGAGATGTTACGAAACCGTTGAAAGCTTTGGGCCTTTGTTCATCGCGGTGATGATCGATATCTTCTTCTACGGCATCATCGTCACCCAGTCATTCACGTACTTCACCACCTTCCACCGGTATGTGTGTATCCACACGCGTTTCAGGTTGACCATGCACACACAACTCTAGAGACCCGAAGTGGATGAAGATCCTCGTCACCCTCGTCCTGATCCTCGACACGCTCAACTCTTGCTTCGACGTCGCCGTCGTGTATGTGCCCCTCGTTCTAAAATTCGGCAACATATCGGCTCTTCTGGTCACTGGATGGAGTGCGTCGTAACTGGTCACTGAGAGTAACCGCTCACACTCGCCCAGCATGCCATATGAACCCCACGGTGACGGGCATCGTCGCCTCCCTCGTTCAAGGCTTCTACGCATGGCGTGTCCACGTCATCGCCCAAAATCGTTGGATAGTCGGCACCATCTGTACGCTCTCCTTCGTTCAGCTCCGTGCGTACTCGCCCTCTCGTCCTCCGGCGGCCAGCGCTGACCCGCGCACCGTCACCGCAGTGGGCAGCATCGGGACGACCGTCGCGGCCACACGCGTGCCGTACATTCCCGACTTCCCAAAGCTCCAGTCGATCGTCATCGTCTGGCTCACCTCGGCGGTCATGGCGGACTTGCTGATCACCTCCACCCTCGTCCACTACCTCCGGAGCCGCAGGACGGGCATGGAGTTCACGGACACGACCATCAACAAGATCACCCGCCGTGCGTCCTCTCCCGTCCCCTCTCTCTTCCTCTCACGCTGAGCCCCCGCCCCCGTCTGTTCGTCGAAAACAGTGACGATCGAAACCGGGCTGCTCACGGCCGTGTGGGCGGTGACGGACCTGCTCATCTACCTTACCGTCCTGGAGTCGGTCCACCTCGTCTTCAACTTCACGCTCTCGAAGCTCTACACCTTCTCCCTCCTCACCTCGCTCATCGTTCGGCACCCAATCCCGGACGAGGCCTCGCCCGAGGAGACGCGCGTGCACCAGATGCCGCCGAGCAACCGCGTGCGTGTCTCCCCTTTCGCCCCCGCGGGGATGGCACGTACGCCGACGCTAACGCCGGAGCGCAGAACTCGCAGTTGCCGCTGCAGGCCTACGTCCCAGACGGCGGGGGCACGAGCTTGAGAAGGCGGAGGGCCCCGTGCGCTTCGTCGACGAGAAGGGGAAGTCGCGCCCGGCGTCGAGCGCGACGTGGGCCACCGCCGTGGACGAGGAGCGAAAGTCGCGCCCTCTGTCGAACGCCACGACCGTGACGATTGTGGAGGAGAGAAGGAGGTCGCGCCCGCTGTCGAACGCGACGTCGTCCACGGCCGTCTGACACACCCTGTGTGTCGAGAAGGAGCGTTTGGCGCGGTATGCTGTTTTGTACTATGGTTCTCCGCTGTATACTATTTTCGTCCCGCGTACTGTCAGTGGTGGCCGATTCGGGTTTTGATTGCAAGTTGGACTTAAGAGGCTCTCGTGCGGCATCTTCCCACATGATCATCCCTTCGACGGGCTCTTCATGAGAACAAAGAGGAGATCACATTTCCGCCGAGTGCAGCAGGAAATGTTTCCTCCGATACCTCGTGGATAATCCTCCGGCGTAGATCAGCTATCTCTAGAGACTCTCCCTATTCTTCGTATGTCGCCATGGTTAGAAACATACCATTACTGTCTATTCGTGTCCTTCTTCGTCTCCTCCTTCTTCGTCTCCTCCTTCCTCATCCTCATCCTCCTCGTCCTCTTCTTCGTCCGATCCTCCTTCGATGCCCGCTACTAGCGTCACGCTCCCGACACCGGCCGCCTTCATCTTCTCCCTCCACATCTCAATGTCAAACGGTGGCTCGCCAACGAACACCAGCTCCTCCAGCGGTATCCCGCGCTCACGCAGCGCTTCCGTCAACTCCACCGGATACTTCAGGTCTGCGCGCATGTCGTCCGTGCTCGCGATCGACAGCCGCGTGAGCTTGGGGAAGCACCGGAGAAGCGCCGCCCACTGCGCCCGCTCCGTGAACAACGAGGCGCCGCCGAGCTCGAGAGTGGAGGGACCGTCGGGAGAGTGTATGCGGTCGACGAACCGCTCGAGGCCATCGAGCACGGAGGAGACCTCGGTGTCATAAGAGTCGCACAGGTCCGTCATGTTGCAGCGGACGATGAAGCGGTGCGCCCTGTCCGCGGTCCAGCCTTCGATGCCGAACGAGTAGTCGGCGGCGACGACGCGCAGCCCGACGAGCGAGCGGAGGGCGGGGAGCGAGTCTGCGAGCGTGTGGGGAAGATGGCCGAATATGTCCGGAGCCTCGCTGCCGCTGCAGACGACGCGGACGAGTTGGGCGCGGGGCAGGCGGAGGCGCTGCAGCACCCAGGCGGTGTCCGACGCGCGGTAGATCTCCTCCGTGAACTCGAGGATGCGGAGGTGGGCCATGGTGACCGGCTCCGTGAGCCCGACGTGCGCGAACCACATGTCGTTCGACCAATATAGGTGGCCTTCTTGCTGGTATCCGCAGCCGAGGCGGAACTCTTCCAGTTGCGGCGCGGTGCGGAGGAGCCCCAGGACCTCCGTCGGCGTGATCTTCAACAGGGTGGTGAGCGAGACGCACTTGAGGCGCGCAAAGATCGCTGGACGCGGCACTTGCCAGCGCGCGTTGACTGAGATCGTCGTGAGAGCGGGGGCGTTGCGCTGCTCGAATGTGAATGGCAAGAGGGTGTTCCGGCGCGTCTCCCGGTTGGAAACGTCCGACTCAAGGACGAGTGTCGTCAAGGCGGGGAACGTCGTCGATGTGAAGAACTCGTTGAGAGGATCGCGGTCTTCCCGGTTGAGGGGAATAACTGCGAGGGACCGGAGATGGAGTGCGTGTGGAAGTATTTCAACGAGAAAAGACCTTGTGTCTTCGTGCTCGAGCCACATATCGAGCGGGAGGATGACATCGATGGGAACTCCGTCCGAGCGGACGAGACAGAGCATCAACCACTCCCGCGCATGGGGCCCGCTTGCTAGGATGGTGCTCCAGAAATGCTTCTCGGAGACGATGGTTTCGTTCCAGCGGCGGGATACGAGGCGTAGGGGGAACCAACTGTGGAAGCCAGGGTTGGACTCATACTCGGCTAGGTGGGTAAATGACGACTTGAGGCCTGGCCTCTGAATGATCCATCGCAATAGCAAACGGAAGAGCTCTTGTGGTATTTTGTCCATGGGGGCACGATTGTCCAGTTGTGTTTCGGAGTGGATGGGGATGGTGAAGACAGGAAAACATGCTCAGGCGCCGGACTCGATCTCCAAGGCGCCTATCTGTGCTCGCGCCGTCTTCCGTCGTCTTACAATACCATCCATCCATTTCTCGCGCCCACCCACTGCACCTTTTTCGCTCCCGTCACTGTTGTCCTTACATCGCTCCCTATACAAGTTTTTCTCGCACTTGCTACCAGCTATCGCCAGGCAGAAATTGGCTGCGATCAGACAGAAATTTCGCTTAAATTGCCGCTGAGGGCCCTATTAATTACCTTGAATTGTTTCAGGTGATCGTCACGGCACCGCCCGACCCACCAGGACACCCCCAAGTGAATATTTCGAAATTGTGGCCACTGTCTCTCCCCAGATCGCCCACGTGAATGTCTCTTCCCGTCCGTGCTCTACCTCTCTTCTCCTGTGTTCGCCCTCTCTGCGGCCTCTCCATCGGAGTCGTCCACGTGCACTTTACTGCAAGATAAGGTGGGAAGACGCGAAGCCGAGAAGCTTGTGGAGTCACATGGGAACGACGTCGTCCAAGTGCAGGCCGACTCTCACGTCCGAGCTTCGCGACGGTACACCCACGACGCCCACAACACACTCAAGACCCGGATGCGAGTCTCCAGGGAGCACCGGCCCGGCTTGCGGGGTGCGCATGGGATGCGCGTTGCGCAATTGAGCACCGTGTCAGGTGAGTGTTAGTCGGGTGATTCCTTTCGCGTGTACCGTGTAGTCCTGGTACGCAAGTCCTTGTCGCTTCAAGAGGGGACGTGCAGTCGATCGCTCAAAGCGCAGGCGCGCGAGCCAGGCGGAGACATGCACGGGGCACGCAGTCATACCGTCCGGTCGCCCCTCGGTACGTATTCTGGTTCTATATATGGTACACGAGAGGGGCGGGACGCGACGCGCTCGGTGTGTGCTTTGGGCGACAAAACTGACCTGTCTCCGTAGGTTTCTGATACGTGTTGGCGGTGCTGCCATCTACACGCGAGGCATCTGGTACGGCCGACAATGACAGCCAGGCTGTGGGCACAAACTCGTTTTGGTGAGCATGTGTCGGAAACTGCGAGGATGCATTAAACTGACCATTTTCTGCCTTCCTGGAGAGCCTCAGGACGCTGCCGCGGCGCGCGACAGACCTGTTTGCAGTCCGCGTCCCCATGCGTGAGACAGCCAAGTCACTGGCGGATAGGGACGTGGAAGCAGTGTGGCAGTCAATCCCTCGAAGCGCGGACACACCGGTCAGGCGGGCACGCCGTCCGGTTGGTCCCTGGTACGAGCACTGTTACACGGTCGTGCTGAGATGCGAGAGGAGCGGGATGGGACACACCCCCGGGTTGAACTTGCGCAGGACTAGGCCGAGCTTTTTCCACAGGTTCTGGCGCATTTTGGCGGCGCGTCTCGGCGTGCATATACTCGTCGAGGTGAGGAGTCTGTGCGACGCTGCGCGCGATGATAGACTGACCTGTTCGCACGCAGGGCGATGGTACGCTGGCGGTGTGCGCGGGCGGGTGATTGGCAAAACTCGCCGCCTTCGGAAGCCGGCAGGCGTTGGCGATCAGTGGGAGAGGGGAGAAGGCGGAGGACGGTGGGCGCAGAGATGTGGGCACGGTTTAACCGTATCCAGCCATCGGAGTCGAGTCTGCATCCCAGCCGTACGGCAGCAGAGCCGAACCCGATATTGGAGTTCCAGTTCGGTCAACCACAACTACACGGTGACTCTGAAAGAAGTGCGAGCACACGAAATGAATGCACTCTATCCAGCAGCAGAACATCCATTATTTGAGATGGCAAGACGATAAGCTCCCCTGATAGAAGAATTTATTGGCAGTGGCTATAGTCTATTGTTGCACCTAGAGACCGAGCTCGTCCGGGTAGGGGAGAGACGCGATGTCGCCGACAGCTACGAACGTCGGCTTGCTCTTGAGTAGCACAGAGGCGGCCCGCGAGACATCATGCATGGCGTGCGCATGAGTGACAGGGAGGTATAGCGGGGAAAACAGAAAACGAGACGTACCTGCGAATACCCAGACGCGGTGGCCATGTCGGAGCCCGCAACAGCCTCAGCAACAGTCGCAGGGGGACCAAAGAGGATCTACACCAACAGCCTACTCAGCACACAGACGTCGACAGACGGAAATAGACCACGTACCTGGTAGTCGAACGAGCTCGCCGCCGCATTGAAGTTGGCGTTCACCACCGCATTCTGGAGCTCCTCTGCGCTGAGGCAGCCCGCGGCCTTGAGCGCCGCGACGGCGGCCGAGCCCGCGGCCGAGACTTCCGCGGCCGTCGCGCCCTGCACGAGCACGCAAAAGAGCGTCGCGTCCGTACTATACGGGAGGAGGATGATCCGGACGGATGCCGTCGGGGTCGCCGCCGCCTCGAGCGGCGACGTTCCCTTCGTCCACTTCACCGCCGGGCTCGGGTCGAGGTGCGCGGGGAGCACGGCGAGCCCCGGCGCGGCCGCGCCCTGCTCCCCGAAGCCGATGAACACCGTCTGCGGCCCGTCGGCCGCGAAGCGGGACTCCCCGCCAAAGTCCTTCGAGGCGCCCGCAGACGAGGTCGCAGAAGAGGGGGAGAGCTTCCCGAGGGACTTGTTGAGGAGCTGCTCGAGGGGACCGGCGTCGATGCCAGAGCCGACGACGGCGACGTCGCCAGCGGTGAACGCGGAGGCAGCGAACGCCTGGACGTCCTCGGCGGTAACATGGGTGTGCGCGGGGCCGAAGAGCGAGTTTCCGAGGCCGGCGCGGAAGGCGAGCGAGACGGCAGTCTCGGCCTCGCACGTGGGCGTGACCCACTCGGAGAGCTCGTAGCCGGTGGGCTTGGGCGAGGCGAGGGGGGATGCGGGGACGTCAACCAAAACCGCCCTGGAGGAGGGAGGATGAGGGCGGCGGTTGTTACAGACGCACGACGCATGACATGGTACGGGCTACTCACTCCAAAAAGTCGGCCGTGACGGAGGGGTGCTCCCTCGAGAGGCTTGATGAGAGGACGGCACCGCAGAGCGAGTCGGCCTCACGGATGGCGCCCGGCGTCGAACGCTTGTCGGTGCTCTGCGCATATATACAGTGAGCAGCGGGCAGAAGTAAAACGCAGTGGGAGCCGCACCTTGAACGCGTAGTCTTTCAAGACGTGCGCCAGGCCGGGCTTGGTCTCGTACCGGCTGCCGGCCTTGACGAGGAGGGTGACGGACGAGGCGGGCTCGGCCTCGAGCTCCCGGTACCGGCGTCCGACCTGGCGCTGCGTGAGATCGTGGATCTCGACCATCACGTTCGCCGGCGGGTAGCGGACCGCGATTGGCACTGAGGCACGGCATCGGGTCAGATCGCGGACAGACGGAAGCGGGGAGAGAGACCTTTGTCAACTCCGTAGAAGCGGGCGTGCGGGAATAGCTGTGCACATCGAGCGTCCTGCGGGACGAGTGTGAGCTCTGGGAGCGGAGGCATGGGCTGAGGACGAACCATTGGCCGATGCCAGTGTCGAGATCGAGGACGCGGAGCTGCGCGCCAGGGGCAAAGGCGAGGATCTGTTTCATCAGCTGGACAACGGGGCCGCCGACGAGCCTGCGGACGGGCTCGTGGAGCCCTTCTTGTCGCTGGGAAGAAGTGGGTGAGTATGCGGGGCACGGGTTCGCGACCGGTGCGGGGGGAAGCGGGGACCGACAGGCGGGCGCACCTGCTGCTCGTCCGCATCCACGGGAAACGGATACGGACAGTTGCCATGAGAATGGAAAGGCCTTTCCCCCCGCTCGGGGAAGTAGTCGGGAATCTGGTTAGCGGGGGCCTCGACGACGTTGGTTTCATCGATGCACACGTCATCTTCGTCGTGCTCTCTCAATAGTTCCGGCTGCAGCGATCCCACTTGTATAAGACTCCTATGTCAGTAGATAGACGTGTTCATACAGGGAATTCGGAATTCACCTCCGAAAATGTCGATGTCGATACGCGGGTGCTTCTCGAGAAGAGTCGCTTGCACACCCGCAGAGTCTGTAGGAACCTGCATGTTCTAATAAATCGAGTCAGAGAGGTACGGCCGAAAGATGTTAACACATAGACGTACAAAAAAGAGCCTATAGATATCTTGATCCGTTGCCACCGCCATGGAGGCGCCGGAATACTGAACACGAGAACCATATCGTCAGTGTTGAGCCGGTCGACAGCATCAGAGGAGTATTTACTTCAAGGATGTAGTCCAGGACTTCGTTCACCGGGTCCCAAGCCTAAGAAGCGCGGTGAGGACGCTTCCGCACGAGAGTGAAGGGCACGTACTCGGTGGCCGTATCCGAGAGAGACTCGGGTTCGATGTCGTATGTCAGGTCTTCGACGAGTATCTTCGGCGTGTCATATTGGTCGTGGTCTGGCGGCGGCAGCTGGTCATATCCCGCGGCGGCCTTCATCGGACGAGGAGGGAAGACCGTCACGCGCCGTTTCATCTTGTAGTACCGGAAGAAGATGCACTGGTCTCCTTCAATCTCTCGGCTATTGCTGGCGAGAGACGGAGGAGACTCAGGAGAGTCTGGAGAGTCTGCCCCAGAGAGGAAGGCGAATCGGGCCCCGGCGCTGTTGCGCTCCTGGTTCACTGGACCAACGCCGTGCCAGCAGTTCGGCGCCGTGCTGTTCGCGACGTCGACCGAGAGACCCACGGATCCCACCGAGGCGAAGTTCGCCTGTATCGACCCGCTCCGGGTCTTGTACTGCCCGTGGAAGGCGCTTACAGACCATTCGGCCGTCTTCGTTGTCCCGTAAACGAAGCAAAGGTCCTCGTCGCGAAGGTCGAGTCCCCACTGGCGTGCGAAGGCCATCCAACTGTCGAAGTTCTCCCGCATGTACTCCCGAAAGTGGTTGTGTGACTGTATTTCGCGTGAGTGCGCGAGGGGCCCACTGATGAGCACCGCGCCTGCGTTGGACACGCATTGGAAGTCCACGCTGAGACCTCCACTTGCGGCGCTGAGGGCGAAGGTATCAGTGATGGCGCCGGAATGGGGAGTAGATACATACAGGTCTGCGCTGACGGCGCCTGAGATCCTAGTGTTGTAGAGAGTACGGCTGCACAGCACGCGCTGACGAAGCCGCTGCTCGGGGCCGCTCTCAAACAGGTTGGGTGGGTTGAACGGGATGAAGTGGTCGGGGACGGCTTCGAGGACCTGCCTGGTGAGTTCTGTGCAGCGCGCGTTGAACAGTTGCCGGAGGCCACCGCCGTCCATCCAGGCGACATCGCATATCTGCACCGGGAGCGCGCTGGGAGAGGGCTCTGGGAGCCAGAGAGGATAACCGTACCCATGGGAAAACATCTGCTGTGCGTAGACGTCCCAGGGGTGGGGAGAGGATTGGGTGCGTACGGACATGAGGGGGAGCTTGATGTGGACAGTGCATTCACAGCAGGGGCTTATATACCGCTTCGGATTGTATGAGAAAGAAGGCAATTAGCTTCCTGAAAACTTCATCCATCTGAGGGCTTATAAGGAGACCCAAGGTGTACTCATGAGGACTTGAACGATATGATCCGGATGGCAAAATCGAATGGGGGTTCAACTTCGAGTGACTATATCAATAAATCCACAGTGTATAAATCACCAGTGAAGGGACGCACCGCGCTTCACAGTACTGGTCGGAATGCACGCGATGGCGCGCCGATTGCAAGTTGCTGGATGACCGAAGGTCGCACGTTGTACCTACACTCGCACTGCATTACAGCACGCCCGACACGTATACCCAGTGCGCCTGCCTCCTTCAAGAAGCGCAGCTCCGTCCGCCAGTTTAACGCCGAGAGATAACAGAAATCGTGGGAGCGGTGAGCGACCGGGTGTTCGGGGTCCTCTGTTACGGCTCCGGAGATATCCGGTCCGGGGAGCGACGGCAGCGAACGTCCGAAATGACTAGGCACGCTCGTCTGAATCCGTTTTCTTCTCTCCAAGTCCACCATGCTCTCCGACACAGAATACAGCAGCACGATACCCCCGACATGCTCAAGAACATCGAAGACTTCGTGGCGCGATCTCGACCCTCGAGCTCGATGGCTCCAGCTTCTTGTTCCTCGAACGTCCGCATCACTAGACAACGCTCCTCCGGCTCTTCCCGCGTCTTGCGCGCATATCGCTCGACGGTGCGCACCAGCCTGGGAGAAGCATTTGGATGCTTGGACGGGAGCGCTCCGCGGGCGCGAGGATGTCGCTGGAGGAGGCATGGTGCATTGGGGTGCCGCCGGTAGCCGCCGAGTGGATCGAGAAGATGAAAGCCACCGGGGTGAAAACCGTGACGTGAATCACGGTCATCGACGAGAGCGATGGACGATGGATGAAGGTGCGCGTTTTCCTGTCACCTTGGCCCGCCGGCTAGAGCTGACGAGGATCGACAGCCTCGGTAGCGTAACATCGCACGTCGTGCCTGGACCGCGACTGCTGTTCATACGCTTCACAGGGCGAGGATTCCTGCATCCGCCTCGCATCCGCCTTTCGTCTCGAATTTGCTCTCTCCTCAACCTTCGTTGCCCGCCTCTCTCATTTCCATCGCACGATCGTCGACCCGCGACATCCGCCCTTTCCATGTTCATGACATCGGGCACGGCTTCCGAGATCTCTCCATCTTCCCGACAAGCCGACCTACTCTGGGCCTCCACACAGTCACCGCCGTGCCTCTCCTTAAATTCGGCTTCGCTCCCTCCGACGGGACGACCTGGACGTCTCTCTCTGGGCTTGCTCCTACCAAGCTATTCCTCGCGCGGCCCCCGCTTCGCGCAGTCCGGTCGCGAAGGAGCACGATCCGCACGCGCTCATCGCGCCGGAAGACACGCCGCGCGCGCCCGGACGAAGACGCACCGGGTGCGGCCTGGGAGCGCGATTAACACGGCGTTCTGAGGTGGAGGAGCGGCAGTCGGCCGGCCGGGGATTGCGTGGCGCGCCCGTGCGCATCCACTCCCACGGCGACGGCGACGTGGTCTGGCGCCGCCACCCGTCCCCACGTCCTTCAAAGACCTGCCCGGCGCGCGCAAGGCACAAGAAGGGACAGTGCGGTCGCAGACACGAGTCGACACTGTTGAGCGCGATCACTCGCGGACGAGATCGGAGAAAAGCAGCGTCGGGCGATGGCAGCGGAGGCTTCAAGCGGGCGTGTCTCACTGTCGTACGTTAGCAAGTTGATGAAATGACGAGGATATGGAGAGAGGAGATGGAAGCAGCCGGAGCCAAGTATTGATGGGAACACAAGACATCGACTGAGACGAGCGGCGAAGATGAAGGTACTTGTCTTGTTCGATCATGATCTTATCTCGCCAAACTAGCGCTGAAGGGCTCTACAGTGATGTTGCGCGACGCGCAAAACCCGCCACTGCGCTGGTCTTCTTTGTCGCTGCGGTTTCAAGTCCTTTGTGTCTACCCGGCGACACCGTTCCTACCCTCAAAATTCCAGTCGCTTCTCATCTTTGTCGCTCGCCACTGCTCACCTCTTTCCGCACCATCTCATGACTATCGACTCGGCATACTACTCGTGCCACTCACCTGTCGACAACGCCCACCCCTTCCACAAGCTCCCGCAGGAGATCTTCGTCCACATCTTGCTCTACGCCGCTCGTTCCTCTGATTACGGTAGCCTCAAGTGGTCGATTTATGGCCGGTGGGAAACTTCCAAGTGGCTCCCTCTCCGCGCCGTCTGCCACCACTGGGACGACACCCTCGTCTCCGAGAAGAGCCTATGGAACAATATCATCGTATCCGGACCTAATGCACGCCAGTGGCTGTCATTCAGCCTCGAACACTCTGCGGGCGTTCCCTTCGAGGTCGCTTTCAACAAGTCCAGTCCGAACCTCGACTGCTTGCTCAACATGATCCTTCCGCACGCGATGTTCCTCCGCTCCATCACCATCACACTCTACTACAGTTCCGATTTCTATTCTCTAGAGTCGTTCTTACGCTCTGTCAAGCTTCCCCGGCTGACCGCGCTCGACATATCCGAGGCCCATGGAGAAGTGCCCGATACCGTGTTGTCGCTCAGCAGGACCCGCGTTCCCGCCCTCGACACGCTCGCCCTCAACGCGAACTGGATGATCCCGGGACCGGACATCATCGCGCAGTTGCGAGAAGTGAGGTTCACGCGCAAGCTCAAGTTCACCGTGTGGCATCTCCTTCGGTTCCTCCGCTCAACCACCTGCTCGAATGCTTCATCATGGAGTCCGGCATCCGATTCGGTGACGAAGAATGGGAAGTCGAGGGGGAGATACCACACGACAGCTGGAGCCTCTACCTGCCTTGTCTTCACCAGCTCAAGCTTTCAGGCGGGATCGAAACGCCCGCTCCGCTGGAAATCCTTCTCCAGTGCATCCGCCTCCCCGTGCCCGAACCGTCCACATCAAGTACACGGGACTCAGCTACGACGACCTTTACGTATTCACCGAAGACAGCTACGCTGCATCTTCCCTTCCTCGGCTCCGTCACCACGCTCTCCCTCGCCCTCGACGAGGGCGGGTGCAACCTCGTCGGACACACCCCCGACGGGCGCTCCTTCTCCATCGGCCTCACCTACTGGTCGTCCAGCTTCGACCTCGCCGTCGCGCTCCCCGCTGTCCTGGACACCCTCGCGGGCTGCCCCGAGGTGACCACCGTGGACGCCCTCGGGTTCGGCTTCACGCGCTTCGACGCGGCGGCGTGGGCGGCGCTCTTCGGGCGGTTCCCGCGGCTCGCGCGGGTGTCGCTCGCGCACATGTTTCCCAAGCAGCGGGGAGGGTACGGCTACCGGAAGGGGTACGAACCGCACTCGCTCGAGGCGCTGGAGGGGCTGCTGCGCGGACGCGCGGAGGAGGGCGCGCCGCTGGAGGAGCTCACGCTGCGTGCGGTGTGGGAGCATTGTCCGAACTTCATCGCGGAGTGGAGAGGCCGGTTTGAGAAGGCTGGGGTGGGGAGGGCGGTGGTGGTCACGAAGGGAATTTTCGCGCGGGATAGTGAGAGAGGGAAGAGGCGAGGACGGGTTTGTGTCATTCATCTAGTTTCTCTTTACAGAAACTGTGAGCCGTGGATGGAAGACGACAGATGGTTGAGCGCCGATTATTCGCGATAAGGATCGAATCTGGACGCGGTCATCTGATCGTCCACTCCTCCTGTTTGAGACAGTGGGCCATCCACTCCGACGCGCGAGGTCCGCGTGCAATGATTTTGCTCCATAAGTCCCCGTCATCCACAATAGTCTCGTTCCAATGACGGGAAACGAGACGGAGGGGGAGCCAATGGTAGAAGCCGGACCTGGGTAGAAGTTTCGGCCGCGCGATGAGATGGGTGCAGGACACCGGCCCTGAATTCGATCGGACAGCGAGCTTCAAGATCGCGTTGAGGAGCTCTTGCGGTAGTTTGTGTATCGGGGCGGGGACATTGACGTTGATTTTGGCGTGCATGGGTAGTCGATGAAGGAACCAGCGATGCTTGCCAGGCGCCACATCGCTGTGTGCCGGACTCAGCGCTCGGAGATTCGACTCAATCGATCTCCCAGGCCTCAGCTGACTTTCCGGCGCCGTAGATCTCCAGCCGGGCGAGTTGGGGTAAGGCGTGGAAGGGTCTTCACCCAGCTGTCATCGCGCAGGAGGGAGCTGTCACAAGCTGCGCTGCGAGTTCGCGATGACTGCCTTCACGATGTATTGGGGCTTCTAGTTGCGGGAGAAGGCAGAAAATGACACATGTCCATGTCAATTACAACCAGTACCATTGACAACAAGTGCAGTAAACCGACGTAGATCCTCGCGAGAAATTCACAGACCCATGGTTGCAAAGATCATCTCCGTGTTTACCCCTGCGAACGGCTCAAAGTCCTCAGCGACTGGACACACTACGCTGTTATCGGTGGGCAGCTGTTCGCATACTCATTAGCACATCCGCCCAGTGACAGGAGGTTAGCTGGCTTACCGTGCCGTTGACCATGTACCCAACCACGGCCTCGATCAAGCATGCCGAAGGCGGCTCCGAGTTGGTGGTGTGCTAAGGGGGTCGCGTGAACGTACGGAACATCACGTAGGCAGACGACGACTTACCCCAATGCCTTGCTGAGTGATAAGCCTCGCTTGACTTCCCAACAGAGTGATTATCTCCTGAGCGCCTGCCAGCGGGGTGATGGGATCGAACTGCTGGAGCGTGAGCCCAGCGTACGTTCAGAAAAAACGAGGGGCATTACCACGTTCGAAAGCACCAGAATTGGACTCGCGAGCGTCTTGTTGAACGGACCTTGGTATCGCTCGACCGCGCGCACCGGCCAGAAGTCGCACGTGTACATCTCCGCGGGCCACTCGGCCCCAGCTGTGTGTGCGCATACATGAAATTTGCGCGCGCGAGGACGAGAGATATGTGCGTACCGATGCGAGAAACGTTGCGCGCGGCGGCGATCAGGTTGTTAAACACGGCGCGCATGCTGGAGTCACGGACGTCGACGCTGTCCCCGCACAGGATTGCGGACGCGCTCAAAGGCGTCGTGGTATTCTCTTGAGAGCCGTACCCACGACGCACGTGCATACTGATCGTATGAAGAGAGCACTGAGGGTCAGATCTCAGACCTGGGGCTCTAGGATCGGACGCACCCTCGGCGCACTTCGGTCCTAGTCGATGTGTTTGTTCCCGTCTCGCCTCCCACAGCGGCCACGAACTGGGGCCACTCGTCGTTCGCGAACGATGTCCACTCGGTCGGGTTGAGCAGCGTCCCATACAGCTCCACTGCGCATCCTTGAGACACCGCGTGCATGCAGAGTGTCACGACTCACTGCGGATGTCGCCCGAAGTCACGGGTACTGACGCGTTCGCGCGTTCCGCGTCGTGCGCGGCCTGAAGCAGCGCGTTGACTGCGCCGTCGATGTCTGAGGCGGAGGAGTTGACATGGGGTGCGATCGAGCAGGCGGCGGGTCCAGCGAGTGCGCAGCCGGCGAGGAAGGCGGTGTATGCGCTATCTACATCGACGAGCTGGTGGGACCAATGCTGCGGAGAGGTCTGTGAGCGCGAGGGACGCGGGAGGGGGAGGGAAGACGCACAAGGGAGAGGCTTTGAGTGGCGAGGAAGACGGGGTCGAGGACGCCGTCGAGGACGAAGCGGCCCACGCGCTGCAAGAAGTCGGCGTGGTCAGGTGCACAGATCGAAGCGAGCGCAGATCGAACCACGTACTTCGGGAAACACTAGTTCGAATGGTATCAGCTCCTGGACGCTCTGCAGACGACGATGCACGTACTGTTCGCCAGCCACATCGCGACCAAGGTCCCGTACGAGACCGCAACAAAGTTGATCGCGCTGCCCTCGCCGTCCAGCGCGTCCGCAAGTCCAGCCACGTCCCGCACCGTCGCCGCGGAGCCGACGTACTTGAGGAGGTGCCCGCTTGAGTGCTCGAGGCAGCGCTGCCCGAGCGTCTCGTACTTGTCCTGCATGAGCGGAGCCTGTGCGAGGAGCGCCGCGACGTCTTCAGGGTCTTCGAACCGTCCCGTGTATGCGATGCCCGTGTCCTGAATCGTGCCGGCGAAGAACGCGTCCTGGTCTTCGGGGCTGTTGAAGCAGAACACGTCCCCAGGGCTGCGTCGGCATCATCGTCAGCGCGCGTCTCAGAGAGAGGGACCGGACGCGGAGGCGCACATAGTCAGATTCCCGGTGCCGCGTGTGTCGAGGCTGACGATGTCGTAAAGCCTGGCGGTGAGCGTCTGTAGGAGGTCCGCGTTGAACGCGATGCTGAGGATCCCCGACGCCGCCGGGCCACCCGTGACACCACAGGTCAGTCACCTCTGCAAAGGCGAAGTCTCGTGGATCTCACCCGGGTTGAAGAACACTGTTCCCAACTTCTCCGACGCGGGGACGGTCGCGTTCAGCATCCCGAACGCGATGCGTCCCTCGCCCGCAGCGGGGTCGTGGTAATCAAGTGGGACATGGAAGAAACCGCACGAGATGCTGACGTTGCTGATCGTAGCTGGATCGCAGGCGAACCATTCAATCTGTCGGTGTAGGGAAGTGGTCAGCTCGCAGTTCACACACCAGACGCGTACAGTGAGCGTACGTTGCTAGTGTTGCCCGCGTGAGCGTGAGTTGGCGATGCCAGAGTTGTCGCTGCAGTGACAAGGGCGAGGTTCAGCAAGGTGAAAAGCATCTTGTGTGGCGAGCTGTTGCATGTCATGGTCCAACCCCAGCGTATATATACGCGTTGGAGGCCAAAGCTTAGGCTCCGCACATCCTGGGACGCTCGCAGCTGCAACGGCTTCCCACTGCGGGCATGTCTACCCTTCGGCGCCGGCAGTACTCACCGGGACTCGGAGGTAACATGCTGGAGGAGCAAAATCACCAGGTCAGAGACTGCGCACGTTGGACGAAAGCTCACCGAATGTATCAAGCCCAGCCCCCAACTCCGACGTCGACACGGCTTAAAGTTCTCGGCTTCAGGCACCACCACCAAGATCGCACGACATCGATGGGATTGCAAGAGACCGACGACCGAATCCACGACTAACAAGCAACGCCTCAGCTGTCTCGCAGCCCGTCCCTTCTCGGTAACAAGGTGGGTGGCCGGACGAGCGATGTCAGCGCCGGCTCCCAGACGGGAACCGTGCTCATCTCGCTGCCTGCGGTCTCGTCAGCGGCGTTATGATCGTGGAAGGATGTCTGAAGAGCCGGCGCTTCATCGACGCTTATGAGTCCCGCCTGCCCTAATGTTCCCACGCACGGACCATATGTACGGCGCTTGTGGGCCACTTGAGTCGAACCGGTTCGCGTTGAGGACGCCCATTAGCGCCGGACACGCTGTTCCGGGAGGTACCGAGGCGCGCAGGCTCAACCCAGAGGAGCAGCCAGCGTGCACCGCGACCACGACCACGACCACGACCCGCCCGCGTTCGACCATGTCGCTCTCGTCCTTCTTCTCGTCCTTCCTCGAAACCGTGCACGCCGACGCCCCGGAGGAGAAGCCCGAGGACAAGGAGCCCGCGCAGGAGGAAGCCCAGGAGCAGGAGCCCGAGGAGGAGGAGGAGCCTGAAGACGTACGTTTATTCACTCGCGTCATTCTTTTCCTCGCGTTGACGCGTCATGCGCGCGGTAGATCTTCCCCAAAATCCAGGATGAGTGCGCGGAGACGGCCAAGTGCGCGCCTCTCGCGAAGCACTTTGCGCATTGCGAGGAGAAGGTGAACGCCGGCGAGGGCTTCAAGGGCGAGGACTGCGTCGAGGAGTTGTGAGTGTTCTTCTTCACCATGGGTGCGGGCTCGTGCTGACGATGTGCGGCAGCTGTGAGTGGCGTCTGCGCGGGTTCTGCTTGTCGTTTTCTTGGACTGACGTAGCTCGCGTGCTCGCTCGTTTCTTTCCTCGTGTCCAGACCAGTGAGTTGCTTTACGCTTGCTGTATGCGTATTTTCTGACGTGTCTTCCTGCGCGCCGTGCAGCATGATGCACTGCGTCAACGTACGTTGCTCTCTTCATCCCCGCCGGCGCGCTTTCGCTCACTCCACGTCTTCCCCTCAGGGCTGCGCCGCGCCAAAACTCTTCGCCGAGCTCAAGTAGAAGGAGACGGAGGTACAGACGCAGTTCAGGCTTCCCGTCATAGGTACGCCCATTGCCTGCTTTCCTCATGTTGCGTCGCTCATGCTGTCACAGCGTAAAACGTAGACTAGTTCCTATGGTGTCGTAATCTGCCAATAGGACCCATTCTCCACTATCGGCCCCTTCACGCCTGGCGCGAAGCTATGACAATCAGCAGAACGGGTTGGATGTACGCATGTCTCTCTCACTTGGCCGGGGCTTTCATATGGCGACCTATCCCCTCTTCTCGAGATTTTTAGCCTTTCCGCTCTGTTCGGCTGTGATTGGTATCAGTTTCGCTCGGGTAGAGACCACTTCATCCGCTCTATCACCTATCCCTAGCTGAATATGTTGCATATCAAGTCATGCCATCCCGTTAGATTTCCGGCCTCCAGAACGTATACCTCTACACCCCAACGACCTACAGCAGGCAAATCGCACCACACATCATCTCGGGCAGCCTGCACCCTTTCATCCTCTCCCCTACCCGACGTGACTCGGAAACACAAGCTCCTGCCTGTGCGGTGTCTACTGCTCTACACTTTTGTTCCACGACGTGCTCCCACGATTCCCTGCAACCTCAAGTTCAACCCCTTCTTTCGTTCATCGAACACTGCACATAACAATCATCAACGATGAACACGCATGACACTCCTCGACACGTTCACGGGACGCTCCGAGGATCCCAGCCGTGCACGTTCAACATGTCAGGGCTCCATATGAACACCAATGCCCCGGGACCGGAACCACCTCATCCATCCACGCGCTCATTAGACCACGTTGGCGCCTGTTTCTCGAGCCCACGGAAACATGGCCAGAGGATTGCTCTTACTCACTTATGCGTCTTCGTCAACATCTCCCCGCGAACCCCTCCCGCATTGTCCCCTTCTCCCCGTCCGTGGCCAGAGTGTCGTCCTCGTTTTTCCCACAACAAGAAACCCCAACACATCATGAAGGCAGCCACGGTGAACTCGCAGCGCAGCCTGTGACTGCTCACACGAGATGAGGGCGAGAAAGGGCGAGAAGGATGCTATGACTCGGAGTGGGACGGGTGCGCCCAAGGCCTGGCTCCTTGCCGCCATCGGCTCCGTCCAGGCCCTCGAGCCCCGCGGACGCTCCCTCGTCTCCAGCCTGGGCGACGACAGCTAGGTGAAGACCCCTCCCCGACTTACCCCAGCTCGCCCGGCTGGAGATCGACGGTGCCGGCAAGTCAGCCGAGGCCTGGGAGATCGACTGAGTCGAGTCTCCGCTGAGTCTGGCACACAGCGATGCGGCGTCTAACAAGCATCACTGTGTCCTTCATCTATTTATGCACGAACTGGTGTTCGTCGGAGAGATGTCGTTGGGTGAAGACAGAGAGACGGAGTGGATTAACCAGCTGGCGCTGGATGGAGTGATGACGGTGAAGGTACTCAGGGGGTGGTAAGTCGAAGGCGTCGGGGAAGATGAAAGTTGCGGATGACGTACGTATCCACTAGATCTAATCGTACTAGTTGATATCTTATCGTGAGCAATTAGCGCTCAACTAGGAGCCAATGTAAAGTACATTCAACTCGCGGCAAGCATAGCCATGACACAGAGTCGCACTCGTCTCTTCCCACTATCAATATTCGCGCGCAAACCTTTCCTTCGTGACCACCACCGCCCTATCTACCCCAGCCTTCTCAAACCGGCCCCTCCACTCCGCGATGAAGTCCGGACAATGCTCCCACACCGCACGCAGTGTGAGCTCCTCCAGCGGCGCGCCCGCGTCCGCGCGTCTGCGCAGCACCCCCTCTAGCGCCCCGAGCGCGTGCGGCTCGTACCCCTCACGGTAGTCGTACCTTTCCTTTCGCCCAGGAAACATGTACACGAGCGACACCCGCGCGAGCCGCGGGAACCGCCCGAAGAGCGCCGCCCACGCCGCCGTGTCGAAGCGCGTGAAGCCGGACCCGAGGGCGTCCACGGTGGTCACCGCGGTACAGGGCTCGAGCGTGTCCAGGCGGCGGGGAGTGCGACGGCGAGGTTGAAGCCGTACGCCCAGTAGGTGAGGCGGATGGAGAAGGCGCGCCTGTCGGGGGTGTGGCTGGCGAGGACGCACCCATCCTCTTCGAGGGTGAGGGAGAGCGTGGTCACAGAGCTGAGGAAGGGGATGATTTCGCGTAGGTCTTCGGGGAGAACGTAAAGGTCGTCGCAGCTGAGTCCTGCGTAGTTGATGTGGATGGTCCGCGCGCGAGGGAGGCGGATGCACTGGAGAAGGATGTCCAGCAGAGCGGGTGTTTCGATCCCGCCTGAAAGCTCGAACGTGTGAAGGCGGTGCTGTGTGAGAGGCTCCAGGCTGTCGTACGGTATCTGCCCCTCGAATTCGTCCCATTCTTCATCGCCGAACCGGATGCCGGACTCCATGATGAAGGATTCGAGGCGAGTGGTTGCGCGGAGGAACTGGAGGAGATGCCACGCGGTGAACTTGAGCTTGTGCGTGAACCTCACTTCTCGCAACTGCGCGATTATGTCTGGTCCCGGAACCATCCAGTTCGCGTTGAGGGAGAGCGTGTCGAGGGTGGGAACATGGGCACCTGTGGTCACCACGGCTGTATTACAATGCCCCAGGTACATGGGAATAAGCTTTTGCTATTCCTGAGGGCGTTGTTATTGTAATAAACGTGGTGAGGTCTTTAACAATAACAACGCAAGGGGGTCTTGTAATAACTGGTGCTGAGGCTGTTAAAAGCAACGTGGGGTTGTTAAAACTGGCGTAGGGTTGTTAAAACTGACGTGGGGTTGTTAAAACTGGCGTAGGGTTGTTAAAACTGACGTGGGGCTGTCAAAAAGGGTGCAGGGTTGTTAAAATCGACGTGGGGCTGTAAAAAAGGGTGCAGGGTTGTTAAAATCGACGTGGGGTTGTTAAAAAGGGTGCAGGGTTGTTAAAATCGACGTGGGGCTGTTAAAATCGACGTGGGGTTGTTAAAAAGGGTGCAGGGTTGTTAAAATCGACGTGGGGCTGTTAAAACCGACGTGGGGCTGTCAAAAAGGATGCAGGGTTGTTAAAATCGACGTGGGGCTGTTAAAACCGACGTGGGGCTGTCAAAAAGGGTGCAGGGTTGTTAAAATCGACGTGGGGCTGTTAAAATCGACGTGGGGCTGTTAAAACCGACGTGGGGCTGTCAAAAAAGATGCTGGGTTGTTAAAATCGACGTGGGGCTGTAAAAAAGGGTGCAGGGCTGTTAAAACTGACGTAGGGTTGTTAAAATCGACGTGGGGCTGTCAAAAAAGATGCTGGGTTGTTAAAAGTGACGTGGAGATATTACAGAATGTGCCAGCCTGTAATAACTGACGTAGAAGTATTACAGAACATGCTAGGCTGTAATAACTAACACCAGGGTCCCACTGGGACCTACCTAGCTATAAATAGCCTGGTTCAGGTACTGCTACAGATGGGCATTCTGGCAGGTATAGTGGGCTGGAATTGGGGATAAACGGTTAGCTAGAGATGAGAATGGCTAAAAGGATACGTTTGGGCTGGTATAAGCAGCTGGAATGGGGAGCAGTAGCTAGTATTTACCAGTAAATGGGCAGCCTGGGGTGCAGCACAGGGTGGGGAAATCGTCAGGCACTAGTTACTTATCAAAAGAGGCATCTAATAGCTTTCTAACAAATCCAAGATCATGTTGATTGGAGCAGTATTGGTGGAGATACAGATGTACCCCCGTTTTGGCCGATAGGAGCATCTGCTAGAATCAGAACTGGTGGATGGAATCCCCTGGTTCTTGTTGTATACCGTGTGGATTGCCTTCCAATGAGTGGGGTCGAAATCCGATCGGAGAAAAACCCCTTCATTACGGAATAGATTGCTGATTACGCTTCAGCCACAGCGCTTTTGATCTCTCAATAGCCACTTCCCATATGCTCCGATAAGTGTTCTTTTTTTTGCAGTCTTTTCCTCTACTCTACGGAAAAGTGTTCTAGGTGTCATTTTAACAAGAACAGCCCTCTGTACCTTCCTGTGCAGCTGTGCACACTTGCAGACCTTTGCCTCACCCCTCCATAACTACCCATTATATCACCATGGTGTCTTCTGTGTCGAATTGGCACTGCTCAAGGGCCCTAAGATATGTAAGGATCATACTTATCAGAACATGTTTGATAATGTAATGCCCCTATCTGTCCCCCCACTTGCTCCCCCGATCCAATTATATGTGATACTCTGATAGTCTCTTGTGAAGTCGATCAGAACTCGCCTCGAACACAGCTACAAGATGCAGAAAGAACCATGTGAATCGGCCCAGAATTGGTGAAGATGTTCCATTGGAGCCCAGAATGCACCACTGGGCTACAAAGTGTGGGATGAAACCTCTTCACATAACACCCACTCAACCCTGCAAGGAATGGTACACTTGCCCCCACATGTGGCAGAGGTGCTAAGTCATATTCAATATCATCCTGAAACATGTTCCATGTGTTATTGCCATAGGTATATGTGTGTGTGTGCCCTATTTCACATTTGTGTAGAGTGAGGGGCATGGCTGTAGAGCAAAATGAGCCCTGTTTCAGCTGTAGACACTGTTACTTCCTGAGTTCTTCACCGATCTTCGTGATTGTACCTGCGTTGGATAGGTGTGTTCAAGCTCTTATCAGATCTATGTAGTGTACATTGATCGGAGATGGATTCATGTGCTGATGGGGGCAATGCATGGAGGAGAGATAAGGATGGATATAGCCTAAACAAAGACCGATAATGTTTTTATACTAGGAACATAAAGTATACCACAATGGTCAAACAATACAACAAGAACCAGATTGATAAATGGAGCGGTTATGGATGGGTGAGGCAAAGGTCTGCAAGTGTGCACAGCTGCACAGGAAGGTACAGAGGGCTGTTCTTGTTAAAATGACACCTAGAACACTTTTCCGTAGAGTAGAGGAAAAGACTGCAAAAAAAAGAACACTTATCGGAGCATATGGGAAGTGGCTATTGAGAGATCAAAAGCGCTGTGGCTGAAGCGTAATCAGCAATCTATTCCGTAATGAAGGGGTTTTTCTCCGATCGGATTTCGACCCCACTCATTGGAAGGCAATCCACACGGTATACAACAAGAACCAGGGGATTCCATCCACCAGTTCTGATTCTAGCAGATGCTCCTATCGGCCAAAACGGGGGTACATCTGTATCTCCACCAATACTGCTCCAATCAACATGATCTTGGATTTGTTAGAAAGCTATTAGATGCCTCTTTTGATAAGTAACTAGTGCCTGACGATTTCCCCACCCTGTGCTGCACCCCAGGCTGCCCATTTACTGGTAAATACTAGCTACTGCTCCCCATTCCAGCTGCTTATACCAGCCCAAACGTATCCTTTTAGCCATTCTCATCTCTAGCTAACCGTTTATCCCCAATTCCAGCCCACTATACCTGCCAGAATGCCCATCTGTAGCAGTACCTGAACCAGGCTATTTATAGCTAGGTAGGTCCCAGTGGGACCCTGGTGTTAGTTATTACAGCCTAGCATGTTCTGTAATACTTCTACGTCAGTTATTACAGGCTGGCACATTCTGTAATATCTCCACGTCACTTTTAACAACCCAGCATCTTTTTTGACAGCCCCACGTCGATTTTAACAACCCTACGTCAGTTTTAACAGCCCTGCACCCTTTTTTACAGCCCCACGTCGATTTTAACAACCCAGCATCTTTTTTGACAGCCCCACGTCGGTTTTAACAGCCCCACGTCGATTTTAACAGCCCCACGTCGATTTTAACAACCCTGCACCCTTTTTGACAGCCCCACGTCGGTTTTAACAGCCCCACGTCGATTTTAACAACCCTGCATCCTTTTTGACAGCCCCACGTCGGTTTTAACAGCCCCACGTCGATTTTAACAACCCTGCACCCTTTTTAACAACCCCACGTCGATTTTAACAGCCCCACGTCGATTTTAACAACCCTGCACCCTTTTTAACAACCCCACGTCGATTTTAACAACCCTGCACCCTTTTTTACAGCCCCACGTCGATTTTAACAACCCTGCACCCTTTTTGACAGCCCCACGTCAGTTTTAACAACCCTACGCCAGTTTTAACAACCCCACGTCAGTTTTAACAACCCTACGCCAGTTTTAACAACCCCACGTTGCTTTTAACAGCCTCAGCACCAGTTATTACAAGACCCCCTTGCGTTGTTATTGTTAAAGACCTCACCACGTTTATTACAATAACAACGCCCTCAGGAATAGCAAAAGCTTATTCCCATGTACCTGGGGCATTGTAATACAGCCGTGGTGACCACAGGTGAACATGGGTCGCGCTGAGTGATAACGGGGTATCTAGCACGTATCCTTCGATATCGGATATGTCGAGCGTGGTCAGCCGGGGAAGCTTGACAGAGCGTAAGAACGACTCTAGAGGGTCGAAATATGAACGGTAGTAGAGTGTGACGGTGATGGAGCGGAGGAACATCGCGTGCGGGAGGATATCCTTGAGCAAGCAGTCGAGGTCCTTCAGGTTTCGACTGGACCAGTTGAAAGCAACCTCGAAGGGAACGCCCGCAGAGTGTTCGAGGCTGAATGACAGCCACTGGCGTGCATTAGGTCCACAGACAACGATCTTGTTCCATAAACTCTTCTTGGAGATGAGGGTGTTGTTCCAGTGGTGGCAGATGGCGTGGAGAGGGAGCCACATGGAAGTTTCCCACCGGCCATAACGCGACCACTTGAGGCCACCGTAATCCAAGGGACGGGTGACGTAGAGTAAGATGTGGACGAAGATCTCCTGCGGGAGCTTGTGGAAAGGATGGGCGTTGCCGAGCGGTGAGTGGCGCGAGTAGTATGTCGAGTGGATCGTCATGAAATGGTGCGGAGAGAGGGGAGTGGCGAGCGACAAAGATGAGAAGCGACACAGATTTTGAGGTTAGGAACCGTGCCACCGAGTAGACTGAGACCGTAGCGACAAAGAAGGCTATCGTAGTGGCAGGATCTGCGCGCCGCGTGATGCCGCATCACTGTCAAGCCTATCAGCGCTGGGTCGGCGAGATAAGATTATGAGACAAGGCAAGTACCTCCACCTTCGCCGCTCGTCTCAGTCAGTGTCTTGTGTCCCGTCACTGCTTTCACTCCAGATCTTCGGTGCTTTCACCCCCCCCGGGCCTCTCCTCATTGATCTCGTCCGCGAGCGACCGTTCTTTACGATATCGCCGTCCCGTTCCGGTGAACAATGCGCGTTACGCGCATGTCTTTGAAGGACGCAGGGGCCGGTGCGGCGGTGCCAGCGGGACCACCGCCCGTGAGAGTGGGTGCGTGCAGGTTCGCGTTGCGCGACCACAGCCGGTTGGCCGCGACCGCCCTCCCCATGACAATATCCTCATACCGCTCCTCCACCCCGGACAGCCGTCCAAGGCGCTCTCCCAGACCACACCGGGCGCGGGCTCCGCCTTCATCGGTGCGCGTGCTGATTGTGCACCTTCGCGAGCGGACTGCACAAAGCGGGGCCCCCGCGATGAAAAGCCTAATAGGAGCAAGCGCAGAGAGACGTCCAGGTTGTACCGTCAGAGGGAGTGAAGCCGAGCCCAAGAAAAGGCACAGCGATGACGGTGTGGAGATCCAGAGTGGAGTCAGGGCTCGGCTTTGGCTTGTCTGGTGCTTGATGTCATGGAGATGGGAAAGGCAGATGTTGCGGTTCGACGGTCGTGCGATGGAAACGAGAGAGGCAGGTTACAAAGGCTGAGGCCTAGGCCGAGGAGGGAGCAAATTTGAGACGAGGGCCGGATACGAGGCAGATACAGGAATTCTCGCCCTGTGAAGCGTATGAATAGCAGTCGCGGCCCAGACATGACGTGCGATGTTGCGTTACAACTTACTGTCGATCCTCGTCAGCTCTAGTCGGATGGCAGGAGAGCGCGCACCTTCGCCCATCGTCCATCGCTCTCGTTGATAACCACGATTCGCGTCGCGGTTTTCACCCCAGCGGCTTCCATCTTCTCGATCCACATCTCGTCCTCCACGGCTACCGGCGGCTCCCCAACACGAACTATTCACCCCAACAGTGCGAGCGCGCGACGTCTGGCCCGTTGTAGAAGCCGACAGGACCTACGGGACCGGCGGAGACGGTGAGGGGCACCTGCAGGAGCGACGCCACGCGCAGGCGACAGAGCAGGTAAAGTGGCGCGCAGCTCGGAGGAGCTATGGGATATGGCGATATTCATTCCGTTATCGACCGTGAGCGTATTGAGACGCAGTGGTGGTGTTGGGGGTTGAAGCCCAGGCAAAACGCGCTCGCATCCCAGGGATTCCTTGGGGATTACCCTATGAGACGCTGTAAGCGAGCAGATGTAGGAGGATCTGGCGGAATAATCCAGTTTGGGCGTCTGTATAGCGGGCTCACCTTCAGCCGTGTGAAAAAATGAAGCCATATGTTCTTGCCTCTGCTCGCACATCGGATCCAGTGGAATCCTCGGGAATACTGCCCGTGTTCTGTGTGCCGCACGCCCAGTGTGCCATATGAGCGCCTCGATGACCGCGATTGCCCCGCCTTCTGCTCCTGCGGCCGTGTTGCGCGCGGCCTCGACACTGTGAATGGCGGACTCCGAGTCTCGTCGTCCCTCTTTGGATCCCCCGCTGCTCGTTCAACCGCCCGACCAGTATTACTGCGGCTGTTTAGAATGTCTAGGCAAAAACAAACCATTCGGATCCCACAGCAAATGGTTCCGTCACTCCAAGGCTCGCGAAGAGCAGCTTCGGAATGGGCAGATCGATCCTCCCCATCGATCCTACATTCAGCCAGTTCAGGGCATGCGGGTGTCGTCCCAGAAACGTCGTGCGGCATAAACCACCGGCTCCGAGCCTTTGGCACAGAGGCGGCGGACACAATCCCCTCCACCACATGTTGGTCCACCTGACGAAGATCCAACACATCCCGTGAGTGTTACATGGTGTTAGTGCTTCAAAAAGTTTTTTACACCCGCCCACATCAGCTTGCAACACACACATCCGACAGAACCAATTGGGTTGAGCCTGACCGGCTGCGGGTCGACTTTCTACCTACCCCAGACTCCGATTTCCCTCAGCTAAACAACTCTGACAACCCGGGAGTCTCGCCACCAACTCATCTCAATCAGCAACTGCTGTCAGCACCCCCGCACCAGATCTACATCCCTTCCCGAGTTGCGAACATTCCTGAACTAGACATTTCCCTCTCTACAATCAATGCACTGCGCTCCTGCACTCAACTTGAGCATTCTTCGCTTGATCAAGACACCATACACAGGCTTCGAAACCCGAGCACAGATTCCGTCACCATTACTCCACTCCAGAAGTTTGCACTCTGTCTCTTCACTTCGGACACATCTGCGTCGGATGCACGGTACACTGAAGAGCACGAATGCTATAACGAGCTGGATGCCAAAATGCGCCCTCAGCCAAACCCCGAGTTAGACGAAGATCACGAGTCTATGGCCTCCCTCCACTCTGTCAAGAAGCTGCTCACTGAGTTGTCTGGAGTTCATCCCCTCGTCCACGACATGTGCTCCGAATCCTGCATGGCTTACACCAGCCCAAAGGCGAGCAAGGAGATCTGCAATCACTGTTCTTCCTCTCGCTATGACCAGAAGAAACGCGCCGTTCGAACGTACTACATGTTCCCTCTTGCCCCGCAACTTCTTGCTCATTACAGCTCATCAGAGTCTGCCCACGACATGCGCCATCGACAGAGACGGATGCCTGCTATCATCGACCAGGTTTTGAGAAGTAACGGGAATGTCGACCACATCAGCGACGTCTATGAAGGTTCGGACTTCTGGGAGGCGTGCTTGCAGGGGCGCATCAAGGATGACGACATCTGTGTTATTCTGTCCATGGACGGTGCTCAGCTATTCGCACACAAGGCCTCAAACTGTTGGATATACATCTGGATTCTCCTCGATGTTGCCCCTGAAAAGCGATGATACGCACGCACCGCCGCTGTACGGTGCACCGCGACTACACTAGCGCCCGCGCGTCGCCGTCCACCTCGACCTCGCTCGTCCTCACGTACCTCGACCTCTCCGCCGCGCGCACCCATCGCGATCAGTCCGCGAGCATTCCATATCGACGCTCCAGCATTCCAGGCCAGGCGCGACGCCTACGGACACACCACGCCGCAGTTCACGCACGACCGAGGCCGGCACGGCACGCACCCGATCCACCTCCTCTACAGTACGCCGACCTCGTCCATTTCCTCATCTTCATTCCCCTCCTCTTCTTGCACGATTAGTATGTCCTCCTGTTCTACATCTCATACATTTCGTATTCTCGTATCCACTTCCCCTTCATTCTCGGTCTCGATTTCGTACATTTTCGGGTCTCGGACTGTACATTGATCTGTCTACATACTCGCCCCGTGCGTCGCATGTACTTAGGCTCACGTTTTTGCTTATTGATGCTCAGTTCACTCTCCCGCTCTTTCTGCGCGTGCTGTGTGCTCACCTCGTCTCGCCTTCGCCTTCACCTTCACCTTCGACTTCGACTTCGCCCACGCCCACGCCCACGCTCTCGCCCACGCTCTCGCCCACGCTCTCGCCCACGACTTCGACTCCCTTCGCCTTCGCCAGCGCCGCGCGTGCGAGCGATCTCGTCTATTCACTCCGCGTCTATTCTCACATCGTCCTCCTCGCGCTCGCGCGATCCCCCGATCCGTCCTCCCTTCACGTTCGCTCCTCACGCAGCGCGTCGTAGCTGTTCCCTTCCTTTCCTCCTCGACTTCCCGCGTCTCACGCTTGCACGAGCTCGCTCACTCGCCCTTATCACTGTTGACTCTTTGCGGAGTTGACTGCACATCATCTGGAGCCCACCGCGAGGGTAGAGAAGAGACTACAAGCTCTCTCATTGTAAGCCTCTGAACCGGCGAGTCCTTACTTCAGCCCTTCTCCTGCATTGGCCCACAAAAGGCATCCTCTCTTCTACCATCACGGATCGCGAACAATTCCGCCTTCGCCCGGTCAACTGGGACGATCACCGCGCGTCAAGTGGCTCATCCGAGTCCGGTTCGACCTCATCTTCCTCTTTTCCATTTGTATCCCCACTTGCCTCTCCACCACCCGTTGTTTCTCCACCACTAGCTTCGCCTCCTGAACGTCGCCCGATCACCTCGAACGCGCCACCGCCATCGGAAGCATCTGACGCTGAAGAACGCGACCGCACCCTCTCAGATCTATTCTTTCGCATATTTCACCAGCTCCCTTCCGAGATCCCGTCTCCGCCATCGCCGCCACCTCCACCTCCGCTATTTGTCCCACAACCTTTCTTCATGGCCTATCGCTTACCCGCACGCGGAGCAGCCGGCGCACCGTCGTTTGATCCGGAAGGTGACCCCCGCACCATCCTCGGATTCTTCGACGACCTCGACTACTGCTTTGAACAAGGGCAAATCAATGACGAAGACCGCAAGAAGGCACACGCAGTTCGCTACGCACCCGACTCGGAGAAGACTATCTGGCGCGCGATCCCGGAGTTCACAGATGCCACGAAGGACTACGAAGACTTCAAGAAAGCCGTGAAGAAGGAGTACGTAGGAGAAGACGGAGTAGGGCTGTTCACTCGGAGGGACCTGGAGTTGCTCGTGGACAAGACCGCGAGCCAGCCGATCGAATCAATCAACACCTTCAACAAGTACGGCCGTCTCTTCCGCGACCGGTCCGCCTTCCTCGTCCTCGGCAACCAGCTTCAGCCGAAGGATCGTGACCATCTCTTCTTGCTCGGCCTGCCACTCGCGCTGCGCACCCCCATCCTTGATCGCCTCCGCATTATCAAACCAACCATCCTCTACCCCCGCGACCCTTACCCCATTAACGACGTTACCGAAGCCGCACACCACGTCCTGGAGGCCGCGCTAGTCGGCACCGTTTCCGGAAGCTCACTCGTACCAACTCAAGTGGTCGCCCCTGTCCAGGTGCCAGCGATCAAGTCAGAAGCTACGATGGTCATGGAGCAACTCGCTGCCACGCTCTCGACCACCATCATAGCGGCGCTCAAGCAGAACCAACCGGCACCACCAAGGGCACCGCGCGAGAACCCACCACACATGCAGGGGCTCTGCTATTACTGCGGCGACTCCAACCATCCCATCCGCGCTTGCCCCCTAGTCGAAGCCGATATTGCTGATGGAAAGGTGCGTCGTAACGCGCAGGGGAGTGTGGTTTTGCCTTCCGGCTCGTTCGTGCCAAACTCTTACCCCGGCAACACGCTCCGAGAGCGCGCCATTGCCTACCACCAAGCGCACCCCGACGCACGCACTCCACCCGCTCAGCAAATGCTTTTTGAACCATACAACTCCCAGTCGCACACGAACACGCTCCCTCCCGCCATCTACGCCAACTTCCACGAGTTCGACCTGGAGCAACAAATACAGAGCCGCAAACAAGAGATATACGCGCTCGAACGTCAACGCGCACTCAAGCAGAAGGCCGCCGCGGCGAACGCTTCTGAAGCCCGTGAAGAACGCGCACGTCGCCGCGCCGTTCGCTTTGAGTCCCCCGAAGTCACCACGGGTCCCGCCGTACCGCGAGCAACCATCGAGGAGGTGCCAGATGAAGACGCCCCGTCCCGAGAGACGGAGGCCTCGAATCCTGCGTCGAACAGCGCGTCCGCGCCCGCAAGCACGCCTGAAAACGAGCTGGCCAGCAAGTCTCTGGTTCCGCGCGTCGAGCACCCGTTCGCGTCCGCGCGCGACGCAACTTACCAGCCGCCGACGCAGCGCAACTTCGCGACGCCGCCAACCAAGACCATGCAGCCTGGAGTCAGGAAGCCCGATCCTTCGTACCGTGCGCGCCCTCCAATCTACACCCCCAGCATGTCGCCAGCGTCCTCAAGCGTTGCCTTAACCAGCCGATTATGGTCACGCACGAAGAGCTCCTTTCCATGTCGCCCGAGCTGTGCGTCGCCACGCGTGAGCTCTGCATTGTTCGCCGCGCTCCAGTCGAGCCAGTACTCACCGCGGATGCGATCTCCGAGGACGACCTCCCAGGTGCTGACGTCTACAGTGACTTACCTCCTACGACGCGCAACGTGCTAGCCCAGTCTATGCCGTCCACCTTCGCGCAGATCACTCAAGAGGAAGATCCTCCGCGCGGCGCATTCGTAGTCCCCGACCCGGTCGAGACGTACCTCAAATCACTGCCATCTGGTGAAGACGCTGCCCCGCTCCGCGTCGCGCTCGATTCCGCCGCAATCCGCGCCATCAACGGGACGGTAGTCAACAAGGCCGACGTCTCCTGCATACTCGACAGCGGCTCCAGCATAGTATCGATGTCCGAAGGCGTCTGTCACTTCCTCGGCCTCTCCTACGACCCGCGCGTCGTCCTGCAGATGCAGAGCGCGAACGGATCCTGCGACTACTCGCTTGGCCTCGCGCGCAACGTCGCGGTGCGTTTCGGCTCTATCGTTGTCTACTTACAATTCCACGTTATCCGCTCTCCCGCCTACGACGTCCTCCTCGGCCGCCGTTCGACCTTCTCACTACAAGCACGGTCAATACCAACATCGATGGCACGCAGACAATCACGCTCAAGGATCCAAACTCCGACCTCGTCTCCACCCTACCTACGACCCCGCGCATGCCTCCAGTGTTCCAGCATCACACCCACCTCAACATCAGTTCCCCAGAGCCGGATTTTCAGTAGCGTCGAGGAATCGGCCTTCGACCGAGGAGACGTAGCGCTTTTACTTAGTTCTTGCCCCGGTGACCCCCACTCTGCTGCGATAGACGCTTTTTCGGTTTTGGAAAACTCCTTTACATCTTCTGACCTCGATTTGTTGTACCTATCCATATGTTCCCCATCCCAGCTCGGCACTGATTCGCTCGCGGACCCTTCCTTCCCGTTCCTGGACTCCGATTCGGCCCCCGATTTCCGCCCTATTACCTCATACTCCCACTCCACGCTTTTTATCCCTGACCCGCACCTCGGCTCTCTGTCATCTGACGATTCTCCTTACCCGTCCTATCCTTCCTTTACCATCCACTCCCACGTCTTGCACTCTTCCTCTACCCTATCTCCCACCTTCACCCACCTCTCTCGCAATCTCCCTGACATCCCCGATGCTCTTGACACTGCCATCCCGACGTTTCTCGCTGCACAACCCAAGACGAAAGCAAAGTCGAAAAAGAAGTACAAGCCCGTCGCGCTCAAAACTCGTCCCGTCCTCGCGCCACTGCCGGACCAGTTCCGCATCATCCGCAACATCGTGGGCGATCCTCTCGAGCACCTCGCACCACTCTCCCCGCACCCACCCGACTTCCAGCCAACCGGCCGTTACACCGCAGAACGTCGCGACATAGTCAACAAACTCCACATGAAGACTTTCTTTGGCCGGATGAACGCGCGCTGCTCCACTCGCTCTACATGAAGCATGAGAAGGCATTCGCATGGCAAGACTCGGAACGTGGCTCGTTCCGCGAAGACTTCTTCCCGCCCGTTCAGATCCCCGTCATCCCACACACGCCTTGGGTCCAGCGCAACATCCCGATACCACCTGGTCTCTTCAGCCAAATCTGCGACATTATACGCGCGAAGGAGGACGCAGGTGTGTACGAACCCTCCAACTCTTCGTATCGCTCGCGGTGGTTCTGCGTCGTCAAGAAGGACGGCAAGTCCCTCCGTCTCGTACACTCACTCGAGCCCCTCAACGCGGTCACGATCGCGCACTCCGGCGTTCCCCCATTCACCGAGCAGATCGCGGAGCACTTCGCTGGCCGTGCTTGCGGAGGCGCGCTCGACCTCTACGTCGGGTACGACGAACGCAAGATCGCTGAAAGCTCGCGCGACCTCACGACGTTCCAGACGCCCTTCGGCGCGCGCCGCCTCGTCACGCTACCCATGGGCTGGACGAACTCCGTCCCGATCTTCCACGAAGACGTCTGCTACGCGCTCCAGCCGGAGATCCCCCACATCACCATTCCGTTCATCGACGACGTCCCCACGCGCGGCAGCAAGACCGAGTACAAACTCGATGATGGGTCCTTCCGCACGCACCCCGACAATCCCGGCATCCGCCTCTTCGTCTGGGAACATTTGGTCAACACCGACCGCGTGATCCAGCGCATCGAATACGTCGGCGTCACGTTCTCTGGTCCCAAATCTATCCTTATCGCCCGCGTTTTCACAGCGGTAGGCCATCGCTGCACGCCGAACGGTCGCATCCCTGAGCCCGGAAACTACGCCAAAATCGTTAACTGGGGATACTGCTGCGACCTCTCTGACGTCCGCGCGTTCCTCGGTACGATCGGTGTAGCCCGAGCTTTTATTCACAACTTCGCGCGACGCGCCTGGCCACTCACGCAGCTCACACGCAAGGGCGCCGCCTTCACGTGGGGACCGGACCAGCAGAACGCGCAGCACGACCTCAAGGAAGCCCTCATTCGCTCCCCCGCACTTCGCCCCATCGACTACGACTCGCCGGCAATCGTCATCCTCGCGGTCGACACCTCACACATTGCCGTGGGGTACATCATCTCCCAGTGCGACCCCGACGACCCATCCCGCCGTTACATCGCCAAGTTCGGGTCGATCTCGCTCAATGATCGCGAAGCGGCCTACTCGCAGGCGAAGCTCGAGCTCTACGGACTCTACCGCGCGCTCAAGCAGTGCAAACGCGTCGTAATCGGTCTCCGCGGCTTCATCGTCGAGGTCGACGCGCGGTACATCCAGGGGATGTTGAACAATCCCGATGAGTCGCCCAGCGCCGCTATCAACCGTTGGATTGTTGCGATACTCACGTTCCACTTCACCCTCGTACACGTACCCGGTGTTATGCACGGACCCGATGGGCTCTCACGCCGCCGCCGCCAGGAGGGGGATGAACCAGCCGAAGAAGACGACGACGACGACTGGATCGACCGTCTCAACGGATGCTTACACCACATCAACGTCGACCCCGCCCTTCTTGCGCGCGAGCTCAAAGTCTTCGCATCAGCATCCCCTCTCTCCACGCTCTTCGACGTCTTCACGACCGACATCACCAGCGCGCCCTCCAGCGCCGACATGGCCTCTACCATCCCGCGTTCGCCCGCAGCGCTCGCCGAGGACGACCGCGTCGTCCGCGTCTGGTACTACCTCTCCAAGCTCGTCCGCCCCGAAGACCTCTCCGACAATGCCTTCACCGCGTTCCACCGCTTCGCGACGCGCTTTTACATCAGCGAAGGTCGTCTCTGGCGCCGTGCGCTCGCAGTCGGTGATCGCCTCGTAGTCTGGCCGCGCTCGCGGCTGCGCATCCTCCAGCAGGCCCATGAAGATGCTGCGCACAAGGGCACCTACGCGACCACCGCACTCGTTGTCCTGCGCTTTTGGTGGCCTCGCATGCAAGCCGACGTTGCGTGGTTCGTCAAGACGTGCCATATCTGTCAGACACGACAGCTGCGGCAAGTCCTCCCTCCGCCGACCATTCCGCGTCCCCCCGCTGCCCCCTTTCTTCGCGTTCACGCCGACGCTATGCACCTTCCCCCGGCGCGCGGCTTCAAGTACTTCGTCCACGCTCGCTGCGCACTTACGGGCTTCGCTGAAGGCCGCGCCCTCCGCCGCGAACTTGGCAGCGCCATCGCGGACTGGCTGTTTCAAGACATCCTCTGCAGGTGGGGCGCTCTCGCGGAGATCGTCACGGACAATGGTACGCCTTGGATCGCCGCACTCACGCACCTTAGCAACAAGTACGGCGTCCGGCACGTCCGCATTTCGGGCTACAATTCGCGCGCAAACGGCATCGTGGAACGACCGCACTTCGATGTCCGGCAAGCCCTCTTCAAGGCTGCCGACGGCGACGCCTCCAAGTGGCCGCTCTTCGTCCCGCACGTTCTTTGGGCCGACCGTATCACCACACGCCGACGCCTCGGATGCTCACCCTACTTCGCCGCGACCGGCTGCCATCCCGTCCTCCCTCTCAACTTCGTCGAAGCTACGTACCTCGCGCCGCCGCCGACCGGGCTCCAGTCGACCGAAGAGCTTATCGCCTCGCGCGCTCGCTCACTCGCACGACGTCAAGACGACCTCGCCCGCATCCACTCCAGCGTCTTCGCTGCTCGAATCGCCGCTGCACGCAAGCTCGAGCGCGATCACGCCGCCGGCATCGTCGACTTCGATTTCAAGCGCGGCGACTTCGTCCTCGTCCGCAATACCGCCGTCGAGAAGGCGCTCAACCGGAAGATGCGCCCACGATACCTCGGACCCTTCGTCGTCCTCGCGCGTAACCGCGGCGGTGCGTATCTCGTTGCTGAACCTGACGGAGCCGTCGTCGACCGCCCCATTGCCGCCTTCCGGGTCCTTCCTTACCTCGCTCGCACCACCATCGCCACTCCGTGGCTCAACGACTCCGCACTCGACGTCTCAACTGCACGCCTCCGCGAGATGGAAGCCTCGGATTCCCTCGGCGACGACGACCCCATGGATGAAGAAGACCTCGACTTCGGAGATGTGGAGGAGGAGGATTGTTATCAAGGAGATAACGTTGGGGAGGACGAGTCGGAGTTCAGGTCCCAGTAGGGAGGGAACTTTTCTGGTGCGCACCCCCGACTCGGAACCGTTCTCTCGTGCATTTTCCCCCCGCGTTCAAGACGCTCTCCCGTCCCCGGACTTCGTGTCCGGCGACTCCCCAATTTTTTCCTCGCGCATAGCTTCGTGCTTTGCTTTCGACGTTCGCGTTGAAATTCTCGGTCCCCGCGTCTGTACTCAGCACTCCGCCATCACTATTATTCCCCCACTTCCGCGCCTCTATCACACCCGGTCGTTGCTGTCGCTCCCCTTTGCTGTGCTGAACCCAGGAGGGTTCAGATTTCAGTAGGGAGGGGGTGATACGCACGCACCGCCGCTGTACGGTGCACCGCGACTACACTAGCGCCCGCGCGTCGCCGTCCACCTCGACCTCGCTCGTCCTCACGTACCTCGACCTCTCCGCCGTGCGCACCCATCGCGATCAGTCCGCGAGCATTCCATATCGACGCTCCAGCATTCCAGGCCAGGCGCGACGCCTACGGACACACCACGCCGCAGTTCACGCACGACCGAGGCCGGCACGGCACGCACCCGATCCACCTCCTCTACAGTACGCCGACCTCGTCCATTTCCTCATCTTCATTCCCCTCCTCTTCTTGCACGATTAGTATGTCCTCCTGTTCTACATCTCATACATTTCGTATTCTCGTATCCACTTCCCCTTCATTCTCGGTCTCGATTTCGTACATTTTCGGGTCTCGGACTGTACATTGATCTGTCTACATACTCGCCCGTGCGTCGCATGTACTTAGGCTCACGTTTTTGCTTATTGATGCTCAGTTCACTCTCCCGCTCTTTCTGCGCGTGCTGTGTGCTCACCTCGTCTCGCCTTCGCCTTCACCTTCACCTTCGACTTCGACTTCGCCCACGCCACGCCCACGCTCTCGCCCACGCTCTCGCCCACGCTCTCGCCCACGACTTCGATCCCTTCGCCTTCGCCAGCGCCGCGCGTGCGAGCGATCTCGTCTATTCACTCCGCGTCTATTCTCCTCGTCCTCCTCGCGCTCGCGCGATCCCCGATCCGTCCTCCCTTCCGTTCGCTCCTCACGCAGCGCGTCGTAGCTGTTCCCTTCCTTTCCTCCTCGACTTCCCGCGTCTCACGCTTGCACGAGCTCGCTCACTCGCCCTCATCACTGTTGACTCTTTGCGGAGTTGACTGCACATCAGCGATACAAAAAGCCATTTATCCTTCCAGGTGCGATCATCCCGGGCCCAATAAAGCCGAAGGATCCCGAGTCGTTCATGTATCCTGGGCTCTAGCATGTGAGGACGCTTCAGGACGAGGGGCTTTGGATCTGGGATGCTTCTCGTTTGGTCACATTCCACTCCCATCTCTTTCTCTTCTTGGTAGAGACAGATGCAGTTGGTGCTCCTGAACTCACAGGCTACGTTCCACATCACGGGAAAAACGGCTGTCGTGTGCGTTGCAAGCGCTCTGGTCGTCGAAAACCTGGTGCACCCCACTACTACCCCGTTCTCTCGAAACCCGACAACTACGCAGAAGACGGCTGTGATCATCCCGATTGGGATCCTTGGGATTTTTCGGGATCCACTCCACACGATTACGAAGAGGACCTACAGGCTCTTTTCAGCTCGACCTCCCATAACCAGTACAACGCCAATCGTCTGAACACCGGGCTCACCAAGCCGAGCATCTTCAATGGACTCTATCCAGACCACACCCTTCCCACTCCCAACCTGTTTCCTGGCGACATCATGCACCTCTTCGGCCTCAACGTCACAGATCTATTAGTCAAACTCTGGCGAGGCAGTCGTGAATTTTGCGATGACAAGCGTGGAGACTCTGTAGCTTCATGGGAGTGGGTCTGCCTCACGGGAGACACATGGGTCAGACATGGGGCACAAGTTGCAGCGGCAAGACACTATCTCCCTGGATCATTCGACCGGCCTCCTCGCAACCCTGCCGAGAAGATCAACAGTGGATACAAGTGTTGGGAGTTCCTCACTTGGATATACACCCTTGCCCCAGCTCTTCTCTACGGAGTCCTCCCTGACGAGTACTGGGTGAACTTCTGCATGCTCGCTTCAGGAGTCCGGATCGTGTTCCAATGCGAGAGCTCAGCCAAAGACCGTGAGAATGCATACAATCTCCTCGCTCAGTTTGTCTACGACTTTGAGGATCTCTACATCCAACGCAAGGTCTCCCGCATCCATTTCTCTCCTCAGTGCATGCACACTATCCCACACATGGCTCTGGAAACCGTACGCATCGGCCCCCTGATATGCACATCACAGTTTCCCATGGAGTGTACGATCGGTGACCTTGGACAACAGATACGCCAGCCAGCCAAGCCTTTTGAGAACCTCGCCGAGCAGAGCCTACGGCGCACACAAATCAATGCTGTCAGGTCGATCATCCCTAGCCTTAAGCGTCAGAAGGTGTCCAATGTACCACGCAAGGATCTTGGAGATGGCTACGTTCTTATGCACCCTCGTGAGCAACGATATCGGCAAGCAGAAGATAACGAAGACATCCTGATCCTGCGGTACATAGAAGACCGACTAGGCAGTACCTCTCAAGCTCGCGAGGATTGGTTAGTTCGCCAACAAGCGTCCATCCAGCAGTGGGCACGATGCGAGCTCCCAAACCGCCAAGTTGCCCGCTCCGTATGGAAGGAGATTGCAAACGGAATGTCGAGGATGGCACGTAACGTCAAGGTATGTCGCCGTTACTGGCACTCGTCACTCCGGCTGTAATAAAGACACTTGCTGTCAGTACCGATTGTCGAAACCAAACCCAGATCAAGTACAGTATGCGGAAGTCCAGTTCTACTTCCTCTGCTTCATCGGCGGCCAAGAAGAGGCTCTCGCAATAGTAGCAAACTATGGGCCGCCTAATGAGGAACTCCTGAAGCTCTCATCAAACGCCGTTTATGCGTGCTGTGCTCCCGATCACCGAAGACTCGGTGTGATCGCAGTCAAGTCTATCCTATCCTGTGTGGCGATAATCCCATGTCATACTCTCCCCCATCCCGACGCTTCCCCAACAGGCGACAATGTCTTCTTCGTAGCGGAGAAGCTGGGGCTCGACATCGGACTACTTCGCGGAATATATGGGTCAGGTGACAACACTGACAATGCAGACGGTGACGGAGACGAACCAGATGAAGTTCAGAATGACGATCTGTAGATTTGCGAGGTGGAAATGCCTTGGTGCAGGTAGACAGTGGCTTGGGTGTATATAGTAGGGGTGTGCGGTCTGTGGTAGCACTTGATGAGCTGATTCTACAAGCCATGCCGTGGGGCACCGTGCTCGATGTGGATGAGCTCTCCCGTGTCGAGGACGCCCACGCGGACGACGTTGGCCCAGGCGCCGTTGGGGCCATTGGCGGCGCTGCGCTGCATGCTCTTGTGCGAGAGGCGGATCACACGCCGCGTTGTGGGGGTCCACCCTCTGCTGGTCCGCCTCCGGCGGCACGAACCCAAACACCAACAACACCAACAACCGCGCCGCTCGTCTCCTAGACGCTGACGACGACCGTGCACGCAGTGGAGGGTGCATTTGCGTGGGCGAATGCAGACACCTCTTTCATCTTCTTGACCTCCAACTCCTCCCCCTCTTCGTTGTTGTTGTCGGGCGTGATGGCGCCGAGGGCGCCGGTGGTGCAGGCGCACATGGAGTGCGCGATCGACGTGTTTGAGGCCGCGAGCATGGTGGAGGTGGCGGCGAGGGGCAGGCTCGGCGAGATGCAGGAGAGGAAGATGGCAAAGGCGGAGCAAGTGGACGAAGCGGGCGTGCGGAGGTGCTGCTCCTTGAATAGCAACGACGGGTGCCCAGTGCGCGCGCCGGAGCACAGGGCAATGGTGGCGTGGCATGATGGGGAGACCGCGTCATGTGGGGCATCGGCGCGTTGGTGGGGGGCGGATACTCGCGGGAGACATGCCATTGCCGGTGAGGAGGATGGCACTGACGAGGGTGATGATGTCGATGCACCGCGATAGAGCTATTAATCATTGTGGAGATAGGTGCTGCCGCAGGCTAGGTTACGGACTAAGCCAGTAACCTTCCCACCTGCAGACACCTGGCTCCTGTGATGACAGTCAAGCAAACACGGCTTGCGAGTCTTGTGGGTAGAGATGTGCCGGACGATGGTTGGCCAGATTGAGTTGTGAAGGTGAAATCGAGCGGCCGGGAGGAGGTCGTGGAACAAGGGGCAAGAGATCGTGCTCGGACGAGGGGTCTGACTCATCGGAGTCGAGCTTAGTCACAGAGAGCTCAGAGAGCTCAGTTACGGGGAGCGCGTCGAGAGCGGCGGTGGTATAGCGTGGGTGGGTGACGTTCAGGTGAAGGAGGTATGCAAGGCGGTGGCAAGATGTGTCCTTGACTGTAGTAGATTTTTGTCAGATATTGTCACTCGAGGATGGGCAGGTACAACTCACTGAATCTCGCAATGTCGTGGTACTGCACACAGCAGTGCACAACTGAGGCAATCCGCGACCAGCGGTGGCCGTCTGGTGTCCTTTGGACGGCCCAGGCAGGGTGGAGGGTTGGCATTGAGACCCGTGGCCGAGTGGTCGAGCGGTGGGAGAGGGCGGCACGGATATGGCGACGGGACGTGCACGCGCAGGCGCACGGACATGAGATGTGCGCAGCTCAGCCGATGCGTTGGGCGCGATACCATTGGCGAGCCAGCTGAGGAACGCATTATAGACGCCATAGAAGAGCCTCACAGTGCGTGGGTCTGCTTGGCGCAGCTCGCGGCGCATGCCCTTCAAGCTAGGAGAGAAACAGCCGGCGTTGGTAGATTTGGGTGTGGGGAGAACAGGAGTCGCTGCTGGAGTGGGGCCGGAATGGGTGAGGTAGCCAGGGAACGGGGTGGGGAAGGTCGCGACACTGCTGGGGATGCGGAGGCGGCGTTCTTGGAGGGGGCAATGATGTGGGTGTTGCCCACGAAGCAGGCTGCACACGGGTGGCGGGGAGGAGGGGTGTGTCGGCCTAGGTGCAGTGAAAGCCTCGGAGGAAGGGCTTACCATTCTTCCCACACCACACCCAGGGTTTGCCCTCCTTATCGTCCCTGCCATTCCGTCTAGGCACCACAGGTACTGCAGAAGCCCTCCGGATAAACGAGAGGTGCGCAAATCTGTCGGAGAGAACTGAGGTGCATGATCTGCGAACAGAATGAGATCAGTTGGAAAGGAGGACTAAACCACCACTATACCTGAAAAGCATTGCGATATTACATGTCAGAGGTTGGAATGGGATTCAGAAGGTGGAGAGGTTGTCGTGGAGAACGAGATGTAGATGAGGAAAGATAACTTGTAGATGATCGCTCTCGATCATCTACAAGCGCCCATGCCGTCTCCGTGACAGCACTGCTGCTCCGCTGGCGCGCCTGCGCTTGCCTTCCTTCCGCACACCGACTTCCACACCCTCGTTATCATTACCACACGCTCCCTCAAATAATGTTTTCTTCATCTCCATCTCCTCCCGACCACCATGATCCCGACTTCAATGCATTTTTCCAACAGCCGACCTCGGCTAATGCCGGGCATTTTTCCACTCCAACCGGCAGTTCTGGGTTCTCGACACCCACCCACAGGTCCCACCCAAGTGAGCACGAGTTCGAGCTTTGTGCAGGTTGGTCTCTGACACACATGATTATTAGGATTCTCGTCTGGCACCATCCCGCATCTGTCTTACACGGATTCTGGGGGGCAATACATGTAAGTTGCCTTGACTAAACTCCGGCGTTCGTACATCTATGTTTACGGCAGAGAACAGTTCTCGTGCATTTCTCTTGCAACCCACGACATGCTTCTCGCCAGCAAAAACACGGCATATACGTGTCTTCATGCCGACGCCGAAGTCGCATCAGTACTTCTTGCGAACGTCTAAAGTGTCTAAAACGTCTAAATTTTAGACAGAATTTAGTTAGACATGTTAGAACATTTTAGATGTTTTAGACATTTTAGACCAGTTAGATATCTAGAGCAACATGAATTGGCAAGAATAGATAAGAACAGTAGTTGACAGATATAGACTACTTTAACAACTCAAAGCTATGGTAATCTATATAACAGTTAACATAGAATGACTTAAAGCTACGTAACATTTGTCTATAGTCCCAGCCCTTTTTCAGTGTTCTAGTACCAAAGTAAGGAATCAGATGGCATGAACGAACTATAGAGTCAAGTGGAATAATGTCAATGGCCTGTTGGTTGTTCACCTTTTCAGGCTTAACCACCCACATGCCAGTTAGAGCATCTATAGTATCTAGAGCTAAATTAAACCACTCTACAAGAGCACATTCAAATAGCTCGTGCCCAACAGTAAATGAGAAGAGCTCACAAAGTCTTGCCACAACCATGCCACCCATCACATCATCTGCATCTCTAACCTGCACTAGAACAGTATCATATCTAGGCCCCTTGTTTTGCCAATCTGCACTACACCGAATCATCTCTGAATACATGCCACCTGGAAGGCTTAGCTCACTAGGAGCAAAGTAGGTGGCATGTGCACAGGAATAGAGTGACATCCGGGTGTCAACATCTATCCATGGACAATCCTCAAGAGGAACCACCTCATCCAGATCATCAATGCCCTCAAACGTTTGAGCACGTACAAACCGACGGACTCGAGCATAGAAGTCTGGGACCCCTAACCTCTCGCCTAGTTTAGTAAGGCGTGCACGTGAGACTGAATAATCCATTGAGTTGGGAATCAAGTTAAATCCAAAAGGCACATACTTGGACGTGCAGGAAATGTGACTTCTGCAGAGGCATCTACTAGACGCAGAGGTGGTGGGTCACGTGGAGGGTAAGGAGGAAGTCTTCCAACCTAATGATAACTAGTGAGTGTAGTCGAATGCAATCTTACAACTGACATACCTCACGCATTGCCCAGTCAGTGATTTCACCCTCGAGAAGGCCAGAAGATCCAAGAGCAGCCCGTAGAGCATTAAGCTTACTGAGGCGCACATTACGTTGCAGCATCTGTGGCAAAGCATCATTGCGGTTGGATGCTCGCCATGGACGCTTGACTGCCTCAATGTGCTTTGACTCCGTAATGGAAGTACTTAGCCCATTGAGAGAGCCAAAGCGTTCAATTGCCTCGCAGTAGTGCTCCAAGGCGTGTTGCCGAGGCAGGAAAATGTGCATCCGCACGCCCGCATCGATAAACACTGTCCGACGGATGCAAAACTCCTCGAGCAAGGCCTCCATGCGATCAATGGTGACAGAGGTGTGCACTGACAGGCGAGCAAGATATGCAAAGTCTAAAAAGACTCGCACACACTCAATCACATCATCAGGTACAACCCCGACCAGCGCAGGTAACAGCACCTATGACAAGAGTGAGCATGAGAGAACACAAGATACCATGTGCACTTACCTTCATAAGTGCCTTTGAGTCATCTCCTGTCCACTGAGTGAAGTTCCGTCCTTGAGGCAACCTGCGCAAGCCAGAGAAACTCGGCACAGCAGCAAGTCTGTACATGTATGAGCTAACAGTCTCTATATATATAGAAAACTTACCGTCGGTCTAAGCCATCAAGCTTTCGCTTGGCTTCTGTCTCCGAGTCAGAGGTCAACACAATGTAGTCCTCAATCCAGGCAACCAAGTGATCCTTGGATGTTCCCTTGACAAGCTGATGCAGCAAGTCTGGGGTAAGGAGCTCATGGATATCGGCACGAGGAAACGAGTATGTGAACGGCTACACAGTGGTAGTTAGCATTAGCATAACGGGGTCACAAGTGAACTCACTGATATGTCTTGCAGGAGACCGAACACATCCCAGAGGGTTCCTGGATCAAACACATCTTGCAAGTGCTCAGTGAGATCTCGAAAGCGAGGTAAACCTTTATTGTCAAGCTCATCTGGGAAGGCTAAGCACCTGATCGGGGCAGACTCGTGTGAACAAGTGAACTGAATGCGCAAAGGGTGTGACTCACTTTGGACACCAGCCTTGTACTATACCACATACATCTACTTGCTCGGGGTAATCAGCCAAAAAAGGCCCAAGCTCAAAGATCGCCTGTCGCCAATGTTGGTCGGGACACTGCAAGAGCATCGGCTCATGCATGTGAGGTCGAAGTGGGGAAAGGATATGTGTGATGATAGTATGGTAAACCTGTTTGCGGAACAAGCGGAACTCTTTGTCGTTCATATCTTCTCGTGACCCTGGTACACAGAGCGTAAGCATTGGCAATGAGAGTGGACACACCATATACCTTTGATGATGGGTAGGAAAGCTAGAACAGTCACCGCATCGGAGTGCGAGCAGCGCACGTCATTGTGAATGTTCCCGAGACTTGTATAGAGCGGGTAGTAGGCTCGGTTGCCAGTACCGACAGAAACGGTCGTCTTATCGGCACCTAGCAGGACCGGCGTCAGCATGGCTCCCTGCGGCTCGAGAGTCTCCGGATCCACGACTATCTTATCCTAGTCACAATGTGAGCGCACATAAACGGCCACGATGGAGGAACGTACTGCCTGGTCCCATGCCCATTGACCGGTCATGAGATTTGAGTATTCTCGTAGACCATCTGCATTGAACACCGCCGTCGGGGTGTTGTCCCAGTGCCCGTTGAGCTCTGGATTTGCTGCCATCCCGCGAACCGTCTCAATGATATCTCGGTGATGCCCGACGTGGGCTTCACGCTTCCATTGTGGACTGTTCTCATCGACTGGACCTGCCCAGCGGACCGAGACGGTGATGAAGGGAACATCGCCAATGGTGATCTGATCAATTGTGGTGACAAGGTCTTCGTATGACTTGAAGAGCGGGTCGACATCATGTCCTTGCAGAATGTTCCGTGCACGGATGTCACGGAGGATGTCGTTGATGTCGGCCTCGGACCCCTGCATTTTCGCGTAGGTGTTGTATGCGAAATCAAAGGCCGGGCGGTCTGAAAACGGCGCGGTATCGGGATACATAGGTGGCGGAGGCGGTGGAGCATTCCCCTCGAGTGGGACACCGTTTTGGTCACATGGTTGGCCTGAGTAGGTGTTATTAGCGGCAAGAGAGGTGATCAAATGGAATCATACCTGAGAGAACAGGGTGTTCGTAAACAGCGTTCAAAGGAGCCGGCGGTTTCGGATGGCGATGATGGCGCCTCCAATGTTCCCAGTATGCACGGCGAGTCGGGAACGTATGCGGACAGTACGTGCACTGGCGGATCATGTTCGAAGAACGTGCGGGCGTCGTAAGGACGGGTGGGGGCTCAGGGGACCGTGCAGGCACAGCAGGACACGGAGGCAGTAGGGAACTGAGGGTAGGAGGAATGGTGAGAAAGGGCAGGTATATCGGCTACGGGGAGCGCACCTATTTCAAGATCGTGCGTGAGCCGTGCAGAGCAGCGTGGCAATGTGCAGCGGGCTCGGGTGGGCAACGGGCTCGGGTGGGCAATGGAAGAACGATGGACGACGACCGATGGGTGCAGACACTATGGGACCGTGTTGGACGACGTGGCGCAGGTGTACACGCGGACGACGCGGTGATGCGGTGGCGTGGTACGTGTGGACGACACGGGTTGGGTGTATAGCGCGGCGGTGTGGGACGGGTGTACAATGCGGAACGGGACAACGTGGTGGCGTGGGACGGTTAGAAGGTGCACTACGATTTGATAGTGAAAGCGTACAGGACGGCACAAGGTGGTTGAACGGCACAGGACGGTTGAACGGCGCGGTGCGGTTGTTCACACGAACATTCGCTTGGGCTGATGCTGATGGTGGTTTACGAAAGGTTGTGGATGGGCTGATAGGGAGCGGCGGAAGGTCAGACATGGGAACACGACATAGCGGAACAAGCACACACCTGGAGCGCAGTTGAGGGGGTGGGACACGTGGATGGCCGGGTGGCGGGGCGCTGTTTGATGAAGTGGCGGCGGGTGCGGTTGGACAACACGTGCAGCGGGACGGCGTAGTGAGGCGTGGCTAAACAGCACAACAAGGTCGGATGGGATGGAGGATAAGGGGACTACCAGGCGAATAGGGTCTCCTGTGGGCGATTGGTAGGTGGTCGTCCTTCAAGTAGGCACGAGAGAGGTGTCTCAGACGATAGGCAGTGAGAGGAGAGACGGCGGAGAACGAGGCAAAGTGGGAGTTAGACACCAGATGCACGGCTTACACGCGCCTCCGACGTCTGAGGCGCCCCGGAACTCTCTCACCGCCCACTGCCAGCGGGTCAGTCGAAGCATGCGCCGGCGCGCCGCCTTATCTCCATCCGACAACAACAACCCTGTTGTGGAACGGACTCTGGACTTGCCCTATGTATTATTTTTCGCCATTTCTCTGCCTTTTCTCTACCTGTTACTATATTGGAAGGTCGTTCCCGCGCTTAAGCGCCCGTGTCGCGCCCTCACTTAGCACTTGCACTTCGTATCCTAGCCCTCATCTCGACCTCCTGGTCTTTGTGGGCTAGGTGAGTATCTCGATTGCCTGTATGTATGTAGAGCTATTTTAACCTGGTCTTTGTGGGCTAGACATCCCTTGCGTGACTCTAGTTTGCGTTTGCTTTGCGCCTAGTGCCAGCGACGCCTCTGCACCACCACATCGAGGTCATTCAACCTCTATCCATACCCATCCACACCTCCCTCTCCTCCGATTGGCGTTCGCGGCCCGCTCCCGCGTCAAAGGAGTTCCTCCGCATGACGATCAGACATGACGGCCGCAAGATCCATCTGGATCAATGCGCCTACCTCAAATCCGTCCTTGAGCGCTGCAAGATGGTAAACGCAAAATCCAAGCCCACACCTCTACCGGCTGGGTACATTCCTGAACCCAACGACCAGCCTGTGAACCTCGAGCGTCGCGCTGAGTTCCAAATGGTCATCGGATCACTTCTATACCTCATGCTCGGCACGCGCCCAGACATCTCGTTCGCAGTTACCAAGCTAGCGCAATACGCCGCTAACCCATCTGAAGATCACCTGACCAAGGCCAAGTACATCTGCCGTTACCTTGTCGGCACTCAATCGTACTCTATGGTCTACGACGGCGACTCGGGGCTTGGCATGGTTGCTTTTGTCGACTCCGACTGGGGCACTGATCCTACAACTCGCCGCTCTCAAACTGGATACCTCGTCAAGATGGCTAACGCCGCCTTCTCCTGGCAGTCACGTGCGCAGAACACTGTCTCGCACTCTGTCACCGAGTCCGAGTATATGGCTGTAGACGACACTGGACGTCAAATCGTCTATTCGCGCAATGTCCTCGAGAAGATCTATTACTTCCTCGAGCCTGTACCACTTTCTAGCGATAATCAGGGTGCTATCTTCCTCGCCTCGAACCCAGTCACTGAGAAGCGCACCAAGCACATCGACATTTGCTATCATTATATACGCGAGATCGTCGAGGCGAAGATAACCCCACCGACCTCTTCACCAAGAACCTGGGGCCTGACAAGTTCCTTAAGTTCCGCCCTCTTCTAGGGCTTGTATTCCACCCTTAGGCCTCTCACGCCGGGGCGACCATTTTTATGGCGGCCCAAAAAGACTGAGAAAAACGCTACCACATAAAGAAAAGAAAATGTTTGCCTTTCTCTGGGCCCAAAAATTGTCCCAGAAACTTCGTTCTTTTTTTATTTTTATTCTTGCCTTTCTGTTAGTCTTTCTGTGACCTCCACTTTCCTTTTTTTGTGGGCCGCAAAAAAAAATTTATTGGCGGCTTTATTTTACTAATTATTCCCCCATGGATTTTCTTTTTTTTGGATCAACCATAGAAATAGCATTTCTAGGACTCGTCTCCCGCCCATCCCCCCGCCCGTCTCCCGCCCGTCTCCTGCCCGTCTCCCACCCATCTCCTGCCCGTCTCCCGCCTGTCTCCTGCCCTTTGCCCACTCGCCGTCCATTGGTCGCCCGATCGTCAGGAAGACACCATTTATTGGTAATTAGTGAGCGGGCAACACGTCTGCATAAATCTCAAGAACTCAAGCCACCGCCAGGTAACGGGAGCTCGGGCTACCATCCGCTCACAATCGCAGGATGTCCATCGCGCGCTCGATCGAGACAAGGTCAAGGTCGATTTTGACTGCCACGCACCCGGAGCGTGGCAACCTCGGCTTTTGTTTACCGCGCGTCGCCGGGGGTCACTCAGAAACCACTGTTCATGTCTCCCTCCGTGCCACACCGGTCGTTTATAATAAGCTAATAAGCAGTCCTTCAACGGTTGCACTTGGTATGCCGGCTTCGGCGCCGCGCGGCTCAGCCCCGTATGTCCCGGGTCTGCGGGACGGCGATCCAGGACGGCGATCCAGTGTGCTACAACCTGTAGTTGTCGAATACAAATCCGGATTTGCTGTATATTACGAGTGACGAGTGCGACAGGTCGCAACACGCTCGCGGCAGAGGTAGTACCTTGGACACGTCAGCCAAAGTGCAGAGAATCTCATGTTACGCACGCACCTCACGAAGTTCGATGTCCGAGCATGATTACTTCGTGGATTGTGGGGCGGGTGCGGATTCGTGCGTGGATGAGGAAGGAAAGCGCTGATACGCATGCTGCGCGGTCAAACACAAAACAACGGTCGCCGTTCGAGTCGAGGCTTGATGTCCGTGATCCCGGTGACGTCTGAGAACTCCGCCCATTCGACTGCCTTGTAGCGGACGACGGCGGAGATCGCGCGTTCGAGCGACCGCACGCCGGCTTCGCGAGTGTAATGTGTCGCGATGTGCAGGAGCGCAGAGTCGGTGAGGGTGATGTGCTCGGGGGTGAGGCCGTTGGCCTTGAGCTGCTTGGGCGGGAGGAACTTCCGTGCGATGTGAATCTTCTCATCGTAGGTGTAGCCTAGAGTGAGGTCTCACGTCAACAGCCGGGACAATCGTGAGAAGGGGTGCGACTTACGTAGTTACGGATGACGCCATGCTCAACGCTCCCGGAGATGGATGCCTGCTTGATGAACAGCTCTGTTGCGCGACGGAGACGTTGGTCAGGGCCAGCAGCGGCGAGGTAAGCTGGGGAGAGAACGCGTCAGAAATCCCGTACGCTGCTACCCTGGCCAGAGGATTAGACACAGGTTTCCATGTTTCAGGACTTTAGCGGGGGTGGCAACACAAACACCGGCCGGTGCTCGCTAATCTCGCAGAGCAGGGTCGAAGTCAATGTAGAGTGAGAAGAGAGAACCCACCGAGTTTGTCGTCGTACTCGACCTTGTTGATGCCAGCGACGATGACGTCCGCCATCCATGGTGTCTTGTCGTCTGAGACCTCCTCGATCATATGTGATATATTGAGATACACATCCCGACGGGATTGCTGGTTTGCGTCTTGTGTGATGTAGTCGAGGAGCTTGGAAGCCGCAGACTTGAAAGGACCAATTGCCTCGTGCGAGGGACAACCATCCTGGGCAGGGAAATCGACGACGAGCTCCAGGAGCTCGTTCGGCCCGACTCCAACTGGTGTGGGGTCGAGGTCTGGCAAGTGGATCCTCGAGAGGCCTCGGAGTGTGACATGGTAGAACCGTTGGGGACCTCTCGAAACGAGACGGACGACACAGACGACGCGAGCCCCAGGAGTGGAGGGAGTTGGAGGTGGAGATGGGGACTGTGCCGACGGTGTGTTGCGGGGCGGGGTCGTCGTCTAGGTCCCACCCCGGTCGGGCGAGTCGTCGGTCGGTTGGTCGGTTGGTCGGTTGGTCGGTTGGTCGGTTGGTCGGTCGACGGTTCAGGATCTGGGTTGCCCGTCGATGCTCGTTCAATATACCCGCCCAAGAAACAACGTACCTGTACACCGTCCGTTTTTCGCCATCCGCTCTTGCCCGTCCGTCGTCCGTCGTCCGTCGTCCGTCGTCGTCTGTCGTCGGAGTCTGCCGCCATCTCCGACTGTCTCCCGACACCCTCTTGTCGTCCGTCGTCCTGCGGTCTTGAGGCAGCCCAAGATGGCATATGGCAGAGGGGCCGCAGGGGCAGCCCTCGCCGCCATCATCCGGGGGCCCCGCCGATGGACGGAGCCCTACGCTCAAGGAGCTCTCAGGTGGGGGCGAGCCTCCGTACCGTCAGCACTCCGAGCACCGGTGGGAGGTCAGGATATGACCGTCGCTCCCGGGGCGTCTTCCAAGAACATCGAAGGGCGGGGCGAGCGTGCATGAGAATAGTGTAGGAGGTGGGGCAGGGATTCGCGGGCACACGCGCAGTGTCTACTCAGAGTCAGCGGGACCACAATGGAAAGAGGTGGGAATCAGTGCGCACCTCGACAAGTCCAACAACGTATCCAGAGCCACAATTTCTCCGCGAGAGGACCGGCGACGATGTTGGGTTGGCGGTGGGTGGGCAGAGGCTGGGGGAAGGTGTCAGCGCGCAGACGGGGGCGGGAGGTGCGCAGACCTTCAACGAGACTGGCGGACGTGGGGCGGGGGGCAGAAGAGCCTGGCCATGGGGGTTTGTTGAGAAGGAAGGCAGGGGACGAGGACGAGCACCGGGACGCGGGCGGGCCAGCGGGTCGCGCTGAACCGTGCGGCGCGGGATCTCCGGCGCTCCCGCTCTCGTGTGGTCGCGTCGGATCCGTCCCTCCTCCCCTCCCGAAGCTCGCTGCCTGCGCTCCTCGCTCGCCCGCTGCCTGCGCTCCTCGCTCGCTGCTTGCTCTCCTCGCTCGCTCGCTACCTGCTCGCGCCTGCCCTCGCCAACTGCCTTTGCCCGCGGCCCGCACTCCTGCTGCCATTCGCGCCGTCTTCGCGGCGTCCCGTCGTCCCCTGCCAGGTCCTTACCAAGCGACCGCGCTATCGAGCGGTGAGCCACCTCGTTGGGCTCAGCACAAGCGCGAACGCTCAGGCTTCAACAGCCACGGACATTCCTTCGAGAGTGCGGAGTGGTTTCCCGCTCGACCCTCCAACGCTCCTGGCAAAGTCTCGGCTTCGAACATTTTCCACACCCATGTCGTTGCAAGATGCACCGTGTGCACTCAAGGGAGCCTATCGTGCCCTGTCTATGTGCATGGACTGCTACCGTATTTTTCCCGATCTTCGTAAGCCAGGGAAGCTCAAGAAGACGTCCAATCAACACAAGCTGGAACTCGACCTGCGCGATTCTTGTCGGTTCATGAGTTCGTTCTCATCCTTCGAATTCCAGTTTGGTGAATATTAAGTCCCAGACAGATATCCGGAGTATCACCGACAGAGAACCGTCATTCCACGACCATGATCGTGCATCTTCTCCCACAGGCGAGCGGGCTAACTATCGAAGAGTGTTCAATCGGAAATTGGACCAGGCGACATATGATACAGACATTGTAAGTACCAATTCACTCACCACTTCGCACCCTCTGAATTCCACGTGGCTCTCCCGGTTTTTGTGGCAGGGAGTTGCTGCCAAGTATCTGCTCCCACTTCTGACCCAAGAGCGAGAACACATCTTCAACACCCAAGTGTTGTTCCGCAAGCCCGCTGTCCACCACAGGGCCACTTGCGGTATGCTTGATTTTGTAAGCTTGGGAGTTAACTTTGATGGCTAATTGGTGGATAGATGGGTGTGCTGGTGACATTCTGACTCGCGCTTGGTTCTGTATCATATGTGGCGCCGAGCTTTGTGGATATTGCTTTGAAGTGTTGGCACACACATCTGGAGATGTAAGTCAGCACGTTCTCAGTATGCGGTTCGCTTTTTTCTGAGCTCAGGTTAAGTTTTTAGATGCGAAGCTATGTACTAGCGAAGGTCTTCCAGCACACACTCAATCCACATTTCGTCCTATGACGCGATTCTCAGTGGCAGACCTAGACGGCATCATTCTTGCTATGAACCAGATTGTTGAGGCAACGTGAGTCCGTTGTCTATGTTCCTAGCAAGGCTTAATGAGCCCATTTTAGCTCTGATCGGAACACCTGTTCACAACCGGGACGAGCTCTCGGTGCACCTCTACACGTTCCCACATTCGAGGATGAAAGGCTTGATTCTCCTCTGTTTCTTGCAGCGTGGGGTCGCAACATCCCGGTGGTTGTCAAGGGCCTTGCCAATATTCAGGGCTCTTGGCATCCGGATGTGTTCATCACAGAATGCGGCAGCGATCAAGTCACACCCGTCGACTGTATCACGAACTCTGAAGTAGAGCACCCTTGCACGATCGCAGAGTACTTTCATGCTTTCAAAGAAGGTTGGTTTGAGAGCCCACGGAAACTCAAGGTTTGCTCCGTTTGTATGTTGCATGACCTAACATATTGACATTTTGATAGGATTGGCCTCCAGCAGAGTATTTCCGCAGCAAGCTTCCTCAATTTCACGAGAGCTTTGTCGGTGCACTCCCTCGAGGCGCCCAAGATGTTGCTTTGCCGTCTGGTGTGCAAAATCTTGCCACATTTTACCCTTTGAATGGAAACACGCCAGATCTAGGTCCGTCCGAGTGTTTATATGTTTTTTTCGGAGCTGATCCTATCTACAGGCCCTAAACTGTATATCGCAACTGGTGATCCCAGCAACTCTCACGGAACGACGAAGTTACACCTAGATGTGACTGATGCAGTCAACATCCTCACATACGCCCCCGAACCCTCTAAACCCGCAGCAGTTTGGCACCTCTTCCCTCCAGAGTCTCTTGCCAGTCTTCGACAGTACCTGCTAATTATCAGTCAATGGTCAGAAGCAGATGGAGACCCCATTCATTCTCAGCAGATTTATGTCACAGAGGATATGTGCACGGTCCTGAAATTGCAGTACAATGTCCATGTGGTCAGGATTGAGCAGTATCTCTCTGATGCTGTTTTCATCCCAGCCGGATGGGCTCACCAGGTACGCCATTTGTTCTTCTTTGCGCGTCAGCCTCACCTTCTCAACATCGGCAGGTCCTTAATGTCCAGAATGCTATCAAGATCGCTTGCGACTTTGTATCTGTGCAAAACCTCAGCGTGACCGCAAGCCTCATGTCTAAACAACGTGAGCATCGCATCAAGACTAATGGACACGGTGAAGATATCTTGCAGCTCGATACACTTATGTAGAATGTGTGGCAGGCATTGATCGCTTTTCCTCCATCGTTGTTATCAACTGCAAGGGGTGGAGATGTTGAGAATCAGGTGAGGCCAAGGTCGCAGTTTGGTAGCTGAGAAATTATAGCTAACGCACGTTCTCTTCATTAGCCGCGGGCTCAACATGTATCGGATTTGCAATCCGGTGGCAGTACTAGCATGCAAAGCTCAACAGGCCCGTCACGTCAAAAGGACCGCCAGAGAAGGAGAACTCGGTCGCACAGGAAGAAGACAGTCATTCCAAACACCCACGACTTTGATTGTTTCCATCCTCACTGTGATGGTAGTGGGTTCACTCGGGCGGGTTTGCTCTGCCATCTGTGAGTCAACTCAAGATTTTGCATCTGCTTTTAATCATAGTTTCTTTTGCAGTCATGATCGACATCCGGGTACACTCATACAGGGGAAGAGTACAACACCGCTGACTCGAACGACGTCCTATCCTACAGCGGATCGCTTCCTGTCAGCCTTGGAACACTATGTGCAGCCGCAGTTCCGCGAATCAGTACGCGCACATCCTCGTTGATTGTGAAGTCCATGAACCAATATTGGTAGCACACACTGTATTCTTGATTTTCAAAGTACCGTCAGTTTACCAATTTGTCGAGAAGCCTATGCATTGGGAAGTCTCCACTTACTATAGGCAGCGTTCTTCGTCCTCATGGACCCGCGAGCCTACGAAGGTTTGGAGGGTCGAGCGGGAAACCACTCCGCACTCTCGAAGGAATGTCCGTGGCTGTTGAAGCCTGAGCGTTCGCGCTTGTGCTGAGCCCAACGAGGTGGCTCACCGCTCGATAGCGCGGTCGCTTGGTAAGGACCTGGCAGGGGACGACGGGACGCCGCGAAGACGGCGCGAATGGCAGCAGGAGTGCGGGCCGCGGGCAAAGGCAGTTGGCGAGGGCAGGCGCGAGCAGGTAGCGAGCGAGCGAGGAGAGCAAGCAGCGAGCGAGGAGCGCAGGCAGCGGGCGAGCGAGGAGCGCAGGCAGCGAGCTTCGGGAGGGGAGGAGGGACGGATCCGACGCGACCACACGAGAGCGGGAGCGCCGGAGATCCCGCGCCGCACGGTTCAGCGCGACCCGCTGGCCCGCCCGCGTCCCGGTGCTCGTCCTCGTCCCCTGCCTTCCTTCTCAACAAACCCCCATGGCCAGGCTCTTCTGCCCCCCGCCCCACGTCCGCCAGTCTCGTTGAAGGTCTGCGCACCTCCCGCCCCCGTCTGCGCGCTGACACCTTCCCCCAGCCTCTGCCCACCCACCGCCAACCCAACATCGTCGCCGGTCCTCTCGCGGAGAAATTGTGGCTCTGGATACGTTGTTGGACTTGTCGAGGTGCGCACTGATTCCCACCTCTTTCCATTGTGGTCCCGCTGACTCTGAGTAGACACTGCGCGTGTGCCCGCGAATCCCTGCCCCACCTCCTACACTATTCTCATGCACGCTCGCCCCGCCCTTCGATGTTCTTGGAAGACGCCCCGGGAGCGACGGTCATATCCTGACCTCCCACCGGTGCTCGGAGTGCTGACGGTACGGAGGCTCGCCCCCACCTGAGAGCTCCTTGAGCGTAGGGCTCCGTCCATCGGCGGGGCCCCCGGATGATGGCGGCGAGGGCTGCCCCTGCGGCCCCTCTGCCATATGCCATCTTGGGCTGCCTCAAGACCGCAGGACGACGGACGACAAGAGGGTGTCGGGAGACAGTCGGAGATGGCGGCAGACTCCGACGACAGACGACGACGGACGACGGACGACGGACGACGGACGGGCAAGAGCGGATGGCGAAAAACGGACGGTGTACAGGTACGTTGTTTCTTGGGCGGGTATATTGAACGAGCATCGACGGGCAACCCAGATCCTGAACCGTCGACCGACCAACCGACCAACCGACCAACCGACCAACCGACCAACCGACCGACGACTCGCCCGACCGGGGTGGGACCTAGACGACGACCCCGCCCCGCAACACACCGTCGGCACAGTCCCCATCTCCACCTCCAACTCCCTCCACTCCTGGGGCTCGCGTCGTCTGTGTCGTCCGTCTCGTTTCGAGAGGTCCCCAACGGTTCTACCATGTCACACTCCGAGGCCTCTCGAGGATCCACTTGCCAGACCTCGACCCCACACCAGTTGGAGTCGGGCCGAACGAGCTCCTGGAGCTCGTCGTCGATTTCCCTGCCCAGGATGGTTGTCCCTCGCACGAGGCAATTGGTCCTTTCAAGTCTGCGGCTTCCAAGCTCCTCGACTACATCACACAAGACGCAAACCAGCAATCCCGTCGGGATGTGTATCTCAATATATCACATATGATCGAGGAGGTCTCAGACGACAAGACACCATGGATGGCGGACGTCATCGTCGCTGGCATCAACAAGGTCGAGTACGACGACAAACTCGGTGGGTTCTCTCTTCTCACTCTACATTGACTTCGACCCTGCTCTGCGAGATTAGCGAGCACCGGCCGGTGTTTGTGTTGCCACCCCCGCTAAAGTCCTGAAACATGGAAACCTGTGTCTAATCCTCTGGCCAGGGTAGCAGCGTACGGGATTTCTGACGCGTTCTCTCCCCAGCTTACCTCGCCGCTGCTGGCCCTGACCAACGTCTCCGTCGCGCAACAGAGCTGTTCATCAAGCAGGCATCCATCTCCGGGAGCGTTGAGCATGGCGTCATCCGTAACTACGTAAGTCGCACCCCTTCTCACGATTGTCCCGGCTGTTGACGTGAGACCTCACTCTAGGCTACACCTACGATGAGAAGATTCACATCGCACGGAAGTTCCTCCCGCCCAAGCAGCTCAAGGCCAACGGCCTCACCCCCGAGCACATCACCCTCACCGACTCTGCGCTCCTGCACATCGCGACACATTACACTCGCGAAGCCGGCGTGCGGTCGCTCGAACGCGCGATCTCCGCCGTCGTCCGCTACAAGGCAGTCGAATGGGCGGAGTTCTCAGACGTCACCGGGATCACGGACATCAAGCCTCGACTCGAACGGCGACCGTTGTTTTGTGTTTGACCGCGCAGCATGCGTATCAGCGCTTTCCTTCCTCATCCACGCACGAATCCGCACCCGCCCCACAATCCACGAAGTAATCATGCTCGGACATCGAACTTCGTGAGGTGCGTGCGTAACATGAGATTCTCTGCACTTTGGCTGACGTGTCCAAGGTACTACCTCTGCCGCGAGCGTGTTGCGACCTGTCGCACTCGTCACTCGTAATATACAGCAAATCCGGATTTGTATTCGACAACTACAGGTTGTAGCACACTGGATCGCCGTCCTGGATCGCCGTCCCGCAGACCCGGGACATACGGGGCTGAGCCGCGCGGCGCCGAAGCCGGCATACCAAGTGCAACCGTTGAAGGACTGCTTATTAGCTTATTATAAACGACCGGTGTGGCACGGAGGGAGACATGAACAGTGGTTTCTGAGTGACCCCCGGCGACGCGCGGTAAACAAAAGCCGAGGTTGCCACGCTCCGGGTGCGTGGCAGTCAAAATCGACCTTGACCTTGTCTCGATCGAGCGCGCGATGGACATCCTGCGATTGTGAGCGGATGGTAGCCCGAGCTCCCGTTACCTGGCGGTGGCTTGAGTTCTTGAGATTTATGCAGACGTGTTGCCCGCTCACTAATTACCAATAAATGGTGTCTTCCTGACGATCGGGCGACCAATGGACGGCGAGTGGGCAAAGGGCAGGAGACAGGCGGGAGACGGGCAGGAGATGGGTGGGAGACGGGCAGGAGACGGGCGGGAGACGGGCGGGGGGATGGGCGGGAGACGAGTCCTAGAAATGCTATTTCTATGGTTGATCCAAAAAAAAGAAAATCCATGGGGGAATAATTAGTAAAATAAAGCCGCCAATAAATTTTTTTTTGCGGCCCACAAAAAAAGGAAAGTGGAGGTCACAGAAAGACTAACAGAAAGGCAAGAATAAAAATAAAAAAAGAACGAAGTTTCTGGGACAATTTTTGGGCCCAGAGAAAGGCAAACATTTTCTTTTCTTTATGTGGTAGCGTTTTTCTCAGTCTTTTTGGGCCGCCATAAAAATGGTCGCCCCGGCGTGTCTGTCTTACTTCGCTGATGCGCCTTTATTACGGCTGCTCAGCGAGGGGGGTGTTGAACGCGGTAAGTACACCGCGGACTACGCGTGAGAACGCTTGGCATACTCGGCCGCAGGCCGCCGAGCAGCTCGGCTTACCTAAGAGTGTCTAGCTGTATGACGCGCCCTACGGAACGCCACTGCATGGCATGCACGTCTCCAATTGTGCATCCCCCGTTCCAGAGAGCTATCTCTGGCTACTCTATGATACCGTAGTGTAGCCCCGTTTCTTTGCTCTCGTTTCAGCCTCTCTCGTGTACTGTACAGTAGCACCAGCCACTTGTTCGTACCCTGTATACATACCCGAGTATCCCGGCCTGCTAATACACAGTTCCTTTTACTACTACACTACGTGCGAGACCTCGAACAGGCTCTACTAAGCTACAGGTGACATGTCGCGCCCACTAGCGTGAGGCTACCGTCTCAACAACAGGCGGTGGCTAGCACGGTAGCTACTACACGATTACCCGATAAGTGGCTCGCCCGACGTTACACCTCCAGTGGCGAGCTCCTTGAACAATCTTCGCCGGGCCTTTGCCAACAGAGCCCCTTCGACGACAGGGTCCAGAGACTCGTAAATCACCTCCGTTCCGAGTTCTTTCAGCCGCACCTGCCCTTCCAGAGGGAAACCAACATAAATCAACTTGTCCAGCGGCGCGCGTCGCGCGTGTCGTGCACGCAAAGCCTTCTCCAGAGCGGGATAGTGCGGCCGGAGAAAAAGGTCGAAATTGGTGCAAGAGATTGTACGCAGCGACGGGCACGGGACCGCGTCGTTGTCGCCGGCGGGGGTGAGTGCGTTCCAGAGCGCCTCGGCTGTCCCCTGGTCGCTGTCGAAGGCGAGCCGGGCGAGTCGAGGGAAGGTCTGGAGGGCCTCTGTCCAGCACCGCTCATCGATGTTTGTGGTGATCTTGGATCCTCGGATCTCCACGTCCAAGATCGCGTTGCATCCCAACTCGTAGACGAGCGGAGGACGGCGGAGAGCACGGGCCAGGCCGGCATGTTCTTCTCAGGCAGCGCGGTGACACGGAATTGCGAGTCCGGAGTGCAACCCTGTAGGATGCACTGGGGGTAGCCTGCTTGGGTGAATGTGAGGCTAAGGTCGGTGATGGATGAGAGGGAAGGAATGACGTGGGAAGGGTGTGTTGGGAGGATGTCCCCGAAGAAGTGGCGGAGGTCATGGCCCGGGCTGTATGCGTACTCAATGTCGACCAGTTTAGCATGTGGTACGGTGAAAAGCGCCAGGATGGACGGTGTCTCCCGCCAACCCAATCCCTCCAGGAAGATGTTTTCGAGGTGTGGCAAGACGACGTGCTCGCATTGCTCTATACTGCTGGTCATCCAACCGGGCGAGCGGTACATGCACAACGTCTTGAGTTGAGTCGTGGGACGGAGCAGTTGGAGAAGGTTGGGGATAGGAAGATCCTCGCACACTCCCTCAACAACGGAAAACACGTAGATCCCACTGCCATCCAGTTTCCCACGAGAACCTCAAGTGCCGGGATGTGTTTGGAATCGAAATTTATCAGGGGGTCGACTGGGTTGGACATGAGCGACCTCGAGACAAGCTGCCTCAACTGGGGAAATGTGGCAGAGCTGAGGAAGGTTTGCAAAGACTGAGTCGGGTGGGTTGATGTTCCGATCATGGCGAAGGAGGAGAGGAATGGGGTATGGGGGTGGAGAGCCTTGAGCAGGTAAGAAATGTCCGGAGTAGAGTCGATTGCATGAATGATGACATTGATGCCAACGCCAGTGGAGAAATGGAGACAGAGGTCCATCCAGCCCGCTGCGTAGGCCCCCGGCTGGACGATGATGGTCCTCCAAAAGCTCTTCTCAGAGACGACGGTGAGGTTCCAATGGCGGCATACCATCCATACAGAAACCAAGGGCGAATTCTTCCAGGCCAACGTAGGCGTGTTTCTGACGCTTTCGACAAGGAGGCTGAATGTGGGGGAGGGAGGAGGGACAACGTCTCTGAAGACTCCGAGAAGGATCTCCTGCGGGATAGTGTGGATTGGAGAGGGGGATTCTGCTTGGTTGATCATGGATGGCGGAGAGCGACGTGCGCAGTAACTGAAGGTGTCGCCGACACCGTCTTAAAGCTGACTGGTGACCCCGCAGGCGCACCTCGGAGCAGGGATAAGATAAGGACTCTGCTACCTGCGCCTCTCCCGCCTTTTGTTAGAAGTCGGACGGCTTGGACGGCTTGGACGAGGAATAAGATGCAATCGATACGACGTGGTTGGTCCCTATGGGCACCAGGAGGCGAGTACAGACGGACGCGGGGGAGAACGAGGTGGTGGGGAAGGGCAAACGCGTGAGGCGAGTGCAGGACGAGGGACGGCGGCTATCTACGCGATGACTAAGCGCTGGTACCGTACGACCGAGCTTGCTATGTATGCGCCGTGCGGGCAGATTCCAACACCTTTCTCTCCAGGAAGCCTACATACGTGCCCCAGGGATAAGGGGAGGCGTCTCAAAACTGACGGCGGAGGCGGAGGTACTGAGGCTACGGCAGCGTGCGGCCGCGCGTCGCTCTCGCAGCTGGTGTGCACGGCCGAATCGGCATCGCGCCCGCCGTCTGGCGCTGCGAGAGTATTTCCAGAAAAGAACGTCCTCACGACCGACATCCACAATCGACCTGACTCTGCGACCCACCACCCTCGAAGACAACTGAGGGCGAGCGCGCGAGGAGACCGTCGTTGGTCGGCGTGCATGTCGTGTATCAGCCGACACTCGGTGTACAGAAGCACATCGTGTCGCTCTGTGAACAGGGTTCACATAGAGGACCTTCAATGTAAGATAAAAACGTCTGTAAGCATACAACAACCGGTGTGGTCGAGCGAAGGCCAAATACACAGCGACGAAGCGTCATCACAAGCTGCCTCATCCCCCTCCGGACTCCGCACACCAGAGCCCACCCCGCCAAGGCGCAGCACGCCGACGCACGCACTACGCGCCCTCGCCCTCGCCCTCGCCCGCGCCCGCATAGTACGCGCTCATCACGTCCGTCACCGACACCGCGACCGACACCACCGACCCCACCGTTTCGCGCGCGTCGTCCACCACCTCCGGCTCCGGCTCCCCATAATCGTCCGAGCTCGAACCCGAGCTGGACCGCCACGAGTCCGAGTCGGCCGAGATCGCCTCGAGGAGCATGTCCACCGCGCTCGACGCCATGCTCAGCCGGAGCGGCCCCGCACGCTCCTCCTCGTCCCCGTACTCGTCTTCGTCATCATCTTCGTCTTCGTCCTGCCCCGCCGCACCATCACAGCGAGCGCCGTCGGCGAACGGGGACTCCCATCGTCCTCGGCAACCAGAGGCGGCGGCGGCGGCGGAGGAGGAGGAGGAGGAGGAGGAGGAGGAGGAGGACCAAGGGAAGGAGGCGGAATCGAAGTTGGAGGCCGCAGCGGAGGCGGAGCACGCGCACGCGACGGCGGCGGCCTCCCCAACACAACCGCTCGCCCGACCAGTGCGAGCGCGCGACGTCCGCCCCGCCGTCGAAGCCGACGGGCCCCGCGGCGACGGCGAGGGGCACCTGCAGCGACCCCGCGCGCACCGCGTGCGCGTGCGCGTCTGCGAACGGGTCGCCCTCCGCCGAACCGCACGCCGGCGGCGCCGGGGTCCGCGGCGAGCTGATCACGATCGCCGGGACGGGGGGCGGGTCCGCGACAGCGGCGACGGCGCGGACGATCAGGGGGTCCGTCTGTCCGTGCGCGAAGACGTCCGACGTGAGCGTAGAGCGCAGCGCGGCCGCGAACCCGCACGCACCTGGGCGTCGCGCCTGCCCGCGAGCGCGTCGAGCATCTTGCGGAAGCGCGAGCGGTGCGGGCGCGCGGCGGGGAGGAGGGCGAGCGTGGGGACCGAGTGGGACCAGCGCGGCTCGCAGCGGGAGTCAGCCGCGTTGGCCTTCTCGGGGTCCGCGTCCGCGGACCGGGGTGACGGCGCACGAGGACGCGGTGGGTGATGGCGTAGGAGAGCCAGAAGACGAATAGGAGGACGAAAAAGAGGAGAACCTGTAGCGCGGGGTGCGCGAGGAGCGCTGAGGGGGCAGCGTACACCGGTGGAGAGGCCATGAGGGCGAGAGACGACGGAAGGGTGTGAAGAAGAGGCTCAAGAGTACGGGTGACAACGGACACAAAGACGACTCTTGTGGCCAACCTCGAGCCCGAGAAAACCGAGGATAGCCGCCATGCAAGCCGCCTGCAGGCTCGACATCGAGGGCCAGCCATCGAAGTCGAGTCTGCATCCCAGCCGCACTCGGAACCCAACATTGGGGTTCCAATTCGGTCAGCATTGCAAGTCCCACTCGGTGACCTTAGAAGAAGTGCAACACACGAAAAAAGAACCGCACTCTATCCAGCACCAGTATTCCAGCGTTTGAGATGGCAAGACGATAAGCTCCCTGATAGAAGAATTTATTGACAGTAGCTGTAGTCTATTTTTGCACCTAGAGACCGAGCTCGTCCGAGTAGGGGAGAGACGCGATGTCGCCACAGCACGAACGTCGGCTTGCTCTTGAGCAGCGCAGAGGCGACCTGCGAGACACGGAATACATATCAGTGTATGCCCAGCAACTGCAGAGTGACGGCGAAGCAGGGGGAGTAGAGCGGGGGAAACAGAAAACGAGACGCACCTGCGAGTACCCAGACGCGGTGACCTTGTCAAGCTCGCAACAGCCTCAGCAACAGTCGCAGGGGAACCGAAAGAATCTGCACCAAAACCTACTCAATACACGAAGTTAATAGACAAAAAACACGCACCTTCGGCGCAACGGCAGCCACGAGTCCGTCCCGGTGGTCGAACGAGCTCGCCGCCGCGAACTTGGCCTTCGCGACCGCCTTCTGCAGCTCCTCCGCGCCGAGCGACCCGCGGCCTTGAGCGCCGCGACGGCGGCCGCGCCGCGGCTTGACGTCCGCGCCCGTCGCGCCCTGCACGAGCACCCCGAAGAGCGTCGCGTCCGTGTACGGGAGGAGGACGGTGCGGACGGACGCCGTCGGGTCACCGCCGCCGCGAGCGGCGACGTCCCCTTCGTCCACTTCACCGCCGGGCTCGGGTCGAGGTGCGCCGCGAGCACGGCGAGCTCCGGCGCGGACGCGCCCTGCGCGCCGAAGCCGATGAACACCGTCTGGGTCCGTCGGCTGTGAGGCGGGACTCCCCGCCAAAGTACTTCGAGGCGCCGCGGACGAGGTGGCAGAAGAGGCGGCTGGGGAGAGCTTCCCGAGGGACTTAGTGAGGAGTGCTCGAGGAGGCCGGGGTCGATGCCAGAGCCGACGACGGCGACGTTGCCGGCGGTGAACGCGGAGGCGGCGAACGCCTGGACGTCCTCGGCGGAGACGTGGGTGTGCGCGGGGCCGAAGAGCGAGTTCCCGAGGCCGGCGCGGAAGGCGAGCGCGTGGGCGAGCTCGAGCGCACGCGTCGCCGGGTCGGCGAGGCGGCGGCGGTCTCGGCCTCGCACGTTGGTGCGACCCACTCGAGAGCTCGTAGCGGGTGAGCTTGGGCGAGGCGAGGAAGGATGCGAGGACGTCGACGAAGAACCCCTGGCGGGGAGGGAGGAAGAGGCGGGGTGGGTACAGACGCATGACGCATGACATGGCACGGGCTACTCACTCGTCGCCGCGCAAAAAGTCGGCCGTGATGGCGAGGTGCTCCCTCGAGAGGCTCGATGAGAGGACGCCGCCGTAGAGCTCGGCCTCACGGATCGTGCCCAACGTCGAACGCTTGTCGGTGCTCTGCGCATACACACGTGCACCCGGTGAGCAGCGGCAGAGGAAAACGCAGCGGGAGCCGCACCTTGAACGCGTAGTTTTTCAGGACGTGCGCCAGGCCGGGCTTGGTCTCGTACCGGCTGCCGGCCTTGACGAGGAGGGTGACGGACGAGGTAGGCTCGCCGTTGTCGGCCGCGGCGACCTTGAGCCCGGACGACTCGACGACGGTGGCGAACTTGCGGGGGCCCGCGGGGCGGACGAGGCGGGACGCGGCGCGCGCGGCCGACGCTCTGGCTGCCAGCATGGGGGGTAGGACGGGGATGGGTGGGTGGGGGAAGAGGGCGACGGCGGCGACGGGCGCGGCGGAGTCGTCCAGCTCGTCCGGCGCCTCTGCCTTCCCGGCTCCTGCCGACCCCCGCCAATAGACGCTCTTCGATTTATGCCAATGCCGTGCCCGCCCAGGCGCCCGGGCTTCGCGAGTTCGAGCCTCGACGGCCGCGCTTCTGCTCCCACATCGTCCCCGACGCCAAATCATAAAGCTGAGCTTCGCGGCAAGAGGCAGATTCGGTAAGCTGCTGTCGATCTGGGTGAGCTCTATTGTCCGGCGGGCGTGTGTTCTGACATCATTTTCACACAGCGGGTTTTGCATGGGCATAGGCATAGGCATGTATTCATAGGGCATAGACACGGAGCATGGGGGCATATCGGGTACCGACACGACAGAACAACGTACAGGACAGCAATCGACAGCGGGTTTTACAACATTTTCAGCTTCAGAGCGCGAAATCAAGCTCGACGAACGCAAAACAAACGACAGCAAGTCCGACACCACCTACGGCATCCTGCGCGCGTACGCGACCGTGAGCGTCGCGACCATCCCGTCCACCGTCCACATCTCCTCGATGTAGCCCTGGACGAGTTCGTCGACGCGCGCCGCGAACCGGCCCTGCGCGAGCATCTCCCGCATCCCGCGCGCGTACTCCGCCGCGAGCTCCCGGTACCGCCGCCCGAGCTCGCGCTGCGCCGGGTCCGGGTGCCAGTCGCCGACGGGGACGGTGCAGTGCTCGCGGCCGACGTCCGCGAACCGGCGCGAGTCCTGGAGGACGCCGGGGATCGCGTGCGCGAGCGTGTGCAGACCGCGCGCGCGGAGCGCCTCGTTCACGGCGGCGACGAACGCGTGCGTGCGCGGTGCGCGCGCGGCGAGGTCGCCGTCGTCCGCGAGCGTCGGGGACCGCGCCCACTCGGCGGAGATGAAGAGGCCGCCGGGGCGGAGGACGCGCGCGGCCTCGGCGACGAGCGCGTCGTAGTGGCGCACCTGCCAATCGAGCGGGGTCAACGAGACGGACGGGCCCCAGGGCAGACGGACGGGGTGCTCACGGCGAGGGTGACGGAGCGGGCGTGGACGAGGTCGATGGACGCGGTGGCGTAGCGCGAGCGCTGGGTGATGTCGTGGATCTCGAACATCACGTTCGCGGGCGGGTAGCGGGTCGCGATTGGCACTGGGGGCACGGCATCGGGTTAGATCGCGCATGGACGGAAGCAGGGCGAGAGACCTATGTCAACGCCGTAGAAGCGGGCGTGCGGGAAGCGCTGGGCCATATCGAGCGTCCTGCGGTGGGAATGTCAGCTCTAGGGCGGACGTGGGAGCGGCATGGACGGACCATTGGCCGGTGCCGGTGCCAAGGTCGAGGACGCGGGGCTGCTCGCCAGGGGCAAAGGCGAGGAGCTGATGCACCAGCTGGACAACGGGGCCGCCGACGAGCCTGCGGACGAGCTCGTGGAGCCCTTTTTGTCGCTGGGAAGAAGAGGGTGAGTATGCGGGGGACGGGTGCGGGGGAGACGCGGGGACCGAGAGCCGGGCGCACCTGCTGCTCGTCCGCATCCACGGGCAACGGATACGGACAGTTACCATAAGAATGGAAGAGCCTTCCCCCCCGCTCGAGGAAGTAGCCGGGAATCTCGTTGGCGGGGACCTCGACGACGTCGGTCTCATCGATGCACACGTCGTCTTCGTCGTCAGAGGAGCTGGGGTGGTGGGTGTGGTTGTAGGAGGAGGGATCAGAGTCGGAGTCGTCCGAGGGCGGGGGGAGGAACTGGCGGGCCATGGCGGACGGATCCGGACACGGCGGGCGGGCGAGAAGGGCGGGAGACGGGGACGGAGGAGGGGGACGGTTGCGGGAGTTCATATATGTCGAATCGCAACTCCGACACCGCGCCAACAGCGACGTGAACTCAGCGGCGGGCAGCCAGGGCGGGGGAGCGCGAGTCGGCACGCGTGGACGAGCGGTTGGAAAAGGCGCGGTGGGTCCGAGCGGCCGAGACGGGGCGGAGGGAGCGGGAGCGGGGACGGAAGAAGGGCGATCGGGGGCAGGGTTGGTTAACGGAGACGGACGCGGACTGCGGTGGACTGGGACGGGACGCTGGGAGAGGCTCTGGACAGCGGGGCGGCTGGCGGGAGCGGGGGAGGTGTGCGGGAGCGACCGCGGTTTTGGGTCGCGGCGGGCGGCAAGTGGTTCTGGCGGGGAGATCGTTGCGGCCGAGTCAGATGATACGCGACCCGAAGTTCGTTCGTCGCCCTCTGCGCCCACTCGACGCGCGGAAGCAAATCTGAGGTGACCAACCCCGCTTAGCTCATCCTCTGCCCCACGCGCGCCCATCATCCTCTCACTTATCCTGGCCATCTCGCCCCAAAACGCCATCGATCCCCCTCCCCGCGCACGCCAACGGCCTCGAGCCACTGTACGGGCGACGGGCGCCGTGCGCGCGGGCAACGAGCGACGGCCACCCTCGCGCAAGGAGGCACGCGGCTCGCGCGTGGTGCGTAGCGCGGGCCCGGGCTGCCGTACTGCACCAGCACGCACGTTTTCGAGGGCGCGCGCGCGGCCGCTCCCTCCTTCTCAGCGCCACAGGCCTGGCAACGGACAACGCGCGCGCGAGAGGACAGGCACGGGAAGCTCAGGGAAGCCGATTCCAGCGGCACGCGCGGCGCTCTGGACTAGTCTGTACGAGTACGTACCCGCGACTTGGGACTATCGGCCCGCGTTGTGGCAATCTTTCCAGGCCGCCGGGTCAAAACAAGGTCATGAGCGTGGGACTCGTGTCGAGAGTCCGGAGGAGCGGGAATGCGCGCGCGCAGGCTCGGGAAGCACCGGCGTGGAGGGCGTGGCAGGGGAGTCGGGAAAAGTAAATGGCTCGCTCGTCTGGGATACTTCGGGCAGGCAATACTCGACAAATCTGAAGCGCAGGCGGGTGCACGATCCACATACACCAACCTACCCGTCGTTCGGTCCAATGTCGTCACTTCGGCTCACGCTCCGAGCCCACCGTCCTCAGTCCCCCCGTCTGTCCGATCCCCGTCCAGAATGCGCCCTTCGCGTCCTGCGCGGACCCGTCGAGACCTCGTCGTGATGCGCGCGCGCGAGCGCGGCGGCTAGGTGAGCGCATTGAGCTCAGTGCGTCCCCTCGCGACGTCGCGACGTCGGCCGAGGATAGACGTCTAGACGCTGGTCGAAGGAGAGAGAGCCATCGGCACACGAAAGCTAGTCGTATCCCAAAAGCTAGGACGGTGCTAATGATGATGAAGATCCCTCTCTCTCTATATGACGTTGGAGCCTGAACTGTACAGCATCGTCCAAACAAACTAAGTGATCTACAGAAAGCAGGGATCGGAAAACAACGGGAGAGCGCTGGGAGAGTCTGATGGATAACAGCCCGGCGCGCGCAACGGAACGCATGTGTTATGGCCTGCTCCGCTGTCTGGTTACGAGCTTCGGCGCGCGCCCGCTACGGACACTTAGCATACGATCGTCTGCCACCATTAGCTTATATACCGTTCCCGCACCTACTGTATCGCTACGCGATGCCTCCTGGCTCCTCCCCGTCGCCTCTCCTTCCCGTCTCCCCGCTACCGCGAGCCTCTCCGCCGCATGGGTCTGACTGCGACTCGCCTCCGCGCCGCGACCGTAACAGCATCGCAAACGCGCGGAAGCTTGGCGTCGTCCGTGTCTCGACGCGCGACAAGTCGAGTCAGTACTTGATACCTGAGTCCCAACCCTTACACTGCCATATCAGGCAACAATATACTCGGATACCATTGGTCGTCCGAGCCTTCGTCGATGCCCGCCACTCGTGTCGCGCTCCCGACCCCGGCGGCCTCCATCCTCTCCCTCCAATCTCCAGATCGAACCATGGCTCGCCAATGTAGACCAGCTCCGCCAGCGGCTTCCCGCGCTCCCGCAGCGCTTCCGCCAACTCCTCCAGATGGTTGTTCACGCGGTGCGGGTTCGGCCACGTGTTCGCGATCGACAGCCGCGTGAGCCTGGGGAAGCATCGGAGGATCGCCGCCCACTGCGCCCGCCGTGTAAGTAATTCAACGATGCGGCCGTCGATCTTGAGCGCGGAGGGACCGTCGGGACAGCGTATGATGTCGACGAACCGTTCGAGGCTGTTGAGGATGGACTTGGAGACCCCGTACCATTGCCCTACGTAGCAGTGGAAAATGAAGCGGTGCGTCCTGTCCGCGTTCCAGCCTTCGATAGTGAACGACTCCGGGCGATTGGAGAGGACGTGCAGCCCGACGAGCGAGCGGAGGGTGGGGATCGAGTCCGTGAGCGTGCGGGGAAGATGGTCGAATATTGTGGAGGTGTCCGTGCGTCCACCTGCCCACTCGACACGGATGACCTGCGCGTGGGGCAGGCGGAGGCGCTCGAGTACCCAGGCGGAGGCCAACTGGTTGTAGGGCGTGTTCGTTGTGAAATCGAGGATGCGGAGATGGGCCATGGTGACCGGCTCTGTGAGCCCGACGCTCGTGTACCATAGGCCATGAGCCCAGCCTGGATCGGGTCCCTTGTAGTATCCGAGGTCGAAGCGGAATTCTTCGAGCTGCGGTGCGGCACGGAGAAGCCTAGGACGTGCGTCGGCAAGACGTCCAACCTCCTGGTGAGGGAGAGGCATTTCAGGCGCGCAAAGATCGCTGGACGCGGTACTGCCAGCGAGCGTCGAGCGAGATCGCCGTGAGAGCGGGGGCGTTGTGCTGCTCGAATTTGACTGGTGAGTTGTACCGCGGCTTCACGTTGGCGGTACCTGACACGAAGACGAGTGTCGTCAAAGCGGGAAACACCGTCGATAGGAAGAAGTCGTGGAGAGGATCGCGATCTGCCGTCTGAAGGCGAGGGACCGGAGACGGAATGCGTGGGGAAGGATTGTGGCAATGAGAGGAGACAATGTTTTGCCTATGTCTTCGTGATCGAGCCGGAGGATAACATCGATGGGAACTCTGTCCGAGTGGACAAGACAAACCATCAACCACTCTCGCGCATGGGGCCCGCGCGCGATGACAGTGCTCCAGAGATGCTTTTCGGAGGTGATAGTTTCGTTCCAGTGGCGGGAAACGAGGCGTAGGGGGAGCCATCTATAGAAGCCATGTGGGGGTACGAGGAGGTTGGGACGCTCGGTGGCAATGTAGCCAAACGACGACTCGAGGCTCGGCCTTCGGAGGGTCCATCGCAATATCAAACCGAAGAGCTCTTGTGGGATTTTGTCCATGGAGGCGCGATTGTCCGGGTGTGTGTGGAGTGGATGGGGATGATGAAAGTAGAGAGAAACATGCGCAGGCGCCGGACTGTGCACGAAAGATACAGCCCTTTGTGGCATGCACAATGAAACCTGAAATCACTCACGCGAGATCCAGTATTTGTCCCGCACAAACAAAGCCCAACTTGGAGGCAGGCCGCAACGTGCGGCGTGACGTCGTAGTGCTCTTTGCTCATACCATGCACACGTTCGGTCTGCAATGGAGTCCGAGTTGATGCTTGTCCGGGCTGGAGGTTGTGTAGGCTATTCAGAGTGGTTCGATAGCGTGCAGACATTCAGAAGGCGTATGGAGGGAGTACAAAGCTGGAACAGAGGATCCAGTTGCTGCCTGTGACCGCGACGTCACGACGCGCGTTGCCGGCCTACCTTTTCGGGCTTTATTTGTGCGGGACAAATAACTGATCTCGCGTGTGATTCCACGGCTGTAAGCTGACTAATCGATCTCCCGGGCCATGGTGCGCCGGTGCCGGCCGCGTCCCGTCGCGCTCATTCTTCCCTCAATGTCATGTTCCCCGCCCACCATCCCACTTGCTCCCCTCACTGTTGTTCTTACATAGCTGTCTGTTCAAGTGTCCTCGTGCATGCCACAGGCTAGTATCACAGGGCACACAAACAATCCCGCCCACCCGTCCGCCGGGCCCAGGCCCAACCTTTGCTCTCTACGCCCGTTTGTCTCGTAGAGCCGTCACGCCCAGGGACGTGGCTGGACAACTCCGATCGCCCTCCGGTTTTTGTCTTCCCGCGACCCGGAGTAAGTACACAAACTCGTCCAGCGGCGAGCCGCGCGCCACACTGGGCGGCTGGGTTTTATTCTCCAATGCTTTCATCACGTCGTTCGCACTGCCTGAGCGCCTCCATATGGAGGCGTTGGCGAAGGTGAAGTTGCGCCGCTACGCGCGAAGGCCACCAAGGACGGCGTGTCTCCCATGGAGTCGGTGTTCGTTGGGGAGAAGTGGTCTGATTAGGGCTCCGCATCGGGCGTATCCGATGCCGCCGGAATATTTCCGAGTCCGATGCCGGTGACGAGAGTCAGTTCAGGCGCCCGTGCCGTTCCGGACGAATACAGACTGTGTAGGATACCGATACGGGGCGGAAATTCCGCGTTGCTGCCGTGATGCAGGATCACGCGCGACGAACGGCCGGGCCGAGCCTCGCGGTGGCCTGGCGGCGCGATGTCTTTGAAGTGCCCGTCAGGCGTTGGGCCGCGCACTTTTGTCGACGCGCTCTTGGGTATACCCGATGCACATATAGGCGCGATAAACGGGTAGGAGTATAGTAGAGTACATATATAATACACACCATGACTCTACACTGTAGAAGGTCGCTTGGAAAGCTGGGAACGCGACGCTCGAAGCCGCTGCTTGACAATCATCAAGCGCTGAATAGTCTCGGCTTTCAACGACGCTCGACGGAGCGACACCGTGTCGCGCGCAGCCGAGAAAACGCGCTCAACCGCCACTGCACATCCTGTAGAGTGATTAGATTGAGTTCAGGCAGAAATTTGCGTTAAGCACATACCAGGGATTGAGAAAATGTCTCGAGCAAGTCTTGAGAGATTGGGGAAGCGACCCTGGTTGTTGCGCCACCATTGAAGTGGTTCCATGCCGCTAAGACAAGCGTCTGAAGTGTTCAGCTGAAAGTAAGAAGCAAGCTCATCGCTTGGTTGAGTGGGGGATGGTTCTACAGTGCGATACCTAGCCAGGAAATCGACTTTCGGGGTGGAAGAGGGCGGACTCGGGATGGCAGGAGCAGGAGCGGCTTCAACATGTTGACGAGCATAATGCGCTCGATAGTGCTCTTCCAGGCGCTCCCGGGACGTCCGAACGTGCCTGATCTGTTCATCTGCATCGTCACCGTTGCCCCTACTACAATCTGACATAACACCGGAGAGCGAAATGCGAGGATCCAGTACTGTAAATGTAGTGACAAGTGTTAAGCTGTGATCTAGTAGATCGAAAAAGAAGAGCTTACAGGCGGCCCAGAGGTAGAATGGTGAAGAGTCTGTCTGATTGAAGTAGTCGCTGAGCTTCCGATGGGCGTTTAGTAGCCCTTGCTTGAGACTTGGTGGAGCCGTATCCGGGAGTGACTTGAATGCAAGGAGGACGTGGTCTTGAAGGTCACGGAAGACTCCTTGTACTGAAGAGAGTGTGATCGCATTTGTGGACGACATGATGGTGGTCGCAGCTCGAAATAAACGAAGCCACTCTTCAACGAGACGGATGGCAGTCCACTCAGTGTCGGTCAGGGGCTCCAGCTTCACGTCCCTGGCAGACACGGTAGCAACGAAAATGTTGACCGAGTCTGAGTACTTGATAGCTCGCTCTGTTTATAGTAGATTAGCCTCAAATAGTGCTGCATTCAGCGCACATAGCAAGCGTCACCTAGCATCTGATGTGTCGAAGCCCAACGGGTCTTGACGTCAAGGATAGTGATCACCACGGGTGCTCCCGTGGGTGTCAGTGAGCTCACCCGTACCCGAACCCGCAAAGTCCCGCACCCACGGGGCACGGGTGTCTAAGCTGCTGCGGGTGTTCAACGACATGTGCGGGTATGACGCGGGTGAAGACCCGTTGCGGGTAACCCACGGGACAGTGCCGTTAGACTGGCACACAGAGGGGTCGGACCGCGCGCTGCCACGCCTCGGCGTGTCCAAGCTCGAGCTCGAGCCCGGGCAGCAGGACTGCATGCGCGACACGTACACAGAGGGGCCCGACCGCGCGCTGCGCCTCGGCGTGCGAGTGCGAGCTCGAGCTCGAGCCTGGGCAGCAGGATCACATGCGCGACGCGTACGTGCGCCGCTAGTACTGCCACGCGCCGCCTGGAGAGCACGAGAACGAGAAGGCCAAGGCCCATCGAGAAAGCAGATCGACTTCCTCCATGACCACTGCACGTTCCCTGGCTCCGCACCCATCCCTGGCGAGCTCCGACCCACGAAAGGCCTCGTCCCCAGCGTGGTGTGGGCGCTGCACGCTGCGCGCTCACCATGAGGCGCCACTCGATATAACGGTACACATCGAGAACGACTTTGTGTATTGCCTAGCATAACAAAGAAGTAAGTTTACATAACCTAGTGGACGGCTCAGTGGACGGCTTCAAGAGCGTGTCGTCTCCAGAACATCCTCCGAGTGCACGAGGTCGAGCCGTGACCAGGCACCCAAGCACAGAAGTGCACGAGTAGTGTGCGCAGACAGCCTGTTGCGAATGTAGGGGAGAAGCAAGCGGCCACGGCTGAAGACGCGCTCAACGTCCACCGAGGTCGCTGCTCAGCAGGACACATCAGATATGGTATTCGTGCGTGCAGCGGAAGGATATCACATACCGGGGATGGTCAAATAGTCCTTGGCCATACGAGCCAAGTGCGGGTAAGTCTTCTCGTGCTCACGCCACCACGAGAGAGCATCGGTAACGCGCACGAGAGGAGCGGCGAGATAGCGGTCGAGCTCGTCATCGTCACCATGAATCGGGCCGCTAGCTGCCAAGAACTGAAGGCCATCAAACATGTTCTTCGGACGTTCATCCTGCAAGAGCGACAGGTAAGAAATCACGAAACGAACTTCAACACAATGAATTAGATAAAGAGACTCACTACGTCCATAGCCACCACGTCCTCCGCCTGCTCGCTTGAGCCACCGTCGCCAACGTGGTCGTGTTCAGCATTGATGGGGTCCTGATGCTTGTACACAGCGTCGTACCGGTCACGGACAACGGTCTTCGCAGTCTCGATCCAGTCGTCCGGCCAGTGCTCGGACTTGAAGTACTCCATCTTGTAGCGAGGATGAAGGACTGTTCAAATAGAATATAAGTGATCAAGATCGTACAGGATAACTAAGGAGAGAGAGGACTACTCACCCATGGCGATACGGTACGCCTCGGATGAGTCTGTGAGCGCATAGTACTTATTCAGAACCTGTTGAGCGAATCGATGGGCTTGACGAATTGCCGGATCGTAGAGGTCGCCGTGAGAGTCACGGCTGGCGGCGAGCTGCTTCGTTGTAAGCTCCCGGTCGAAGACGTCCATTGCGGGGATGACTGCCGCAAGGTTGGGCGAACCACGGGAAAAGAATTCGGTGGCGTCCTTGAAGACCTACATCAACGTGAAGGTTGTCGAGTGGGGATGCGTCGATGCAAGGGTCGCGATCGCGGAGAGAAATGGGCGCAAGGTCGGAGGAAAGGGCAGGAGGATGACAACGACAGTGAGTCACCGGATAGTAGGCCCGAGGACATGTATTTGAGCGGAGTTAGTAATCGTCGTTGGCAAGTTGAAGCTCAGCACGCACCTTCAGAACGTCGACCAGCTGCTCTGCAATCTGCCATTCCCGCGCATTCATCCGGAACTTGTCAAGGTCGACACCAAGGTCGCCATCTGCGCAAAACGACCGGATCGCACGCTTCATCCCCACTGCATTCACCACCATGTCGTTTGTCGACTGCCAGCGGGTGCGAACGTCTTGACGAAGCATGCGCTCCGGCAAGTTCAGATCAGCGAGGTGCTGCTTCCACGCGGGCAGGAGGATGGTGGTGGACTTGTTGACCGTCGAGGCCAGGGAACGAAGCTAGCAGATGATAACGAGGTGAGTATTGGTTCATGTAGCATATACATATGGCTTAACAACTAGCCTTAGTGAGAACAACGCGGACCGGGCGAACAGCAGCGTAGAACTCGGCGAGCTGCTCCTCGTTCATCCCAGTCGCCTCCTCCACCCACTCGTCTTCATCAGAAATATCGACAAGTCCAGGCAAGTCGTCCTCAGCGCCCTCGTCCGTGTCCTCGGCCAAGTCATCAAGGCTGTCGAGCGGCTCGTCGTCATTGTCATCGTCGACAAGGTCGTCAAGCTCCGCGTCGTCACCCTTCCGCTTGTCGTCCTTCTTTGGTGCGTCGAAATGCTTCATCAGCGCCTTGCTCACAAGCTGAATGATGTGACCAAAGCAGCGGACGTGACCTCCACCACGCGAGAAGCCGTTGAGCTCGGTCTCGAGGTGCTCGACCATCGCGTCATTGGCGGACGCATTGTCGCATGTCACGGCCAACACCTGTCAACAAGGTAAAGTCAGAAGCCATTATCGAGCATATGAGACAGACTCAAACCTTGTCATCAAGCTCGAGCTCAGTCAGGATGATTGCAATCTCGCGTGCGAGGTTCAGGCCAGTATGAGACTGCAAGAGTATATTCAGGATATCAGTATGCAGATAACTGTTGATCACGCGATGTACGTACCTTCGGAACCTCGACAATGTCGAGCAGCATGCTGATGGGCTCATCGTTGTGCAGGAAGTGGACTGTAACCGCCGTGAAGGCACGATGGTTGGGAGAGGTCCAACAATCCGTAGCGATGTTGATATGCCCATCATAGTCCTGCGTCGAGTGGGTGAGTACAGCCGCAATTGGTTGGCATAACATTCTTACACATACCCTCAGGAGACGGCCGATACGCTCTCGAGAGCGCGTGAACAACGTCCGCGTATCGCGAGCCAGAGTGCTCGGCGAAGGAATCTTGAAGTTCGGGCGTCCAGTCTTCATCAAGATCTGGAAATGCTCGTCCTTGACGATGGACAGCGGGCGCGATGACTCGGCAACCCATCGGACAAACTCCGCACTGGCGCGTCACATTGTCAGTCATGGTTCAAGGCGACGAACACGAACAGCCACCCACCGAGTCTCTGCCTGCGTGAGGTGGCGGTTCGAGAAGACGACGCTGCCTTTCCCCTTGCGGGTGAAGTACGTCTTGATGTCGCTACTCAACCTCTTGCTGACGACGATCTTCTGGACCTCATCCGCAGTCATGTTGGCCTCGCGTGCGCTGTCGACAGCCTCCTGGCCCCAGCACCGGATGGCGTGCTTCTGAAGGATCCCGGTTGAGGTTGCGTCGCTCTTGTCGAGGTAGCGACGACCCTGCCACTTGCAGCTTGGGGAAGCGCACGTGAATACGTGGCAACGACGCCGACCCTTGCCGTATGCGATCTTGGGAATGGGCTCGTAGAACCCGTAATAAAACGAGTGCCACTTGCGCATCATAGCGGCTGTGTTCACTCCTGTAAGTTCATCTTCAATCCCATGCTATGCTGTAGAACTCACCAAGTTGTTCATCAGCGTTGTCGTCATCATCGTTGTCACTGCCGTCGCCATCGTCGTCAGAAGGTTCATCGTCCGAGGGCTCTGAGTTGGACGACACATAGACAACTTTATCGATGTCTGAGTGAGCCGCCTCTTCTTCCTCTTCAGTGCGGCAGATAACCTTGCGCCCACCAGTGCTTGGCTTCTATAACGGCCAACTGTTATCAATGAACCCACACACACATGAAAGCACGAACCTTTGAACGCTTGATGGCAGCCTTCGACTTTGCGCGCCCGACACCAGCCTGTGCAGACCCGGTGGCGGCCTTCACGGACCCAGCGGCGGCCTTCGCGGACGCGGTGGTGGCCTGCGTGGACGCGGCGATGGCCTGCGCGGACCCAGCGATGGCCTGCGCGGACCCGGCGGCGACCTTCGCAGACCCGGAGGCGACCTTCGCGGACCCAGCGGCGGCCTTCGCGGACGCGGCGGCGGCCTTCGTGGACCCAGCAGTGGCCTTCGCAGACGCGGCGGCGGCCTGCGAGGATGCGGCGGCGGCCTGCGTGGACGTGGCGACGGCCTGCGCAGACCCGAAGGCGACCTTCGCGGACCCAGCAGCGGCCTTCGTGGACACGGTGGTGGCCTGCGTGGATGCGGTGATGCCCTGCGCGGACCCAGCGACGGCCTGCGCGGACCCGGCGGCGACCTTCGCGGACCCGGTGGTTGTGAGCGGTAGCAGCTGTAGTGATACGCAGTAGACCTCAGTACGGTGCGCTCGTGCAGAGTGCAAGACTAATATATTCTGTACCTGTAGTGATACGCAGTAGACTACAGTACAGTGTGAGCAAAAGCAAAATGCAGCAGGATAAAGAAATGCGCGCTCACCCTCAGTACGGTGCGCTCGTGCAGAGTGCAAGACTGAGGGCGGCGCTGCGCGGGCGGGACAGTATAAGTGACTGACAGGACTGATGGCTACGGACCGGCGCGCGTGTATGTAAGCAGGAACGAGAGAACGCGAGGCAAGCGGAAGCGGAATGGTATCGTAGGATAGACCATGGAAAAGCTAAAGTCCGGGCGGCATCAAGACAAGGGCGAGCGCGCATCGCGCGCACCGCGCGATGCGGGATCAGTGTGCCGCGCGCGCGCGCACAGCGCAGACGGCCAACGTCCGGTGACGCGCCG